CCTCCAAACTCAATTCCAGCTTTCCCTTTGTGATATGGAACCTTGTAGTACAATTTCAGAAATATCCAAACACTTACACACAAGTTATTGTCATGAAACTAGAAAAATGCTTGTTTTTTGCCCCTTTTTTGGCCCCTAATTCCTATCATTTTGAGGCAATTACCCCCAAAATCAATTACAGCCTTCCCTTTGTGATATGGAACCTTGTGGTACAATGTCAGAGAGATCCATACACTTACACACAAGTTATTGTCTGGAAGTTACAAAAATGCTTATTGTTGGCCCCTTTTTGGCCCCTAATTCCTTAACTGTTGGTACCATAACCCCCAAAATCAATCCCAACCTTCCTTTCATGGTATTGAACCTTATGGTAAAATTTCATGGAGATCCATTCACTTAAACTAAAGTTAGAGTGCGAAAACCAATGTGTCTTCGGACGACGCCAGACGACGACGACGACGACGACGACGACGACGACGACGACGACGACGACGACGCCAACGTCATACCAATATACGACCAAAAAATTTTCAATTTTTGCGGTCGTATAAAAATCAATTGAAAAAGGCTTAACTCATCAGATAGATACAAATAGAAATACATCTAACAAAAACACAGAGTGGTCGTGGGCGGGTACTTTTACATCCCTAATAACAAAAAAGACACTAAGTACAGATCTGAGAGTACTCTCACTTACTTAAAGCTAGTTCAAAGCCAATAACAACTAATTAAAAAAATCATGTATCTAAGACTAAAATATCAATCATTACACATCCAACATCGAATAGGTAACCTTTTAGAATAAGTTTATTTAAAGGATTGAAAAGGTTACCCTGATCGTATCTAAATTTCCTGGCTCGGTTAACAACATCACCGTAAAATTTAGGATGTGCTATTCCGTTTGAAATAAGTTTTCTACAGGTACAGCCAAACTTGCACACCAAATCTTTGTCTATGGAAGAATTAGTAAAGGTTTTGAATAATTTGTGGAAACGAAATCCCTGACTTAATAATTTACTAGTTATACATAGATTACGCTCATTGAAATCCAAAACGTCACTACAGACACGAGCATAGCGAACGAGTTTGGATATATAAACACCGTAAGACGGTGTCAAAGGAACATCACCGCTCAAAAAGAGAAAATTAACAATAGGAAAAGAAAACTCATCCCTTTTGTCGTAAATTTTTGTGTAGAGTTTCTTGTGTAATACTCAAATATCTAAATCTAGGAAAGAACAGTTATTGCTGTTAATATTAGATTTATTTAAAGTAAGTTTCTTTGGGTAAATTTCAGCAGTATATCATCAGAAATCTTGATTATTTAACGAAAAAATATCAAGAAAACAACAGTAAGTGTTGTTGAATTTATCAATTAAATGGAATTTAGACGGTTCTTTACTGAGTTTGGCCAGTAAGTATATCTAGCATATTTACCTTTCTCATTAGAGAAAAAGACTTTATATGAGTTGCAGCAAATAAATTTGCAACCAGATACATCAAACGACCATTTAATAAGATAGGAAAACTTTTGTTTGATAAGATTGTGTGGAAATGTAGTATAAAGAGTGGAAAAGTGAAAACTGTCAATCAAATCAAAAGGACCATCAAAAGCATGTAATTTATCTATAACATCCAAAGAATTTTTTACACTCCAAAAATGGTTAATTTCACTGTTTCCATATGTTTCATTACAAAAATTAATGATAAATTCTTTGATAGCAGTTAAGGAACTTGTTAAAAGCACCGAAAGATTAGTAGTAGAACACTTACTAGAGGCTGAGATGAAACGATATTTTACGTTTTTTTTTGTGTAGTTTAGGTAACCAATACATAGTGGGGACCTTCAAATGTTCAGAGGAGGCCTTAAGCTGAGCAGTAGTAGTGACATGATTATTTACTTTATGACTCTCTGTGGAGTGTACAGCCTTGAATGTAGTTGAATGCATAATTTCATTCTTAAGGACTTCTGTGTAGTACTTACATCATACCACCACCACATTGTAGGCTGCTTTGTCGGCCAGTACAAACACAAAACGCTTTGATAGTACTTTAATTTTGTTTTTAATCCTAGAAATGGGAGTATTACTTACTCTTTTATCTATTTCTAAATTATTTTCGAAATATTATATGCAAATATCAACAATATTAACCTCCCCACCCCCTTTTCCAACAAAAATAACATTTGTAGAAAATTTTCTTTTTGTAAAATGTGGTGCAGTTTAAGAGACGTCAATACACTTAAACACCTTTTTGGCCCCTAATTCCTGAACGGTTTGGGCAATTACCCCCAAAATGAATCCCAACCTTCAACTTGTGGTATTGAACCTTGTGGTACAATTTCAGAGCAATCAATATACTTATACACAAGTTATTGTCCTGAAACTAGAAAAAAATGCTTGTTTTGGGCCCCTTTTTGACCCCTTATCCCTAAACGATTGGGACCATCACCCCCAAATACAATCCCAACCTTCCTTTTGTGGTATTGAACCTTTTGCTTAAATTTCAAAGAGATCCATACACTGAAACTTAAGTTATTGTCCAGAAACCAAATGTCTTCGAACGACGGCAACGACATGATAGTATTATACAATCCCCAAAATTTTTTTGCGGTCGTATAAAAAAATCAAAATGCTTACCATTCCAAAGCACTCATCATATCTTACTACATTCACCTCATTTTTCTGAATTTCTTTAATAAATTCAGTCAAACCTAGAGGCTCTAGAGAGCCTGTGTCGCTCACCTTGGTCTATGTGCATATTAAACAAAGGACACAAGATTGATTCATGACAAAATTGTGTTTTGGTGATGGTGATGTGTTTGTAGATCTTACTTTACTGAACATTCTTGCTGCTTACAATTATCTCTATCTATAATGAACTTGGCCCAGTAGTTACAGTGGAAAATATTTTGTAAAAATTTACAAAAATTTACAAAATTTATGAAAATTGTAAAAAATTGACTATAAAGGGCAATAACTCCTTAAGGGGTCAATTGACAATTTTGGTCATGTTGACTTATTTGTAGATCTTACTTTGCTGTACATTATTGCTGTTTACAGTTTATCTCTATCTATAATAATTTTCAAGATAATAACCAAATGCTGGAAAATTTTCTTAAAATTACCAATTCAGGGGCAGCAACCCAACAACATGTTGCCTGATTGGTCTGAAATTTCAGGGCAGATAGATCTTGACCTAATGAACAATTTTATCCTGTCAGATTTGCTCTAAATGCTTTGGTTTCAGAGATATGAGCCAAAAACTGCATTTTATCCTATGTACTATTTTTTAGCCATGTCGGCCATCTTGGTTCGCAGGCTAGGTCATCGGACACATTTTTTAAACTAGATACCCTAATGATGATTGTGGACAAGTTTGGTTAAATTTGTCTTAGTAGTTTCAGAGGAGAAGATTTTTGTAAAAGATTACAAACATTTACGAAAAATGGTTAAAAATTGACTATAAAGGGCAATAATTCCTTAAGGGGTCAACTGACCATTTTGGTCATGTTGATTTATTTGTAGATCTTACTTTGCTGAACATTATTGCTGTTTACAGTTTATCTCTATCTATAATAATATTCAAGATAATAACCAAAAACAGCAAAATTTTCTTAAAATTACCAATTCAGGGGCAGCAACCCAACAACGTGTTGCCTGATTGGTCTGAAAATTTCAGGGCAGATAGATCTTGACCTAATGAACAATTTTATCCTGTCAGATTTGCTCTAAATGCTTTGGTTTCAGAGATATAAGACAAAATCTACATTTTACCCCTATGTTCTATTTTTAGCCATGGCGGCCATCTTGGTTGGTTGGCTGGGTCACCGGACAAATTTTTTAAACTAGATACCCGAATGATGATTGTGGCCAAGTTTGGTTAAATTTGGCCAAGTAGTTTCAGAGGAGAAGATTTTTGTAAAAGTTAACGGACGACGGATGCCAAGTGATGAGAAAAGCTCACTTGGCCTTTGGGTCAGGTGAGCTAAAAAGGCTGCCCCTTTTCCCCAACACTATACGCTGTTTTAAATAACACTTTGTACCTTTTAAATTGTTTTGGTTTCAATTGCTGCTTTAGAACACACTGGCCTAACTTTGTGTCAGATAACAGTTTCTTTTTCAAACTTTGGGTCAGTTACTCTTTAAACCACATATTTTGGCAAGATATATAGATGCTGGGAGGAAATTTTCATCATGATTTTTTATGGGGTAAAGTTTTAAAATTTTGTCCAACAATCCAGGCCACTTTACCTTTCACTGTTTGTGGGAAAAATCTATGTTCTCGTTTTTCCGTCATATATTTGTTTTTTAGTCAGATCCTGTCTTTGAGCTGTGTTAAGCCGTTTCATCAATCACACCCGCTGTATCACCGTTTCATCAGAGTTTCTTTTGGAAGAGGTCACCCCAAAACCAAACACACTCATACCGTTTACTACTTATATTCTAATATTATATTCTCCAGTTTCCCAGTATCGTTTACCACCACTGGACACACCATGACTACACAATAAATCAATTGTGAAGAATTTAAGCAATCACATAAGTTTCCTTTCAGTAAATTTGCATATTTTAAGATTTTTTTTATACTAGATTTTTATATTTTTGTTCAAAATGCTTTTGTAATTTTTTTAACCTACAAAAATACGAAAGTACGTCGGTTGTAACTAACTACGGGTGGGAAGGTCCAAACCCGTAAAGGGAAGGTCACGGACCTTGGACCACAGCTAATTTGAACCCCTGTATAAAGCTCTCCATGTACAATCTTTGTTTATAGAAAATAAAACCAAGACTGAGGACATTTTATAACCTTCCCCACTGGTGCATTTTTATCAAATTAATCATTTATTTAGAATTTCAAAGAAGTGTCTTCCCTTTTCTCATTTTATTCTTTTGTGTTTACTTTTAAAGAGAACAGGCTAACAGATTGAAGAGAAATAACAAGAGACATTGTGTTGTAAAAATAAATTACACTTGCAATCATGAATTGAACATAAAACATTTTGGTGTTTCTGATTTTTTAATTTCTCACTCCTCACATTGATCAAGCACTGACTGGTGGTAATTTATGAAGTAATGTCCCTTTTCACTTTTAAGTTTAAATCTTATTAAATGCAGCAATGTCCACAGATTGTACAAAGTCTTCAAAATTTGTTATTGCTTCTTCAAGGAAATCTGTACCAACCTGTAAAATAAATATATACTATTACAGAGACTCCTTCTGTTAACACAATAAGTGAAACCAGCAAACTGGCTTCTTTTGATACAATAATAACAAGAGTACACAGTAACACACACTGAAATGTCTTGCCTCCCTTACTGACCATTGGTTTTATGTTGATAGTCCTAAATATAAAGTTTTACTACAAGTATCACACAAACTGAACATGATTCAAGAAAATGAGGTCAAGGTCAGAATAAACCAAGCCAGAAATACATGTACACCTTACAATCATTCCATACAAGAATATAATTGACTTATTGCTTTTAGTATACAAGAAAACAGACCAAAACCTGAAAACTTTATATTGACAAATGAACCATGAAAATAAGGTCAAGGTCAGATGAACCCTGCCAGACAAACATGCTCACCTTACAATCATTCTATGCATCACATATAGTTGACATATTGCATATAGTATCTAAGAAACTAACTTAACCAGGAAAACTTGACATTGACCAATGAACCATGAAAATCAGGTCAAGGTCAGATGATACCTGCCAGACAGACATACACACCTTACAGTCATTCCATACACCAAATATAGTTGACATGTACATAGTAAAATATTTCCATACATCAATTTGATTCAAATATAGTTGACCTATTGCATACAGAATTAGAAAAACAGACCAAAACACAAAAACTTAACTTTAACCATGAAAATGAGGTCAGATGACACCTGCCAGTTGGACATGTACACCTTACAATCATTCTATACACCAAATATAGTAGACCTTTTGCTTATAGTATCTGAGATATGGACTTGACCCGAAAACTCAACCTTGTTCACTGATCCATGAAATGAGGTTTGGTTCAAGTGAAACTGTCTGACAGGCATGAGGACCTGGTAAGAGACGCACATACCAAATATAGTTGTCCTATTATTCATAACAAGAGAGAAATTAACATTACAAAAATTCTTAACTTTTATTTCATGTAGTCACTGAACTATGAAAATGAGTAAAGGACAATGAACATATAACAGACAGAAACTTCATAACATAAGGCATCTATATACTAAGTATGAAGCATCCAGGTCTTCTACCTTCAGAAATATTGAGCTTTTAAGAAGTAAGTTAACGCCTACGCTGTCGCTGGATCACTATCCCTATGTCTCGCTATGGATTACATAAACTATATTTTCAAAGTTTTCATGTTCACATGTCGATATAGAAATCAATTTGTTTGTTATAGCAAATTCAGTTTATTACGTACAGTAAATCATCGATAGAGGCAGCAAAATTGAATAGGATGATCCCTCATTTAGTACAAAAATAAAAGACTTACATAATATGAAATATACTTTTATTTCAAATGTTGCAAACACAGTATAAAACGATGTACATTAAAAGTATAGAATGTATAGTTGAAACTATAATATTAGCAGGGTACCTACAGATGATATCAAATCAATAGACGATTATCACATAATTTTAAATTGGCTTACTAGTATTGCAGAAGGATAATTCTTTTATCGATTCTTTTTTTGCAACCATACACAAAGATTTCATCGATACTGAAATGCCATAAATGTTTTATGGACAATAATGAATGCAAAATTTTATACTAACTAGATAGTAAATATAGAATTAGGAATCATGCATCATATAGACCATCGCACCTTCCTGTCCTACATATATATATAACTTTGGGTATTTAAAATTTGTAATGAAAAAATAACATTTTTTGAAAAAATTATCTATTATTATATGCCATACATGTAGATATGAATTCCTCTTCATACAGAATTTCCTCAAATCAACTTTGAACTACAACATTCAAAATCAGTCAAACTTTTAGTCTTGCAGAACACAGCTTTAAGTTTCTAAAGGATTAGGTAGCCAAAACAACGGTACAGAAGCGAGAGACTTTCACAAATTCATTCCAGTATATATTTAAAAGATTTCAAGTACTGAAAGAACCTTTTGAAGTGATTAAGCGACCCATACTCCTTCCCCCAAAAATAAAGGAAAAGAGCTTATATTGACCTGCTGGCATAGTTTATCCTTCAACAATAATTATTTCTAAATATTTTTTATAAAGTCCCCATCCCAAAAAAAAGTTATCCAATCAAGATTTTTCTTATCAACTCACTCATTTTAGGTTTTGATGGATAGAAATCTTCATTGAAATTTGAAGAGGATCGGTCCTATTATAGCTACAAGTACTATTATGGGACAACCAGGGATATTTGTACAAGTCCCTCTCACAACAAATGGTCCCCGATTATAGATTATTAGGATTAGTGATCTCATCAGAAGTTTTAATGAGTGGAGGCCTCCATCCAAATTTGAAGAGGATTGAAGAAAAATGAAGGCACTTTCTTGACGACTACAAATAAATGACAAGAAGATGACTTGACAACATCAAAGACATTATACCCTCCTCAACTTTAATAGTTGCATGGGGTAAAAATATTAATTTTAAATGCTTGCAAGAGTCTGGTTTAGTTACAGACTTACTTTGTCATCTTCTACGACACAACCTATCTGTAACTTTTTTATTCCATATCCCACAGGAACCAGCTTAGCTGAAACAGAAAAAAACATCATTCAAAATATTATCACATAAATAGAAAAATCATTGTCTCTGGCACTTGACTTATGTTTAAACAGCTATTTCATTGATCTGAAACACAATGAACTGAGCAATGAGACAATGAGACTGATTTCAAATCAATTAACTGTTCAAACATTTGTTATGTCAAAAACCAACCTAAGGCTGTATGGCAATCTATAGTTGCTATTTTCTACATCATTTGGTCACTGGTGGACAGATCATACACATCTTCTTATTTAATAGTTTGTTTTGTACAATTGGTTTAATATATCTTGTGATTGAAACAGAATTCAGCTATGCTGCTGTGTAAAACTATCTTGTGATTGAAACAGAATTCAGCTATGTTTCTGTGTGAAGGTATCTTTTGAAAAGTCAAGTTCAATGTGCAGCTCCCCCTTGGAGGATTTGTTTTTTCTCTGAACACGGTCTGTTTAAAATTGACAATAGTACCAGGGATGTTATTTAAATATATATAAACCAGTCACCAAAGTTTCATGAAAATTGCTCAAAGCACTTTTAAGTTATTGTCCGAAAACTGGAAAATCACCCATTTTTTATTAATAAAATCCAATACCGTAAATTGGGAAATTTTGGCGGTTTTCTCTCGAAAGGCATGTGTTTTATTTTGGTGTGTGTAATTTTGGTGCTTGGTCCAATTGATATGTTTAATTTTGGAACAACAGTTACAGTAGTGAGCAAGCTGATTCATATTTGCCTTTATTTACCCGTTTATTGACAAAATGTCATTGAATTTCTCAAACTAGAAACACGACAAAGTTTACTTTATGGAGGAATCGGATACAAATGCAATTGCAAATAATTCCGTATATCGTGGTTCAAAGCTGAAAGAAATCTTAAACATTAAAATCACTTTTTAAATAGAATATTTTTTTTTTACAAATATCATATGAAATAAATTTTAATCATCTCTATTGCAGTACATGTTAATCTATTGACGATTTAATCCTTATGCCCCTGGCAGTACATGTTAATTAATTGAAGATAAAAGATTAGAAGGAGTTTTGATATTCTAATTACCAATAACGGCGTCTAATCAGCAATAGCCTGGCATACTTATGACATGTGTGAATAAAAATTCATGTTGTGTTTTCTTAACCATTTCAGAAAATTGACAATTAAGTAAAAATTATATAGTGTTGTTGTGAAATTATACCAGGTAATTATTTGCAGATTTGGCTATGTATAGAATTGTAGGAAATATACGGAAGATATAATAACATAAAATATTTTCCCCAACAATTGACATTACGATATTGTCGTACCGGTACTCGATTTTGGCATTTCAATTTTTAGTGTTGCTTTATTTTCGTGTGTTTAATTTTGGCACTTTCATTGGAGGCACCAAATAAACCAAAATATAACTACAACCAAAAGAACCCAAGTTACTGTAACTCGGAAACGTAAAATCTTAAATTTATAAAAATCGAAGGGGAGCTTACGTCAATAAATATAAATAATTCACCAAAGTTTCATGAAAACTGCTCAAAGCATTTTTGAGTTATTTTCCGACTTGTTGACGACGAACGGACGGACAACGGAATACCATTATACGTCCCGTAAAAGGGCGTATAAAAATATCTATAGATCACCCAGTGTTCTCCCCAGGGCCTGAAAGGACCGCGGGCCCGCGGTGTATAATTTTTTACCGTGGTGGTATCGTTCTTACCGCGATGTATTAAAATTTTTAGTTAAAAAATCGAAAATCGGTAAAGTTTTAAACGACTTGTTAAATCCTTTCCGTGCGGTATAAAATTCCAGGTGAAATTTGACCAGTTCAAACCAGTTCAGATTGTTTACACCATGTGATCGATTTACCTTTATGAGGTTAACCTTTGTTGATTGGATTTAATCGATGTAATTAACACTTGTAAAGTGATTCTTTTGTGTTTTAATTAAGAGATCATAACTTTATGATCGTAGATAACTATTTTATGGCTTCACTCACCACCTGACAAGTCAGCAATTAATTTGTACACAAACCGTGTTGACCCTATAGTTGTACACACGACGGTACACATTTTGTACATTATAAAGTTGGCTCATTACGTATAATTGACCATTATATACTTCTCAATACTTATATAATAGTATTATATGTCTCTGATTAAACCATGGCCAAATTATCTTTAATTTTGACATAGTTAATATTGCATGATATTCCGGTTTCAAACTATCATAAGTAATTCAAAGGGGACAGATCACATGTCCCAGTTAGTTCACATAGAATACCCAAAATTATTTACAATTAACTGCAATCTATTCTATTTTATAATTAAAGTGCATGACTGTACCTTCAAATTGGATATCTATATCCATATGATAATTAATGAATAACAGAAGTGATTTGCAAATTTTATCCATAAGCACATGTTAAATCTCTTTATATCTACTTCCTGTCATTTAGGCGGGAAAATAGGGAGACTTAGTTGTTGACATTGAATAGGGTTACTTAGATCTATAGAACTAGGATATATTTATAGATTTAGGAATTCTTTTTAAATGGATCATGACAAAAAAAAGATTTAGATTTCAGTGCAGTATTAAGTCTGTATCTATGTTATCACTAAAGACAAGAAAAGTTAATATTTACATGAAATCTAAGGCAAAATGTTTTGAAATTTATGAAAAATTTCTTTTTATTAAAATTTAAGATAGAAACTGGTTCAAATAATAATACAATATTTATTCTTGTTAATTTTATATCTCCTTATGACAGGAATCCTTCCACAATACAACATCTTTCATTCTAGAAATGAGAAAGTTTTTTAAATTGAACATTTTTGTTCTCTTTTGAATGATATTTTATTCTTATTGATCATTGATTTTATAAAAGATTTAATAACTTTAAATTTAGATGAATATTTTGTAATGTATCATGTTTTATTTATTTTTAAAAATATTAAAGTATACATGTCAAACTGTTTATTGATTTACTTCTTTTTTACCAATAATTTTCAATGTCTACATAACACAGTACCACAGCATTAAAACAAAACAGGAGACATAAAAACTACAGTTACCAGAAATATAGCTAAGCGACGCGACACAACTGATTGTATGAATCATTTCACCAAGCAGTCCACACGCGTTACCCTGGTGCTATCCAAAATTCCTGGGGAGAACACTGGATCACCATTGGTGTTAAAGAACTTTGTGGAGTAAACAATCATCACAATCATAAGGGGTTTTGTTTTTAATGCATTTCTGAAACTTCACTGGAGCATTAAGGCCTAAAATAAAATATTGTTTGTTTCCCCAATCCCGACCGACCCTGCAAAAATGGTCCTACTCATAAAATTTTATTGTCAAAACTTAGTCAAATATTATTTTATTCATTTCCGATTTTCATGCTTGCCAGATCATTCGATAATGTTCAAGCTTTTTGGAAAAATAAGATTATTTCCCTACCTACCTACCCACACCTGCTTGGCAGGGTCGGGATTGGGGAAACAAACAATATATTAATTTAGGCCTAATACACAATAGCTTCATGATGGTATTTGGCCTTCTCAAAATTATTCATCTTAAATATGTTTCTTAAAAATAGTTTCATATCTGGTTCATATTTTTACAAATATCTGATCAAGAATTTAACCTGATCCTTATTAGGGATAAGATTTTTGTCAAGCTTTGCAAACCATCTCAACAGTTGAAAACTTGACAAACAGAGGACTATCAAGTCTTACACCAATATTTTGAAGTCATATATGTGAACATTTCTTCAGGTTCTTTAAAAAAAATGGCCCCTTTCTAGATAAAATTTGTGATTGAAGAAATTTGAACACACTGACCTTAAAGGATGAAAGAATAAAACTCAAGGGAGGACCTCAGAAATTCATGAGCAGAAAAAAAGAAAATTATGGGTGGTGCTGAGCAGTTCAACAGTGGAAAAATTAAAAATTGATGCTAAGAAATTCAAGATAGACCTCTACTCTGAAAGGCTAATTATACTGGTTTGGCTTTAGTAATAGGAGTGTATGAAAAAAATAATTTCTAATCAAATATACAAGTTTCGTTAAAAAAAGATTACACATATTTGTTAAAGGAGGAACGAAGATATTAGCTATATCTCAACCAATATCCCAGAAATCCTTTCTTTATCTTAGAAAGTCTTTTAATGAAACAAGCAATAACTTATACTGATTCATTCTTCATAAGACCTTCTTAAATAGATACAATGTTTATAATACGGCTCAGTAAAATTCTTACTTACATGTACCCCATATAAGACCATCTGTTTCTACAGTCCGTACTAATTTTTCCATTTCTGCCATATCTGTTTCATCATCCCATGGTTTTACATCTAATACAATACTACTTTTGGCTATAAGGGCAGGTTCTACAAAAGAAATGTTTCAATATATTATTTAAGCAATACAAAATGTTATTAAGATATGGACAAAAACAGCGAAAAAAGAAAACTGCAAAAGCAGACGGTACACAAAGCTTTGTTGCAATCAATCATTGATAAAACACAAATTTATCTGAACTGCTATGTGAGAGGTACAATCAAGCTATCAATGCATACTTGCAATTTCAAATGGAGGGAGAGGAGAACTGCTTTTTTAATTTGTTATGAAATTGAAAAATTGACATTTTCATGTTAACCTTACAAAAATATAATCTGAGCTCTATTTAAAAGTCCTATGATTTCCAGCACAGTAATATTTCTGAAAAATTATTTTTATCTAGGTTTTAATGGGAAATAAAATGCTCTGCACGACTTAGCTTGATACGACCGCAGAGGTCAAACCCTGAACAGTTGGGTTAAGTATGGACACAACATTCAAGCTTGATACAGCTCTGAATTTGGATAGTGATTAAATAATTTAATTTATTTCTGACGAATTTTATAAAGGGACCCCCAAAACCAAAATCTAAATACATGGTTAGATTCAGCATATAATAATTAAAACATCATATTTGAGACGTTGGAATATTTTATCTAACAGACAGCTTGTATTAAATGCTGTTATAAACCAGCTACATTTACTGGATATATATTCCTACTTTTAGCTTTCTTTTCTGCGTATTCTTGTATTCTTTTCTGCTTTTGTTTCTCTACTTCTTCTTCATCGTCTGATCCAAACAGATCAAAATCATCCTCATCAGCATCTCCATTAGAAGCGGCTGGGGCTGTAGATCCATAGGAATTTATGTCTTTCTTTGTACCAGGAAAACTAAAGCAAAGAGAATCTGTACAATCTTTTATCCTTTGTAGTAAAACCTTACTACATACAAGTTGAGATTTCTTTGTACAAGTGGCATGACAACTATTTCTAAAAGAAAGTTAGTATCACACCCCATTCACACAACAGTAATTACTCAGTTCTCAAACACTTCTGCAAAGGACAGACACAATTTTGGTATTTTGCAAAAATCATGAGTCTGATGACCAGTAGATTTTTTCAAGGACCACCATGTATTGAGATTTTGTTTTCTGTTTTCATGGCCTTTCATTGTGCCCCTTGCATTCTGTGCCAGACTGACTAAGTTTCTGTCGGTCTGATAAGATTTTTGTCAGACCGAATAAAAAATTTATTTAATGGCTAACTTATTGTACTTCCTTGTAGAGATGTTCTAGCAATAATTTCATGTCACAGCTTTGAATTGTAAATAACTTGTTGTATATTTATCTCTATTCCGACGCTTTAATTCCCTAAATATTATTCAATGGAATTTACTTTTTAATTCACTAATATTTTACTACCGCCATCTTGACTCAAAACAGTATGTACATACATGTAAAAAAAAAATACAATTGCCTGTGAAATAAGATTTCCGGACTTATGCCAGCAATGGAATAATCTCATCTGGAAATTAAAATTTACAAGTACATGTATCTAGATTTTAGGTCACTGCTATAAGTGAATGGTGAAATGGTGTTTGTCAAATTAGTCAATAAAAATTTACAATTGTAAACTATTTTTAATGAATATTTGATAAATTTAAGTAGTGGGATTCAGATAAATATGTAACATAACAAATTTAGTACAACTGTGAGCTGTGGCATCATACTTTTCACTATAAACTGTCCCTGGCTGATATATCACCAGAAAATTGAACCAATACAAACAAATGATTTGGTGGTCTGATATCAATATTGTGTCCAGACCCTCAAACCAATGACATTTGGCACAGACTGCCCTTATGATAACTACATTTGCCCAATAGACTTTTATGTTCCACTGTATTGTTGAGAACATATGTCCTGGTAAAAGTTATAAAAATTGCTGTAATCAGAAACTTTATTTATGAATCTGTTGAAGGGAAGAACAGTGCCTTCTCAAATATATCATTTTTTTACTTTAGATCTTACTATTGCTGTAACTAAGAAACTTCACTGTTTCATGATATTAGTAGTACAGGTGAGAACATGTTTATAGAATGCCTACATGTGCATGACTCTGCAATTTCCAAAACAAATATAATTATATATATATATAGGAAAGGTCATGTATTTTAAAAACTAAACGAAGACAAAAATGAGACATAGATATAATATCTGTCAAACCTTTTTTTATAATTAATCTGCCTAATAGATGATGATGGATGTCTTCTTAACGTCCAGCGGCAAATTAATATGCATATTCAGGACAAGAACATGTTAATGTAATATGAATATTAACCCTGCTTTGTACTAGACCGACACGCTGAGCCGGATTTTAACGTGCTAGTTCACAAGGCAACAGTCTGCAGGAAGACATGTCACCTAACCCGGACACTTATTCTGACTCCAAGCCGACCAGTCTTTGCTCTTACTCCTTAATGACGTGTGCTTATTGAAGAAGCAGAAATTACCAATTTTAAAGTCTTTGGTTTGACCTGGCCGGTGTTCGAACCCACAACCTCTCGCACTCAAGGCAAACACGCTACCACGTGACCCCAAAGGCGGTCAATCTGCCTAATAAGTGTTTTTAAGTGACATTCACTGTATGTAGTAAAACTTGTAAGATAATTTAAATTTATACTTTACCTTGATCTTTCTTGGTTATTGTAGGAGTTAATTTGGTTGTACCATCTCAGGGCATTTACAAGATCTTTTGAAGGGGCTCCTGTTAGACCGGCAAAGACAACAGCATCAGCTTGTGACGCCTGGTAGCTAAAATTATAAGTATACCACTGGTTAATATAAAAATAAGAAGATGTGGTATAATTGTCAATGAGACAACTCTCCACCAGAGACCAAATGACATATATATAGTTCACCGTACTGTCTTCAACAATGAGCAAAACTTATACCGCATACAAAGCTGACATTGATTTAGCTTTTGACAGCACGGCAATTTTTTCTGTCCATATTTTGTTCAATAGTGTTGGGAAAAGTCACCAAGACTTTAAATAATAAAATGCTCCGCTGGGGCGCAGCTTGATACGACCGCAGAGGTCGAACCCTGAACAGTTGGGGCAAGTATGGACACAACATTCAAGCTTGATACAGCACTGAATTTGGATTGTAATTAAATATTTGACACAGCATAGGTTTCTGACACAGAATGAAAGTGGTCTAAGAACTTAAAAATTTTCAATTTACCTATTCATACATGTGATGGACTGTGAAACTCAGATCAGGAGATTGGGAAATTTTGGTCAGGAGATTAGGACTCAGATCAGGAGGTTTTTAATCGACATTAATTTTGTTGTAAATGTAACCGTGTGCTGTAAAAATGGTCTTTTAAAGTGTGTTTTCTTCAACTTTCCATCCAATTTATTATGTTTATAGTACCCTTGTACTTATAAAGTTTCTCCATCTTTATATTCTACATGTTCAATCTAACATTGTTTTTTTCCAGTATGTTCTTTAAATTTTTTACTTCATATTCTATAAAACAATCATTGCAACCAGAACATTTGTTTAGCTATCTGCAAATAGTTTTTATTTTTTTTTTTTTCTCTTGCAAATAGTTTTTATTTGCAAACTCAGAAAATCATTTTATCTGTAAAATTAGGGTCATAATTATTATATAAATTTCAATTTAAGCCTTGAAAGGAAGTATAGAATCCTCAAATAATTTAATAACCATCCTTTTATGATTATTTGTTCAATTTATATTTTATTTATATTCTTTTAAAAATTTTCATTATTAAAAGGAAAGTAACTTAAAACAGGATAAATCAAGGGAAGTAACCCAATAAATACACAGTTTTTGTTACACAACGGCAGTTAGCCTGAGGTAAAAAATCGTTGATTACCTGTATGTTTGACACCCAAGCTGACAAGTGAAGCCATATAATTATGCATGTTAATTGATTTACAGGTAAAATATAACTTCAGGTAATGTCAGTTACACCAGATGCCTGAGATGATATGTTGGGCAGAAATTTTTCATTCATGAAAAATTTCATACACGGGATTTTTTCCTCTTCAACGGGAGGTCGGGAGGAGACCCCTGAAAACGGGATTATTGTACTCCCGTCGGGAGGTTCACATGTATGCCTATTCAAACCATATCATTATTATTTGCTTTTATATATAAATCAGAAATAACCAATTTAAAATGGAAAATGTTAAAGAAAAATAAAATGCTTCGCTGGGGCGCAGCTTGATACGACCGCAGAGGTCGAACCCTGAACAGTTGGGGCAAGTATGGACACAACATTCAAGCTTGATACAGCTCTGAATTTGGATTGTTATTAAATATTTGACACAGCATAGGTTTCTGACACAGAAAGAATGTGGTCTAAGAACTTGAATTTTTTTAATTTACCTATTATGGTCCAATGTCCAAAATCAAAATACATGGTTAGATTCAGCATATCAAAGAACCCCATATATTCAATTTTTGTTAAAATCAAACAAAGTTTAATTTTGGACCCCAACTTGGACAAACTTGAAAACTGGGCCCATAATCAAAAATCTAAACACATGTTTAGATTCAGCATATCAAAGAACCCCAAGAATTCAATTTTTGCTAAAATCAAACTAAGTTTAATTTTGGACCCTTTGGACCTTAATGTAGACCAATTTAAAAAACGGGACTTAAAATTAAAAATCTAAATACACGGTTAGATTTGGAATATCAAAGAACCCCAATAATTCAATTTTTGATGAAATCAAACAAAGTTTAATTTTGGACCCTTTTGACCTCAATATGAACCAATTTGATAGCGGGGCCCACAAATAAAAAATCTAAATTCATGGTTAGATTCAGCATATCAAAGAACCCCATATATTCAATTTTTGTTGAAATCAAAAAAAGTATAATTTTGGACCCCAACTTGGACCAACTTGAAAACTGGGCCCATAATCAAAAATCTAAACACATGTTTAGATTCAGCATATCAAAGAACCCCAAGAATTCAATTTTTGTTAAAATCAAACTAAGTTTAATTTTGGACCCTTTGGACCTCAATGAAGACCAATTTAAAAAACGGGACCCAAATTAAAAATCTAAAAACACGGTTAGATTTGGCATATCAAAGAACCCCAATAATTCAATTTTCGATGAAATCAAACAAAGTTTAATTTTGGACCCTTTTGACCTCAATATGACCAATTTGATAGCGGGGCCTACAAATAAAAAATCTAAATACATGGTTAGATTCAGCATATCAAAGAACCTCATATATTCAATTTTTGTTGAAATCAAACAAAGTTTAATTTTGGACCCCAATTTGGACCAACTTGAAAACTGGGCCCATAATCAAAAATCTAAATACATGTTTAGATTCAGCATATCAAAGAACCCCATATATTCAATTTTTGTTGAAATCAAACAAAGTTTAAATACTGGACCCTATCTTGGACCAACTTGAAAACTGGGCCCATAATCAAAAATCTAAACACATGTTTAGATTCAGCAAATCAAAGAACCCCAAGAATTCAATTTTTGTTAAAATCAAACTAAGTTTAAATTGGACCCTTTGGACCTCAATGTAGACCAATTTAAAAAACAGGACCCAAAATTAAAAACCTAAATACACGGTTAGATTTGGAATATCAAAGAACCCCAATAATTCAATTTTAGATGAAATCAAACAAAGTTTAATTTTGGACCCTTTTGACCTTAATATGAACCAATTAGATGACGGGGTCCACAAATAAAAAATCTAAATACATGGTTAGATTCAGCATATCAAAGAACCCCATATATTCAATTTTTGTTGAAATCAAACAAAGTTTAATTTTGGACCCCAATTTGGACCAACTTGAAAACTGGGCCAAAAATCAAAAATCTAAATACATGTTTAGATTCAGCATATCAAAGAACCTCATATATTCAATTTTTGCTAAAATCTTACAAAGTTTAATTTTGGACCCTTTGGACATTAATGTAGACCAATTTGAAAACTGGACCCAAAATTAAAAATCTAAATACACTGTTAGATTCGGCATAACAAATAAATAAATGTGATCAAAGATTTTACAAATCTAATGCCCCATACTGTGCAATTAAAGATTACTTCTTGAAATTTTTCAATATTTGAAATTTGAAAAAAAAATAATATTTGAAGAATAATTCTTTTTAATTTCTGAAATCTGAAATGAGAAAAAATTGGCCCCCCACAATTTCTTTTTATCCCCCCCCCCCTTTTTCCCCCAAAAAAATTCTTTCCCTCAAGATATGGTCATAATCTCAATTCAAATTTCCAATGGAGTTGGCAACCATAATTACCCATTTAAATTTACCATAGTGCTAACTTAATCTATTTTATAATAGAATTAATAAAAATATAGTGTCAAATCTTTCATATGGATTTTTTTGTAAAAAAAAAAGATGAAAACATTTGCAGATATTTTTACTGGTCTTCCTTTATAAATATGCATTTCTTTAAACATAATTTAAAAGCAGTGTAAGGGAAGTAACCAAAACGTTGTATTTTGATTACCTCCCTTACACTGTTTTAGATTATCTTTATTGTTCATTAACCATTACTTTATACATAATTTAAAAGCAGTGTAAGGGAGATAATTTCAATGATGTATTTGATTTATCTCCCTTACACTGCTTTAAATTATGTTTTGTACTAAAGTATTTGTCCATTAACCAGGACAACCTTGTTTTTCCCCCTTTTTTGCCCCTAATTCCTAAACGGTTTGAGCCATAACCCCCCAAAGCAAATCCTAACCATCCCTTTGTGGTATGGAAACTTGTAGTATAATTTCAGAGAGATCCATACACCATTCCACAGTTATTGTCTGGAAACTAGAAAATGCTCATTTTTGGCCCCTTTTTGGCCCCTAATTACTTAACTGTTGGTACCATAACCCCCAAAATCAATCCCAACCTTCCTTTTGTGGTATTTAACCTTATGGTCAAATTTCAAAAAGATCCATTCACTTAAACTAAAGTTAGAGTGCGAAAACCAATATGTATTCGGACGACGACGCCGGACGACGACGACGACGCCAACGTCATACCAATATACGACCACAAAATTTTTTTGCGGTCGTATAAAAATGCATGTACATTGTATGGTCGATAAAGCTTTGGTCGCATTTGTTAATGTATATTTGCTAAAAAAACTAATGTTGAATTCATGTTTATAATTGCAGAGTAATTGAATTCATATTCTAGGTATCTCAGGGTTCTCATTAACGTGCATATCTGCATCCTGAACACATGGTTTTCTGTCTGGATGCACCATTTCTTGAACCTGTGCCTCTGTGGGGAAGCGTCCTAATAACACTAGCCGAGACCTGTTATCATCAGAATTATCCCTCTGCTATCAAAAAGTAGTTGAAGACTTGCTTCTTGTCATTATTTTTAGCAGAAAATTTACTTTCATTTTCATTTATTGCTATGCTTAATGATCAATCCTGAGAGAGTCAAAAATAATTGTGGTCGCATGATTGACTTACACTAAATTTATAAACACAGAGAAGATCGAAGTCTGTTTACATAAGCACGTATATCTATTATCGGCAATAAATGTGTCAAAAAAGCCAAGTTATTATCAAATGATTAAAACCCAATACATATTCAAATGGATATTAAATTATGTAACACAAACAATGTAGGTGATTAAGGGGATTAGAACTATTTTGATGCAATTATTATTAGCAGGAGAATATGTCCAATAAAAAAACTTGAAACATTGCGAGGATAGGAAATAAGTTAATATCTTTATTTATTTATAAAAACTGACGGACTTTACCTTTATTATGACATTTCTATTGTCCATTGTTTTCAACCTTAAAATTTTTCAGTAGTAAAATGAAAGAATTTGATCAAAATCATTGTACTCATTGGAGGAATCACAATAAGCCAAATTAGACAGTTCTAAAACGACTTGACGTACAATGAACTCGTCAGAATTGGCTGGGACTCACCATTATAAAAATTGATTGATTGATTGTTGGTTGCTTAACGTCCAGTGGCAAATATTTCATGCATATTCAGGACGGGAACAAGTTAACAATAAATACAATAGGTAGGTTCTGTAATAGGGCTTCCAGGATTAAGGTCGGAGAAATTTAGACTGCCACGGGAAATGAGGGTATATTGGATAGGGACAGAAATTTAGCCTTACAACAGGTCACCTACGGACCCCTCAAAGAGTTGTTGCAAGGGTTCTTAACGTGCAAAGAGCGTGGCACTCTCTTTACACGAGGCATCGGATTTAACGTCCCCATTCTGACCGGACGTGGCTGCAAATTTGTACATCCCGCACAGCCAAACGGACGCCCCACTTTAGCAAGGGTTTTACTGCCAGTCAGAGGAAGACCAATGGTGACCATACTTCTATTCCCCAGTCACCCTTGGGGGTTCCATTATAAAAAGGGATGAGTCCCAGGACTCACCAAAAAATATCCTAGTGAGAACCCTGCATCTCTGAACATTTTAACATGTCTCAATAACAGTCAAACCAATCTGATATCCCTCTCTATGCTGATGATAGCCTATTGTAAAGAGAAATAAGCGATGCCAAAGATACATGTACACACCACCTGCAAAATGACCTAGAAGTGTTAAAAAATTAGAAGACATGGATGATGAGATTTAATCCAACCAAATGCAATGACATCTACATATCACCAAAGATCCTGTACAATATCCATACAGCCAACATGGCCACAAATTTGAAACATTAAAGGTTGTACGATGACTTAACCCTTTCATCGAAGAATCCCGTTTTACCGGGATTCACGTTTCAGACAGCTGACGAGGAGTCCCGGTTTACCAGGATCGGAATACGTCTTTAATATTTCCCGCTGAAAATCATTGCAAACACAATCTATCTTCCTTTGTTTAATACCCAGATGAAAGTGTAAACATAGCGCTTCTGTTTGTTGAAAATTGTGTCAAAATCAGATGAAATTTACGGTTTACTGGAATTTGAAAAAATAAGGGAACATTTTTTCAGAAAGAATTTGGAAGATTTGAAGCCAGACTAGTATACTTTTTTGACATAAAATGCTGTTTTAAGTACAAAAACACTTGGAATGGACATCGTTCAGTTTTGGGTTACAAAATAACGATTTTGGGTCAAAAAGTCGAATTTCGTGTATTTCATCTATTATAATGCCGAAAATTTACTATTCTGACAAAAAATTTATCAAAACATTAACAACTTGGTGTCCATGGTGTAAGTGAATAAAATAAAGACATAAATAACTACAGACAATTTTTTATTGATATTTAATATGAAGATCTCCCACTTGTGTCACAATACACCTTATCGCTATTCCCGGCTGACCCGGCCGCTTGAACTTTTGACGTCAACAACAATCACTTTTCTATTGTGGCGTCAGATATTTTGTTTTATGACGTCAAAATTTTACGGGAACCTGTGTGATATCCAGTAATGGCGGACAAATAGCGATAAGGTGTATAGCCAGGGAAGCCATCGTCTCCGAGTAGCTTAGGTCAGGGCAGTTATCGGTGAAAGGGTTAAGCAGAATCCCTTGAAAAATCCACTCAGTGCTAAACTTCACATTAAAACTGGTCAATAAAAATAGTTTAATCTGTAAACTATTAGCAAATACTGAAATAGTTTAATCTGTAAACTATACTATAATTTATAAACATGGCTAAATTTGTCAATTCGATCTGGTGCAACTCAAATTATTGAACAAAAATTTCACATGTCAGGGATGTGTTTTGCCCCAAAATTATAGCTCATTAGAAACCGTATCACTTGTTCAGTGACCGATCTATTGGGTTGCTGTCTCACTGACTGACAGTGACAGTTCATTGTTTGTTTTCTTAAAATATAAAACGCTTTAATTTACTGAAATACACGAACCCTTCTATGTAACTTTTGTCTGCTAAATAAGCGTTCAAAGCCTGTTGGCCGGCTTTTGCCTTTAAATCTCCAAAACCCATGTCTTTTTTTTCCACGAATATTTTCACAACGTGGTCGCCGGTTCGTCTTGCCGAAAAGACCGGAAATAAAAAAAATTTAATGCACAACAAAAATGAAAATAAAAGAAAGTAATTAGCAGATATATCAATAATAAAATGACATTGGAAAGGACATAAAATTGTTTTTCTTTTTGAAATTTTGATAGTTTTAAATTTTTCTTTTCTTTTAAACCATGGTTTTTAAAATTTGTATCTGAATATCATTGAAGGTTTACCCATGATCCCTTTGATTTGAATTTCCTGTAAACTTGTCCAAGGTGAATTCTGCTTGTTTTAATTTCCAAAACAAAGCTAAAAAGGCATCAAATCAAGTGCATAACAATTTAGTTCATTTGCTTAATTTTATAATATGAGGCAGGTGCTACATGTGAAAGACGACCATATCAATATTTGTAGCTATTTGAAATAGAATTACATATTTTTATTGTCAAATTTATATAAACATATATTATTAAAAATAAAATAATTTTGAATATTTTTAACTAAGGCCAACTTTTTTTGCATTATCAGAGGAGGTGGATCCAAAAGGGGGGGCTCCATATACATGTACAAATGTAGTATATAAAATAAATTTTTGATTAATATTATCCTCGTGTATTGTATTTTCGACCTACTAACATATTTCTGCGAATTTCCCTTTTATATGTTTGAACATAGACATGCCTAATATTTTGAGAGTCACTAGTATACTTGTGCATAAAATAATAGGGCTCTTCACGGTTAGTTCGACCATATTGGATAGGGGGCAGATTTTTTTGAAAGAGGTGGAAATAGTATGAAAGTATGGGAAATCCTATGCATGTTTCCAAGCAACTGCTCTGTTTTAATGTGGTTTTCCCGAATTTTTCACACCATTTTTACCTCCATTATGAAAATCTGCCCCCTATCCAATATGGCCGAACTAACCGTGAAGAGCCCTATTGTATCTGAAATATATTCGATCTTAAATTTTTTTTTTTTTTTTGAGTTCATTAGATCGATAGAACCTTTGTTGACAAAAACTAGCGTCTTGTGTTTTCGACCTATCTAAGAAACTGTCCAAACTTGGAAATGACATGTTGTACAAATCCGGAATACACCTTATCGCTATTTGTCCGCCATTACTGGACATCACACAAGTTCCCGTAAAATTTTGACGTCATAATAGAAAACATCTGACGCCACAATGGAAAAGTGATTGTTGTATGACGTCAAAAGTTCGAGCGGGACTGATTCTCGGGTCAAGCGGGATTAGCGATAAGGTGTATTGGTTAAAATTTGATGCCAATGTCTATATCAAATTATTTAAATTGTTAGGAGGCGATCAAACTTATGACTTAATGAATTAAATGGTTACATAAACAACTTTAAGATAAAAAATATTATTTTGATATCTTTATTTGACTAGTTGTACACATTTCACATGAGGCACTTTGGAAGCAAGTTTGATCTTGTATACATTCATTTTTTTGTTCAATACTTTAGTGAAGGCATTGTGGAGTGAGTATTGTCTGTAATTTCCACTGACAGACAGCTGTTGTTTCTGTAAATTAAAATTAATCGATATTTTATTTTTTTAGTAAAAAGCTGTAAGGATCATGCAGATTTCCGTATTAAAAATAACTTTAAGTATTACGACTAACCACCTGACAGTCATGTGACTTAATGACCTGGATGTAAACTTCACGTGCAAAAAGTCCCCCTGCCATATTTCTAGAATATTTGTTTATTTTTTATAGATTCTTTTTAAGGTAAAAATAGTATTAGTAAAAGGGTACAAAAATGTGATATCAAATAATAAAACGTAAATACTTAATTACATTAACTTTACTTGGAACATCTTAACCACCATGTGGTGTTATTTGATATTGTTACAAATTATAGCAGCCGAATATGACGTCACGCGGACATGAGCAGCATACCGGAAGTGAATGTAGAATTAAGTCGAAAACGTAAGACGGTCGAAAACACAATACGAGACGATATACCAAATTAAATACACCATAACGCTATTTATCCACAATTGCTGGACATCTCAGAGGTTCCCATCAAATTTTGACGTCACAAAAGAAAATGTCTGATGCCACAAAGGAAAAGTGATTGTTGTATGTCATCAATAATCCTTTTTCGCTATTTTGGAATCTGCAACAATTGACCTGAGAATCTGCAACAATTGACCCGAGAATCTGCGACGCTTGAACCTTGGATGTCATTCATCAATCACTTTTCGTTTGTGGCGTCAGACATTTTCTATTGTGATGTCAAAATTTTACGGGAACCTTTATGATGTCCAGTAATGGCGGACTAATAGCGATAAGGTGTATAGTTCAAGTGTTGCAAATTCTCGGCTCAAGTGTCATAGATCCCCAAATAGCGATAAGGTCTGTAGTCTATCACTAATGATATAAATATCATTGTATTTCTAATATAATTGATCTACCTGTCAGGGCAGCTATCGGTGAAAGGGTAAAGGCAGAAAACATATATCTTGACACGCATTTTGATACAATATATTTACTTGCTCAGTTCCTTTGGTGTGGAGGTGTGAAAATGAAGAGAAAATAGGCCACTTCACGGTTATTGCTGCCATATTGAATAGGGGCAGAATTTTGGATGGAGGTGGAAAAAGTAAGAAAGTACAGGAAAACCTATGCATGTTTCTGTGCAACTGTTCTGTTAAAATGATGTTGTCCCATGTTTTTCAAAGCATTTTCTCCCAACATTATGAAATCTGCCCACTATTCAATATGGCTGCAATAACTATGAAATAGCCTATTCTCAATTTAGAAAATTTTCTATCTCCGCTTTTATATATTTATATTTGAAATGTTTAATATAAACTTACTTCCTAATTGTCCTGACCTCAAGGAAGACTGGGGAATAGAAACATAGTCACTTTTGGTCTTTATACCATCAGGCAGTAAAACCCTTTTCAAACTGAGACATCTACTTTGGTTGTGTGGGATGTATATATATGCAGCCATGTCAGGTCAGAATGGGGAGGTCTAATTAAATGTCAGGTGTAGAGAGATTGCCACACTTTATACATTTAAAGATCCCCTCAATTCTTTATGGGTTTGTAGGTGGCCTGTTGCAAGGCTAAATTTCTGCCCCTATCCAATATGCCTTCATTTTCCAGTGGCAATAAACATTTCCCATCTTTCATCCCAGTCAATTTATATTACAGGACCTACCTATTGTATTCTGAGATTGTTTATTTGTTCTCATCTCAAACATGCATGAAATATTTGTCACTGGACGTAAAGTAACAGAAATCAATCAAAATTTTCCCATAGACATTAATCGACTGCTATTGTGATACCAAAATCCAAATGATTTGTCTCTCGTTTTGATAATAATCGACATCTTAAATCCTATACCCCACAATTTATAAATTTCTGAAAAACTTTTTAGCATGTTTTGAAATTTTTACTCTTTTTATTCAGGAAAAACAACAAATCAGCCCAAATCTATTTATCAAAGAATTTGATTAGACCTAGCCTGTAATCATGACTAGTGCAGTTGGTAGGATTTTGTAAAATGTTGTTTGTACTTTTACCCACAGATCTAAAAGAAAAATGATGATGATAATAAATGACTGTTTTACGCTCAGTGGCAAATTAAATGAATATTTAGGATGAGAACATGGTAATGTGATATAAGTATATACCAGGATTTTCTCGCTGTGTTGAAGACCCAGTGGTGGCCTTCAGCTGTTTTCTGCTCTTTGGTCAGGTTGTTGTCTCTTTGACACATAATTCCCCATTTCCATTCTCAATTTTATAACCCTGCTTTGTACTAAACCGACACAGATTTTTGACCTACTAGTTCACAAGGAAACAGTACTCAGGAAAACATGTTACCCATCCCTGGCACTTTATTCCGACCACAAGCCATCCAGTCTGCTCTTCTATATGCAGGGTCCGTAGGGGAGAAACAGCAGATACAGATTTTCAAGTCTTTGGTTTTACCCGTCCGGGGTTTGAACACATGTCCTCCAGCATGCTTCCACATAACGGCAGAGGCTGTCAAATTAAAAATGAAATTGGAATCAGTTTTGTTAACCATGTGTACCATTTTATTTGTTACTACCTTAATTGATCTTACTATCAATAAAAAAGAATTTGAAATATTTTGAAGGTTTGTTTTGCTGACATCCCCTGAAAAATTTCTGGATCTTCCCCTGATGATGTAGTGCGGGATTTCCTCGCTGCGTTGTAGACCCATTGGTGGCCTTCGGCTGTTGTCTGCTCTTTGGTCGGGTTGTTGTCTCTTTGATATATTCCCCATTTCCATTCTCAATTTTATTGACATTATAAAAATATTCAGTTTTACATAATATGAGGCAGGTGCTACCTTGAGTGATGAGCTCCTGAAAGTTATTGTTGCATGTTTGTTTTACTTATACATGTTATAAATCATCATACTATTTCCATGATTTCAAATGGTATCTGAGGAGAATACGATTTTCTACAAATCAGATTATCAAATACTGATAGTCTCATTTGTAGAAACTCGTATCCTCATCAGAGTCTATGTTGTTTTAGAAATAATCCTGAAAAGAATGAAAACTTTTCTCCATTCTCACAGTAGAAGGCGTGATAGGAAGTTTATTCCCGCCATGTTGTTGAAGAATTATTTTAGAATTGTGGTATAAGGACAACAAGGACTTTTCCTTTGTGCCTTGAGGCGTCAAACAATTTCTCATGTGACATCGAAACTTTATCATGTTTATGGGAATGTTAGTGATGTCCAGTAATGATGAACAAATAATTATAATTAACAAGGTGTTTTGTCCCAAATGGAAATTCTGCAATTTATTCTCCCTTCTGGAGCATATGAATAATTTCAATAGAGTTTTCCACAATTTCCAGGTTATGTCTTCATATTATTTTAATTGATAAGTTATTTGTTGAAAAAATGAATACCTGAAAACAACAAAGATGGACATGACAGGATTTTGATATGAGGCAGGTGCTATCTGCTGAGCCATCAAAGCTGTCAAATTTTGGGAAAATTTGAATGGGAAAAGATGGCTTATGACTAGTTACTTACAATATAGATCAGATGTTATTTCTACTTTTTTATGTTGACCATTGTGTGCTTTACATTATGGAACAATTATATAGATATACACAATGTATTATATTGATTTGATTAATGTGATGGAATTCTGCACTTGAATTACAACAGTCAATGACCATGACAGTAGCTTAGATTTCATTTTGCACTTTATTATGCAAAAATATGCAAATGGACCAATGATTCTAAAAGGAAACTAGTTCTATTAGATGTGTACAGTCTTAAAATTCCTGTTAATTATATACTTTTGACTTTTCGTTTACATTTGGAATTTGTATTCAAAAGGAATCCATTGAATTAATAATTTTAAATCAGTGAACGATAGACATGATAGATAGATACAAGTACATGACTGCAAACAGATTTAGAAATATGGATGTCACTAAATGTCTCCAGATCAGGACACATCATTAAAGTTGAAGACCTGAAAAAATATGAAAGGAATCCACAGAAATCAATATACATTTATCACTGAAAAATAATCCAAGTAGTTGCTCTGAGTGACTGCTCATCTGTCATTTATCTCTGCATTTGCATACATGTACATTGTCTCATTTTTTAATATTTTTTTTTTTAATTTTAAGAATAATAAGCACTTTTAGTTTAGGTGAAATAAGTAAGTGCATTCTTAAATTTGTTAGCTATATAGTGGAATTTTAGTTTAAGATGTCATATGGTTATTTATTCCTTGATTGTTTAGTAAAAGAATGAGAATCTGAAATTGTCTTTGTTGCATTGAAGTTGTCTGTGTGCTTGTTGATAGGCTGATCTTGTTTTGGACTGGTTTTTAGTGAGTATATTTTGTAACAGTATGCTTATTTCATTGTGTAAAACATTGTGTAACATCTGAAGTCTGTTTTTTACACAATAAATAGTGCAGCTACTTATTCAAGTCAAAAAGAACAGTACAGGCTTCAAAAATTTTGTTGTTTTCTAAATGTTCTCTTTGATACTAAATTATTTTTTTTGGCAGGTAAACATGTTGAGGCTCTGGCCCCTTAGTAGGGTCTTGGTGACTAGAACATCTGGGGCCATTTTTGGTATGTATTTCATGTTTTGTATTTAAACATCAAAGAATGAGAAGAAATAGGCCTAATATATACATGTGAAAGCCTGGTGCACAATTTACTTTAACGACTAGGACTATTAATTGCATACTGTGGATGCATGTATTGTGTTAAAAACAGAAAAAAGGAGGTAGAAAGAGCAATTTTAAATCTTCTGAATTAAAGAATATTAGCATTATTTCACTTATGATTAGGGGTATATGTCAATGTGAAAGCAACAAAAATACACAAAAACACAAAATGCTCGATATTTTATCTTTTATGATTGTTAATTTTTTTTAAGGACACATTTATTATTTTTAATTTTAGCACGTACTAACACAACAGCTCAAGATAAAGTAGAAGTGTTTGTTGATGATAAACAAGTATTTGTGCCTCCAGGAACTACAGTATTGCAGGTTTGTTTATCGTTATAATGTGACCATTGACTAATACTTGTAATGTTGAACTTTTTTTATCTGAATACAAAATATTGATAATGATTAGGCATGTTATTTAGGATACAATAAAAAATGATGAATTTAGAATTAAATGTAGGAAGTGGCATTCTCTTATGATTGTGGTCTGTTATTCATTTCCCACATGAAGATGTATTTCTAGTATCACGCTGAATGGTGTGGGATATGAATAAGTGATACAAAAAATGTGTTAATTTTGTTGGCCTATAAGCAATTGAAATGTAAATTTGCATTGAAAATGATGACTTTCAAAGGACTACTTTTTCCCATAAATTATGGTTTCTTCAATAATATATAAAACATATGTTTAACCTGAAAATATTCTTTTTGTCAAATTTGATTCCCTTCTGACGCGTACAAAAATCTTGAAAATGTCTGATAATAATGTGTGAATGTTTAGGTGCTATAGACAGGTACAATGTGTCACGGAATTTCCATTTTTACCAAAGAGAATTAGGTTTAATTTCTGTAATATTCAAGTTGATATCAAGTTATATCAAATTCTCACTCATAATAAAACCTATAATTATCATTTCTCAACTTTTCCCTTGTTAATCTAATACATACCCTTCACCCTTTATACATAGATAGTAACACAATTATTTGACTGATATTTTTTTTATATCGCAACTTAAATCTTCCCATAGATTGCTTTTACACATAATTTGTTGACTACATGTACCATTTAACATCAAGTTGGATTCAATGACATCCAGAAGCTGCTATAAAATGAACTTTGTACTAAAAAAAAACAATGTAGAGAAAATGAAATGTTTTCAAATTTGCAGATTTTCACTAGAAAACACACCTTTTTTCCAAATTTAATCATGTTAATTAAAAAAAAAAATCTGTTGAAAGCATTTTTAATCTTAAAAAAAAAAATTTAATTTAAATTCAAAACATTAAAAATATGTCTTAATGCCTAATAATAAGATATAAATTTATTCAGTATATCCCTAACAATGTAAACCCTGTTTTGACAATATATTATCTAGCGTCATTAATTGAGTACAAAGAGACCTCCCAGATTTATTTATTTACTTTTTTTTATACTTTACTGTGAAACAGAGTGAAAACTAGATGTTTGAGAATCGGTTTTATTACCTAATCATTACACACTATTCAAGCAAAAGTAGGTGTATATAGTATTTGGTATGTTCAAACTTGCTGATCACAACTTAACCTAAATCATTGAATACATTTTCATAAGAATTTAAAATGGATGTTCAATAAATAATTGCATTATGCACCTATTATACTATTAATCAAATTTGTGTTTGTTTTTTTTTGTACAAAAATAAGGACTTTGACATATTTATAAGGAAGGATATGTGTCTTTTTATATTTTTTTGGTGAACAAATCACATTAAAAAAACCTGACTCGATATCATGTTCTTCTATGCTAATTTTGCACTTAGTAAAAGATGTTTTAACTTTTAATTCTTGCTGTTAAAAATGTTTGTATGTATAGTTGATACACATTTCCTGATGAATTTTCTGTACTTTTGTTATGCAGGCTTGTGCAGAAGCAGGAGTAGAGATTCCTCGGTTTTGTTATCATGACAGATTGTCAATAGCTGGTAACTGCAGAATGTGTCTGGTAGAAGTAGAAAAGTCAGCTAAGGTAAGAACCTTTCTGTATATTATGTTTTATTGGTTGTATACGTAAAAATGAGTTATGTAGTTGACACAAATATTTACTTGGTGCTTAGTGTCCGATCTAAGCATTACAAAGAGTTTTGTGAAACATGATCCTGAGCCTATTTATTTTAAAGTATTGGAATTAAAAAAAATATAATACTTATAGCTCCAATAATATGAATGCAGGCAGTATTTTTTCAAACAAGAGTTAAACTTGGTAATGTTATTTTTATCACTGATTCCTAGTCAATGGTCATAGTAAGGTAGTTTTCTAAGATTATAGTAGATCACCTATACAGAAGGCATTTGAAAATCGCCAAAGATCATGTGAAAAACGTAAAGCTGCAATGAATTTACTGGTATGTCATACAGGTCTATTATGACTCACCACTTGCCACTTTTGTTTCTTCAATAAATAAAACTGGCAGAAAGAAAGTTAGTATATATAGAGGTTGTATTAAATGACAACCAAACAAATAACCATTCAAACATAAATGTAGTGATTAAAATACAGATTAACAAATGTATTTTAATCTTGTTAACAGTCCTTCCACTGAGGTTGACCACTAAATATACACTAACTTACAGATGTACACAAAATTGAAAAAAACAGACATTACAAGCTAGCTCTGTAGTTATTTTTCTTGATAAATTTCAACCGTTGGTATCGGTGTGTAAGGTACTAAATAAGTATGTTTATACATATCCAAAAGTATTTTGATATGACATTGGTTTAGAATCATAAGAAAACATAATTTTACATGACTGTAAGCAGAAAGGTGGTATTTTAGATATTTGTACATGAGCATGTCTGAGATAACTAAATCCAGAATGCAGGAAGTATTTATGTATTTCCTATTTTAATAGTATGCATTTATTTCTTTTATTACAAGAAAAGTCACCCAATAGATGTAGTTAGAAGGGTTGGGTCAGTAAATCTTTATTGATGGTTTATTTTTGTGCAGTATATATGTAGGACTCAAATCTATGGCGGGTTCCAAATCTATGGCAGATTCCTAATCTATGGCAAATATGACGTTGCAAACGCCAAACAAATCAAATCTATGGCAGATTTAGGAATTACGTAATTTTCCGGGAAAAAGAGTAACACAAAACTTCACAATAAAATAACGCCATGTAAGTTGTCGCCGACAGTAAAGTTGTTGGCTCTCCAAACTTTCCTGAAGTCCTGTGTTTAAAATACGCAGGAAAACACTTTCTGCTTTCCCTTTAGAACAATTTGCCGATGGTTTAAATGAAGATGTGATCTTTTATCCATAGGAGGGACACCAATTATTGTACCGTCCGAATCCCGCGATCAAGAAAGGCACAGCTGTTTTAGTAATGGATATTTTGGGAATGGAGATATAGTAAATATTTTAGCGTCTACGGCTGGCAAAGTATTTAAAGTGAGAAAATGAAATTACAGGATACCACCTTGACTTAAATCGTCACCAGTTAAAAAAGATTGATTAACGCTGAAACAAATATTATGTGAAAAGTCAAACTGTTTAAATTGGGGTTTTTTTTTTATAAAAAACTGCTTTCTTGTTTGTTTAGAGACTTCCATTTTTCTAGTTGTTTTAATTAATGGATTAAACAGGTACTATGCACAGATTAGGAAATGCTTCCGGGGAAGATAATTTTAACCCCGATTTCTGTATTATGGTATATCACTTCTGCACTTTTTTTATGGTTGACATCACGATTTGATTGACCATTATGGAATTTTTATTTCACAAATGTTTATAGACATGCTCCCGTTGTCGTACATTTCAACTTATTTAAGACAAGTCAGTGATTGTATATGTACTGCCTTGCTCTACATTGCACAAAATCTGCCATAGATTTGGAAACAACAAAAATCCGCCATAGATTTGGAAATTACAAAACTTGCCATGGATTAGGATTTTAAAAAATCTGCCATAGATTGGGGATGTCATGACGTCATATTTACCATAGATTAGGAATCTGCCATAGATCTGGAACCCACCATAGATTTGAGTCCTACATATATATTTTTCATTCTTCAGCCTGTTGCCTCATGTGCTATGCCTGTGATGAAAGGAATGAGAGTCAAAACAGATTCTCCTGCTACAAGAAAGGCTAGGTAAATTTGGATTTTGGTTAATTTTTTGTAAATTTGATAATCATTACTCTTTGATAATACTTTAAATCAATAAGATATTATTTTAAAAAAAGTGTTTTTATTTTTGAAAAAAATATTTACAAATTGAATGTGGATTGCCATGTTTGGCATCAGTACAGAATGCTTATTCACTTGAAGTTCTTGAAAAGCAGTTAGAAAATAAATGTAATAATATAAAGTAAAAATAAATGTCTTTCAGATGCTGATTCAGTCATGGCTTTTTTCCTTAAAATGACAAGAAAAGAACATATAATTTTCCTTGTCTTTATGATTTGTATGATTTTTGCTTCAATTTGCATTTGAAAACAACACATTTTTAGTCCCTGTGTTTAATTGACATCTCCTTTAAACAAAATTACCAGAGATGCCACAAAAATAGTCTTCTGCTAAAAAGTGATTTATGATTATTAGCTATAAGTAAGTAGTGTGGTAGCACTTTTAATAGTAGGACTGTTTTAGTTTATCATTGAAAGTGTAAATATAATTTTGTTGCTGCAGGGAAGGTGTTATGGAGTTTTTACTAATGAATCATCCACTGGATTGTCCCATCTGTGATCAGGGTGGAGAATGTGATCTACAGGTAATCAAACTTATGACAACTTTTTAGGCTACATTTTTGCAAATAATGCTGGTGCTTTTGGACTTGAAATCATCTTGGAAATAAAAATATTTGTTATTTCCTATCATCAGTAATGGAAAAGAAAGGTAATGGTGTATTAAATCATTACATGAACTTAACAAGACAAAATGCAAAAGAACAGTGGTTTCATTGCTGTTGTTTCATCTCAAAGTTACAGTTTAGATCCTGAAAAGACATGAGACAAGAGAAGTACTGATATGATTATATATTATGAGGAAACTTGAAAATTTGCAAATTCAGAAGGCATGCACAAAGAAAAAATACAATCTAAAAACTGTCAGAGCATAAATTCAAAGAGTTAAAACACAGATTTTTGCACAAAATGGTACGACTGAAGTCCAAAGTATAGCTGACAGTTTGCCAAAGTATTCTACTTACCTTTTTATGCCCCTGCTGTAGCGGATGGGGCATTAAGTGGTACCTTTGTGCGTACCCAAACTCGTATGCCCCATCGTAGCGGGGGGGGGGGGGGGGGGGGGGGGGGCATTAAGTGTTACCTTTGTCCTATACAAAATGCTTATAATCACAATATAATCTTAACTACAAGAATCCTGCATTTGTATGTGGAAGTTGACTCATTCATATTTACAAGCAGGGGCTATTTAAAATCTACATTTAGATACTTTTTTATCTTTTAAGTTTTTGTCATAAAGTTTTAAAAAAATAATTTTATGCTGAGAAGTTGCTAAGTTGCTAAATGGCAAAAGATGTCATTGCTGATAGCACATGGTGTAAGGCCCTGCAGTGTACTTCTTTACAAAGTAATCATAAGATTTTCTTATTTATTTACAAAATGTTTATCATAAAATTTGTTTAGAAGTTTGTGCCTTATAAAAATGAATTAAGTATGAACAGATAAAAGACCTGAAATACCCAGAAAAATACTCAAAAATCATCTCAGAAAACTGTTCAAAAGAAATTAACTTCAGAGAATAGGGTTAGTTAGGAACTGTAGAAAATTCATTTTGATCTAGAAATACTCTCATGGAAATGAGTTAATCTTACTTTAAAATATCTTTTGACAGGATCAGTCAATGGCATTTGGAAGTGACAGAAGTAGATTTACAGACATTGAATTCAGTGGCAAAAGGTATAGATTGTGCAGTATGCTGAAGATATCTCTACAAAATTCAATTGTGTCTTGTACTATGCAAATGCCTTTATACCTGCCAGAAAGTCATTCTGTAAAACATCAATTAGCTATCTAAAATAATGGGGAAAAAAAGAATTGTCCTAAAAATTAAATGCCCCATGACTAGGTCCCTTGTATGGCAGTATAAAGTTCCACACATCAACAATGTGGACTGTTACAGATATCATCCCCAGCAAATGATGTTACAATGTTATGTTGGAATTGATTTCCATATCACACATAGCTTTTTGATGTCATAATTTATAATTTACTTATTTGTGTTTTTTACTTGATATTGTATAGTATTGGGAAAGTACAAATGTCAAACATTAGTATGATAAAGTACAGAATCTAAAGTTAACTCTTCAATTGATATAAAGGTGATTACGAGGTTAGCTGAATATCGTGATATGTTATTGTTGCATACCTACTTGACTGGACTTTGAGCAAGCAAAAATCCATATAGTTGTCCTTTAATATTCAATTCTTGAGATAATATGCAATTTATATTTGTGCAATAGTCAAATAGTATGATTCATTTCACTCTTAACTGAAAATTCAGTAATGTAATACTTAATGATTAGAAGTATACATACCTCACTTTCATAAATAATTTGATGCTATTTTACAGGGCAGTGGAAGACAAGAATGTTGGTCCATTAGTTAAAACAATAATGACAAGATGTATTCACTGTACTAGATGTATAAGGTAATGATGATTTAGAAATGGTATCTGTCTGGGTTAATACAGATTTAGAAATGGTATCTGTCTGGGTTAATACAGATTTAGAATTTGGTATCTGTCTGGGTTAATACAGATTCAGAAATGGTATCTGTCTGGGTTAATCCAGGTTTAGAAATGGTATCTGTCTGGGTTAATACAGATTTGATATTGGTATCTGTCTGGGTTAGTACAGATTTAGAAATGGTATCTGTCTGGGTTAATACAGATTTAGAAATAATATCTGTCTGGGTTAATACAGATTTAGAAATGGTCTCTGTCTGGGTTAATACAGGTTTAGAAATGGTATCTGTCTGGGTTAATACAGATTAAGAAATAATATCTGTCTGGGTTAATACAGATTTAGAAATAATATCTGTCTGGGTTAATACAGATTTAGTAATAATATCTGTCTGGGTTTATACAGATTTAGAAATGGTATCTGTCTGGGTTAATACAGATTTAGAAATGGTACCTGTCTGGGTTAATACAGATTTAGAAATGGTATCTGTCTGGGTTAATACAGGTTTAGAAATGGTATCTGTCTGGGTTAATACAGATTTAGAAATGGTATCTGTCTGGGTTAATACAGATTCAGAAATGGTATCTGTCTGGGTTAATACAGATTTAGAAATGGTATCTGTCTGGGTTAATACAGATTTGATATTGGTATCTGTCTGGGTTAGTACAGATTTAGAAATGGTATCTGTCTGGGTTAATACAGATTTAGAAATAATATCTGTCTGGGTTAATACAGATTTAGAAATGGTCTCTGTCTGGGTTAATACAGGTTTAGAAATGGTATCTGTCTGGGTTAATACAGATTAAGAAATAATATCTGTCTGGGTTAATACAGATTTAGAAATAATATCTGTCTGGGTTAATACAGATTTAGAAATGGTCTCTGTCTGGGTTAATACAGGTTTAGAAATGGTATCTGTCTGGGTTAATACAGATTAAGAAATAATATCTGTCTGGGTTAATACAGATTTAGAAATAATATCTGTCTGGGTTAATACAGATTTAGTAATAATATCTGTCTGGGTTTATACAGATTTAGAAATGGTATCTGTCTGGGTTAATACAGATTTAGAAATGGTACCTGTCTGGGTTAATACAGATTTAGAAATGGTATCTGTCTGTGTTAATACAGGTTTAGAAATGGTATCTGTCTGGGTTAATACAGATTTAGAAATGGTATCTGTCTGGGTTAATACAGATTTAGTAATAATATCTGTCTGGGTTTATACAGATTTAGAAATGGTATCTGTCTGGGTTAATACAGATTTAGAAATGGTACCTGTATGGGTTAATACAGATTTAGAAATGGTATCTGTCTGGGTTAATACAGGTTTAGAAATGGTATCTGTCTGGGTTAATACAGATTTAGAAATAATATCTGTCTGGGTTAATACAGATTTAGAAATGGTGTCTGTCTGGGTTAATACAGATTTAGAAATGGTATCTGTCTGGGTTAATACAGATTTAGAATTGGTATCTGTCTGGGTTAATACAGATTTATAAATGGTATCTGTATGGGTAAATACAGATTTAGAGTGTAATAGTTGCCAGTATTTATGGTCTGCTTTTCGATACATCACTGCTTCAGTAGCCTAAAAAGTATCTTCACCTTGAAAACAGTAAGTCTTCAGCTTAGATCCTGTTTAAGGGCAAATCAAAGAACTGTTTCCTCATTCATTTAAAAAAAATCAATAGATAAAATAATATGAATACTAATTTTTATTAGACCATCACAGCAACTTTAAAATTTTAAATTGATTATTTCCTGAGCATACTGCATTTAAAAAGAAAAAACTTATTAGTTGTAAAACATTATATATATGTATATACACAGATTTGCTAGTGAAGTTGCTGGTGTAGAAGATTTAGGTACTACAGGGAGAGGCGGAGACATGCAAGTTGGTACATATGTAGAGAAAATGATCAAGTCAGAATTATCTGGAAATGTTATTGATCTGTGTCCAGTAGGAGCTTTGACATCAAAGCCATATGCTTTTACAGCAAGACCTTGGGAGACTAGGTAATTTAAAAGTCTTAGTTTAGAGTATAGAAGTATTTTCCCCTTTTTCTGTTTTTGATCTCCTTTGCAGAAGACAGACACTCTACAAAACATGTAACACAAAAGTTAAGATTGAAAAATACAAGTCCCACCAAAATATTCATTAATAAGTTAAAAAAAAAAGAGGATAAGAGGACAGGAGTGTACCTATGAGAAATGGAACATATTCTTGGTCATCTGTGAGACTGATATTCTGTGCAATATTTTAAATGTTTTGATAGGAGAGTAGTAATATGTTATCTTGTGGGCAATCAGAAATCACAAATAAAAAAAGAGAGACAAGACCATGATCAAATGTTACAAAAGACAAAGATGAACAACAATCTACACAAAGCTTAACATTTAGTAAATGAACCCCCACACAAAATTCTTTAAAAACAAATCAGTTCCTGTTTCTACGTCTAGCATCCATTGGGTTTCTTCTGGTAGAATCCAATGATAAGTCAAGGCTATACAAAATAAGATAGCATTGTGACTTAAGACAAAAATAGAATGACTACATGAAAGACACAAACATTCATAAAAAATATCCAATCGTGATAGCAACTTCAAAATTAAAAAGTGATTTAATTGTGTGAGTTCAAACATTATATTTAAGGAAGTGTTGTGATCTACCACAAGGAGGATTAAACATGTTTTTTTTTGTCTCGCCTTGACGGAGTCAAAAAAGCGAGACATATGTATGCTGTTTCCGGCGTCCTTGGCCATGACGGCTGCAGCGGCGTCAACAATGTATTAGTTTGTGATTAGGTCTAGTTCATGGTGAACCACTAGTGGTAGGTCAATGATATTTGGTATGCAGTTGTATTAGCATTGGCACATCTCATTACCATGGAGATTATTTGGCCCTCCCCCTCAGTCAAGGTCTGTTAAGTCATTGATATTTGGTATGCAAATTTATTGGCATTTGCAAGTATCGTTTCCATGGAGATTATATAGCCCCACCCCTGATCATGATTCATTGACTTTGAAACTTTTACATAGTTTACAAGTTAATGTTTGTGTTTAGGTTCGTTTAAAGGGAACGACTTATAATAAGTCAATGGTATTTGGTATGCAGTTGTATTAGCATTGGCACATCTCATTCCATGGAGATTGTTTAGCCATGTACCTTCAGTCATGGTTCATCGACTTTGAATATTTGCATTACTTACATGTTAAAGTATTGCAATTTTAATTTCAATATTTGCATTATAAAAATTACAAAAAGGCGAGACATATCTCTGTGATAACAGTTTATTTTAATAATCCTTACAACAGGGAAAGACTGTCATTTCAATTTTTCAAGATCTTTTCCAAATTATTAAATAACGAGACATAATATACAAACATCAGCAGTAAACAGTATTTATTTGATTTTATTACTTCATGGTATAAACAGAAACTCACAGTTTAATGAATAACACAAGTCAGTTATAAAGTATATGAAAGATAGTGTGATACATCTATTAGGGAATCATAATACTGCCTACAGGTCTAACATTGTCATTAACAGGAAAACAGAAAGTATAGATGTAATGGATGCTTTAGGTAGTAACATTGTAGTCAGTACAAGAACAAACGAAGTCATGAGAATTCTACCTAGAATGAATGAGGTAAATAAACTGTTACCATCCTTGTACTGTTAACTGTTGATTTCATGTCTTGTATTTTTTTTAAAGAAAATAAAAATAGTGATGTGGCCTTTTACAAATTGCAATATCATTGTCTTTTATATCTGATGGGTTTAAGAAGTTATTTTATGTCAGAATTAAAAGAATAACACAAAACAAACAAATGTTGTTTTCTCACTTTGTCAAGAGGTAAAGAAATTTGATTTTACCCAAATATAATTTTATGAGATAATGGTTTTAAGTAAACTACAAAGAACAGTTTGTGAGATTGTAGTCAAAACAATATAATATCTTTATAAATTTTCTTTATTTTAGGATATCAATGAAGAATGGATTTCAGACAAAACCAGATTTGCATATGATGGTTTAAAGAGACAAAGACTGACTACGCCTTTTGTCAGAGATAGTACTGGTGTTCTTAAACAAGCAGACTGGGAATCAGCTTTTGTAGCAGCTGCTGAAAAGGTTATTATAATGAACAATCTGGGGGTCCTGATTTCACCTTTTTTTAGTCCCCTACCGACGAAGTCGAAGGGGACTTTAGGTTTGCACTCTGTCCGTCTGTCTGTCTGTCTGTCCATCCGTCAGTCAGGCAAATCAGTTTTCCACACTTTTTTTCTTTTGAGCTTGAAGATATTGATTTGATATTTGGTATATGTTTTCATCATGACAAGTTACAGATCGATTTTTGTTCCGTTCTGATGATTTTGTCAAGAGTTATGGTCCATGGACTTAGTAAATTCACTCAAATATTCAGTTTTCCGCACTTTTTTTCTTTGTGCTTGAAGATATTGATTTGATAATTGGTATATAGTGTTATCATGACAAGTTACAGATCAAGTTCGAATTTTGTTCTGATCTGATGATTTTGTGCAGAGTTATGGTCCTTGGACTTAGAAAATTCACCCAAATAATCAGTTTTCACCGTTTTTTTGGTCATGCTTGAAGATATTAATTTGATAATTGGTATAACGTTTTATAATGACAAGTTACAGATCATGTTCTAGTTTTGTTCTGGTCTGATGATTTTGTGCAGAGTTATGGTTCTTGGACTTGGAAAATTCACTCAAATAATCAGTTTCCACACCTTTTTTTATCATGCTTGAAGATATTGACTTGATATCTGTTATATAGTTTACACCATGACAAGTTATAGATCAAGTTAGCATTTTGTTACAGTATAATGAAATTTTAACCAGTTCAACAATTAGCATTGATCTTTATTAAATAGTTTTGTATATGATTTTACAGTTAGGAACAACTAAAGGTGATGAGATTGCAGCAGTTGTTGGTGGTTTTGTAGATGCTGAATCTTTAGTTTGCCTCAAAGATTTCCTGAACAAGCTGGGAAGTGAAGGACTATGCACAGAGGAGATCTTCCCAATGGATGGGGCAGGGTAAGTACTGAGTCATTAATCTATTAGATATCAGTGAGTTATTGAATATATGTATTCAGAAGTTCATCCATATAAATGCTCAAAGTAGATATAGGGTTTTAAAGGACAAGATTTTTTGGAGCAAAATATGACCGTGTATTTCAACTTATCATAAAATATGAAAAAAGGCAAGTACTGTGTTCTTAAATGGATCTATTTCATAGCCTTAATGTTAGGTAAAACAAATCTCTTCATTGTAGTTTACCATCGGCGCCAAAGTCAGCACATTTTGGAGATATTGTAAAAATACCTAAAATTTGGCAATTTTCATACTTAAAAGCTGTGGAAAAACCCTGCTAGCAACCTTAGATGTAACCAAAAGGTGTCAAGGTTGATATTGAATCCCTAGACACAAATATCTTTTGGATCAGAGATAGTGTCCAAAGTATAGTATTCTAAAAACTCATAAATACATTTTTTTAAACATTGGACCAAAACTGCATGTTTATTATATGGTGCCAAACAGAAGTTAAATGAGAGTCAACATATATTTTATTAATAGTTAAATTATAATTATTTCTATTTGAAATTGTAGTATTTTGGCCTGATTAAAAAAACATTAATATCTCAGGCCCAATTTTAGCCCTTCATGAACCTACTTTTTGGTCCGTAGATCTCAATGAGCTAGACATTCGTAGTCTGCATTCAGCATAAGATCCCAAAGATGTACAAGATCAGTGTATGATCCAAATTATAGGGAAACAAGATTTGTAGTTCTTGAATAAAGATGTATTTTTAAGAAATTAGGCTGCCCAAAAAAGTTATAAAATTAAACCAGACTTATCTATGGGTGCTTTCATAAAAGCTTAACAAAATGCAAAGAAAATAACAGTTGTACTGATGCACCTTGTTAATAATGACATCATTACAATTACAAACATTAGACTTGTTTAAGATTCGACAATTAAGTAATGGAGAGCAGAACACAATTTATTCTGAATGCAGTGTTTCTATCCTTAAAGTAAACCATGCATAAACATTTATCAAATGGTCTGTTAATTGAATTTCCTATAGTTATGCATGGTCAACATTTTGTGCCAACACAAAAGAAAACCTAAGAAATTCAAAATTATTACCATCAGTTTCAACTATTTACAAAACATTAAATCACATAGAAAGTACATGTTTGATGAAACATTTAAGAGATTGAAAAAATTATTGATCTTCCACGAATAATGGTATGTACAATTTGATTTTACAAACTTCCAAATTACAAAATTCTATTGAACCAGTTGAACATGAGAATGGGTTTGGTTAGTTTGATCTATCCCCATTAATAGGTTAATAAATAAGAACTATATAGATCAAAGAATATTTGTTATTTTTTATATTAATTAAGGAATGACTGTAATATTATTCTGTCTATGAAGAAATAACATAAAAAATGTGGTGCACACTGAATAACCCACGTAGCGGGTTATTTTAAAGTGTGCACCACATTTTTTATGTTATTTCGAATAGACAGAAAAAATATTACAGTCATTTCTTATAATTTAATTCTAAATTCCATTTTAAACCGAAGTAAACCATGAAAAAACGTTAATGACGTCACGGTCACATGACAAAATTATGTCTATGAGCTGATAAACAAAACAATGTCAGCCAATCAGAAGACGTGTTACATCCAAAATTAAATTATTACCAAATAAAACCTCCCGCTTGTGCTAATATAAATTAACAGATTGGTGAAACATTAATTGTGCAGTGCCATTTTTGAAATATATCTTTAATTTTCAGAACTGATTTAAGATCTAATTATTTGCTGAATACAACAATATCTGGTGTGGAAGAAGCTGATTTGATATTGCTGGTTGGTACAAATCCCAGATTTGAAGCTCCATTGTTTAATGCTAGAATGAGAAAAAGGTTAGTTTTGTTTTCAATGAGCATATTAAAAATAATTAAAAACAAAAAGTCCAGAGAACACCTAATATTTTGATAATTATTTTTCAAAAGAGCTTTTAAACATATATGCAAAAAACAATTCAACTACAACAGTAACTTTCAAATATTAAGAAATTGTGTCAGAAGATATCATAATCTCAGTCTTTTCACAGAAAGGTGGAAAGATCAAAAGGAAAGAAAATCTCAAATATTCCCTTTGTATTGTGTAATTGCTTAGAACATTTATAAGAAACATTGTAAATTAAGAGGCTATGAAAAAAAGTGTATTTCCTTTACTACTCATTCTTTCATGGGTGTCATGATGACATTTTGGTTTTGCTCAGAATGGATTCCAATAAAATTCTTCAAAATAAATCCTGATGAAACTCATCAAAGTTTTCTGATAATGTAAACAAATAATTTGATCAATACTTAAGGATGTACTTGGGTGAAATTAAAAAAATCTAGAATTTAAAATTGTTACTATTAGTCAGAAGAGCATTAGTTAAGGAACAAAATAAGCTAAAAATATTGATAGGTTATGAAGCTCCTTTTCGAGATATTTAATTTTTTAAAAATGTTGGGGAAAGGGTGACTCAGACTTTTACCTTATATTTGCATTGGTATTATTTGGGTCTCAAATCGGAAGAAAAGAAATCTAGAATCTGCTTAAATTTTGGTAAATGACATTTTATGAGCTATTGAAGTCTTATGTGAAAAGAAAAATGGGTGTTATGGAGTAAAATATTTTACCCTGTATCGTAGGAAAAAAACCCAAGGAGTCCGAACATCTGACAAAAAAATGTTATTAATAAATATGATTTAATGTTGTATTTATTTTTTATAGCTGGATTCATAATGACTTAGAAGTGGCCATGGTTGGACCCCAGGTTGACCTTACTTTTGAACATGAGGTTTGTGTCTTGATTTTGTAAGGAAACACTGTAATTTTACTTTCAAGGTCAGATTTTGAAAAAAAAACCTATTTCCTTAACTCTGAATATTTTTAAATAGGAAAACAGTCTTTGGGGGCAAACTTGAATATACAATGAAGAGCTGGTAAAAATTTGATTTCACAATGCCTAGGATATTTCAGTCAATAGGTTTAAAGGTTTATTCATCTATTGACAATCCGATATATAATTGTACAGAAATTTTTGTATTTGTTTAGTCGAATTAACCTTTTTATTTGACAACTTTTATGTTATTAACATTTACTCTCTCTAAATGTTAAGCAAATTATGTTACTTCAGCTAGAACAAAGAAGTGATTTTTATATAATTTGCTATTTCAGAATCTTGGTGACAGTACTCAAGTATTACAGGAAATAGCCAGTGGTACACATCCATTCAGTAAGGTAAAGTGATGAAATAGTATGAAAGAAAGAGCATAAACATAGACTTGATCTCTTATTATTGGTAAAAAGTAAAATATGGATGTGCTACTTTGATGCACAGTCCCATTTCTGTTTATTATAACATTATTATTACACATAAACCAAGTATTTGGTTCCCACTTTATGTTTGAAGTTTACTGTGAACCTTACTTAGGACAATTTGTTTTCCAATAAACCAGGAATTTCAAATGTTGTCAGTCTAATTAGTTATAACACTTCTCCATTGAGCCCCTCACAATCCACTAACAATATATCACACAAAATTCTACATAAGACAACATTTCTGGATTATCAAGTAAAAACTTAAAAAATTTGATTTGAAAGTATTTATTTTTGACATGCTTTTGCAGTACGTCAGCTTATACCATATAGTTGGACCAGAGAATGCAAAAGAACTGCTGATAATATTAATACAATTGCAATTTTTAATTCATTTTTTTCTGTTTATATGCTTTAACCTCAAGTTCATTATAAAGAACATCAATTTTAGAAACTGAACAGTGCAAAGAACCCAATGGTAGTTGTTGGCAGCTCTATACTACAGAGAGAGGACGGCAGTGCCATTCACAGTGCTATTGTAGAAGTTGCACAGAATGCACGTAACAACAGTGGGTGTGCTGATGGCTGGAAAGTCTTAAATGTATTACATAGGGTAAGGCACAACAAGAGTGGGTGTGGTGAGGGCTGGAAAGTCTTAAATGTATTTCATGGGTAAGGAATAACAAGAGTGGGTGTGGTGAGGGCTGGAAAGTCTTAAATGTATTACATAGGGTAAGGCACAACAAGAGTGGGTGTGGTGAGGGCTGGAAAGTCTTAAATGTATTTCATGGGTAAGGAATAACAACAGTGGGTGTGGTGAGGGCTGGAAAGTCTTAAATGTATTACATAGGGTAAGGAATAACAAGAGTGGGTGTGCTGAGGGCTGGAAAGTCTTAAATGTATTACATAGGGTAAGAAATATCAAGAGTGGGTGTGCTGAGGGCTGGAAAATCTTAAATGTATTACATAGGGTAAGGAATAACAAGAGTGGGTGTGCTGAGGGCTGGAAAGTTTTAAATGTATTTCATGGGTAAGGAATAACAAGAGTGGGTGTGGTGAGGGCTGGAAAGTTTTAAATGTATTTCATGGGTAAGGAATAACAAGAGTGGGTGTGGTGAGGGCTGGAAAGTCTTAAATGTATTAAATAGGGTAAGGAACAACAAGAGTGGGTGTGGTAAGGGCTGGAAAGTCTTAAATGTATTACATAGGGTAAGGAATAACAAGAGTGGGTGTGGTGAGGGCTGGAAAGTCTTAAATATATTACATAGGGTAAGGAATAACAAGTGTGGGTGTGGTGAGGGCTGGAAAGTCTTAAATGTATTACATAGAGTAAGGAATAACAAGAGTGGGTGTGGTGAGTGCTGGAAAGTCTTAAATGTATTACACAGGGTAAGGAACAACAAGAGTGGGTGTGGTGAGGGCTGGAAAGTCTTAAATGTATTTCATGGGTAAGGAATAACAAGAGTGGGTGTGGTGAGGGCTGGAAAGTCTTAAATGTGTTACATAGGGTAAGGAATAGCAAGAGTGGGTGTGCTGAGGGCTGGAAAGTCTTAAATGTATTACATAGGGTAAGAAATAACAAGAGTGGGTGTGCTGAGGGCTGGAAAATCTTAAATGTATTACATAGGGTAAGGAATAACAAGAGTGGGTGTGCTGAGGGCTGGAAAGTTTTAAATGTATTTCATGGGTACGGTATAACAAGAGTGGGTGTGGTGAGGGCTGGAAAGTCTTAAATGTATTACATAGGGTAAGGAATAACAAGAGTGGGTGTGGTGAGGGCTGGAAAGTCTTAAATGTATTACATAGGGTAAGGAATAACAAGAGTGGGTGTGGTGAGGGCTGGAAAGTCTTAAATGTATTACATAGGGTAAGGAATAACAAGAGTGGGTGTGGTGAGGGCTGGAAAGTCTTAAATGTATTACATAGGGTAAGGAATAACAAGAGTGGGTGTGGTGAGGGCTGGAAAGTCTTAAATGTATTACATAGGGTAAGGAATAACAAGATTGGGTGTGGTGAGGGCTGGAAAGTCTTAAATGTATTTCATAGGGTAAGGAATAACAAATATTTACCTAAATATTATATCACAAAATGTTATTTTTTAATTCACTAGTGATATAGGCTCTTGTGTTTACCCCTGCCATGAAAAATAATTTTTTTTCTACTTATATATTTAAATATCTATTTGATATTTTAGATGTAATGTATTACTTGACAAAGATTACATTTAGTGTGGCTTGATCAAACTTTCTTGCAGTATCTTTGAGATTTATATATTATTGTTATGCTTGTACTGGTGTTTTTGTTGTCTATTATACTGGTATTATAGAGTTTAAAGCTTTTTCTGAAATGATTTTATTGTACATTCTTATTTGCACCTTTTGATTTACTGATTAAGAATAAATTTGGTGATAAAGGCAGATCTTTGAAAGTGTCTGTTGAACTTATTCTCAAATTTTCAAGACTTATCGACTAAGGCAATTTAAAACATGGCATTTGTATAAACAATTTGTTGTTTAAGATTATATAATAATATCTAGATTTATTTATTTTCTTCATGTCTTTTGGTTGCTGTCTCAGTCATTTATCACACATTTGTACATTTGAAGGTTGCCAGTCAGGTAGCAGCATTAGATATAGGATACAAGGCAGGTGTAGATTTTATTAAACAGAATCATCCAAAAGTCTTGTACTTGCTAGGAGCTGACAATGGAGCCATAACCAGAGACGATATACCAAAAGACTGTTTTGTTATATACCAAGGTTAATATTTTCGGGTTTAACTCAACTAGTATAATATTGGTTTACAAGGTTTGCTTTAAACTTCCTGCCAAGAGATGTTAACTTTTTCAATCAATCAAAATTGAAAACATGACACTTCTGCTTTTTTTAAGTGATGGAAATTGATAGAAAAGTTTATTTTTATGGAATAAGAGGTTTAGGAACAAAATTTGTTATAGAAAGAATGTGAAATATTTAAGTCATTGTAGCATACAAATTTTTCCCTAGATGCCCCTTCTTGCACTAGCGTACAAATTTTCCCCTAGATGCCCCTTCTTGCACAGATATGTTTTGAATCAATATCAATAAGTGACCACCTAGTTGAATGTTTTTACCTTTACATTTTTTGGTAGGATAGTAGGTCATAGTACAAATTTCTGTCGAAAATATGATTTTATTAAATTTCTCTAGTACCAATGTACATAATGTTGTTATGTGTTGGCGCTTAAAGAATCTGTCAGATACCTATCTCCTGTTTTCCCATACTGAAAAGTACAAATTTGCTAATGCTTAAAACAACAACATGTGCAATCTTGTTTGATATGAAAGTTGAATAACAACCAAAGCACAAATATATCCAGTGTAAATAAATCAGCATGATAATTTTTATTATGAATAAAAGGTATAAAGAAGTGTCATTCCATCATTGCTATGGAAGCTATCATTATTAAATACTTCACTTTTGTGGGGGCCTTTTTTTGGTATAAGAGTAATGATATTGGTTGACAACTGTAACTATAATTAAACATGGCTATTACTGTCACTTAAAAAAAACCTTTGGCAAAAAAGAACATAAAAAAAAAATAATAATTGTAAAGTGTCAGTATCTTATTAGGGAATGCAAAACTACCTTGCCTAACAAACCTGAGCTATATTTCCAATAAAGAATGAATTTGAAATTACACTAAAATTATCCTCTGAAACCAAATTGACCAAATGGAAGCCTATGCAATTTAGTCATTACCTGTTACTTTGAAAATTGAACAAGTATGATAAGGTTTGATGATTTTTATGATATCTAAAAAATTTGGCATCATGAACCATTTTGGACAGAAAAGAAAAATTATGGTGCGAAACGCTGCCCATATCTAATATTTTTGTGGGGCCTCGGTGGCCGAGTGGTCTAAGTAGTCGAACTACTGTATCACTAGCCAGTCAACACTGAGGTTGTGAGTTCGAATCCCGCAAGGGGCAGGTGCACTCGACTCCAATTTTAATTGACTAGGATTGTCAGTTTCCATTCCGAAGGTCGGTGGTTTTCTCCGGGCACTCTGGCTTCCTACACCTATAAAAACTGACCGCCACGAAATAGCACAATAGTGTTGAAAGTGTCGTTAAACACCTATCAATCAATCAATCAATAATATTTTTGTTTAGCTTCCATCACGTAAGAGTACTGAATAGGTTTAAGAATCGGAAAGTCTACTTTCTAGGTCACCATGGAGACAAGGGAGCTGCTATGGCTGATGTTATACTTCCTGGTGCAGCATATACAGAAAAAGAAGGAACATATGTTAATACTGAGGGCAGAGCACAAGAAGCACGACTTGCTGTTTCACCTCCAGGTCTAGCAAGGTCAGACTGGAAAATCATTAGAGCTTTATCAGAGGTAAATACCAATATAAATATATTTCTTATTAATTTAAGGATTATAATTTTAAATGCTCTAAACAAAGTACAGTTTGTTTAAACTCATCAAAGATACCAGGCTTGTAACTTAGTATGTCAGATATCCATTTTGTCTTCAAAAGATTCATCAGAAGAAGTTAGATGTTGGAAGGCCAAACCAGTTACTAAGTTCAAGAGCATTAAATACCAAAAAGAGTGCTCAATCTAATCTAGGCCATCTATGCCTGGGGTAAAAAGCCTTAATGTATTGAAAGAAATTAAAGTTTTAAGAACAGCAAATTAACATAAAATTGCAAAATCAATGAATTTTATGCTGACACAAAGCTATAGGAATTTTTATAACCCCCTGTCCGAAACAAGTTCAAAACACATTCATCCTTGGAACTAGGCAACTGAACTTCCTGAAATTTAGTATCAATCTGCACTTGGGCATGCTTAACCGTGTGATGGGTTTTCGCGCGCATTGCTAATGAACTTCCAATTAACCAAATGCCTATCTATTCATACACATTATGGCCATATATGAAATTTTTCATTGCATTTCTCAGGAACTGCAAATCAGATCTTACAGAAATTTGTTTAAAGCTCCATGTGAGCATGCTTTACTGTATGATGGGTTTTCACATCCATCACTATCACAAATAATGGCAGTGTATGAAATTTTCACCTCATTTTTCTCAGAAACTAAGAATCAGAGATTCTTCAAATTTGGTATCAAGGTTCATGCTCTACCTTGTGATGCATTTGACCATCCATAGCTCATCAACTTCCTATTTAAGGAAAACTTATCGCAGGGATATTATTAGTGTGCAATGGCTCGCAGTACATCTTATTAGATTTGAAGTGCAAATCCCTTTAGATAATGTTAAGCAGCCATTAACATTTTATAGCCATCAATCTATGTAAATCAAAAGAGAATAAACAAGGAAAAAGGTAAAAATCTCACAACTTTACTATTAAATTGAAGCTTATATTAAATATGCAGAATTCATGTTCTTTATTGGGTGTTTTATAATGAATGTGGAATTTTATTTTCAGGTTATTGGAGTAACACTTCCTTATGATAAATTAGAAGAAATTAGATCGAGACTAACAGAGGTCTCACCCAATTTAACACAATATGAAAAGGTTGAAGAGGCTAATTATTTCAACCAAGCACAACAACTTGCAAATGTAAGTTAATAATTAAAGTTTACAGAAAAGAATTTGGCAGGAAATTTTTCATAATCATATTAATTTCTCAGTTAAATTTATCAAAAATTTCAAGATGTACAGAAGCTTTCATGTACATAGTTTGCATCATAGCTATGAAAAGAATAGGTAAAAAGCTGATTTTCTTGATTGAGGGCAGAAAGGGTTCATAAATTGGTACGAGTCAAATTCACAGAAGAAATTCCATCTGAAACAGAATTGCCTTTGAACCATTGGACTTGTTTTATTTGTCTAAAAAATCATTTTACAGTTCAGTTTTGTGCAGCATTTAGAAATAGAAGTACTTTCATCATAATATGTGTTTCTTTAATTATACTAATATCTTTAGAATTTTTTTTTATGTCTATTCATTTAAAAAAAATATATCAGTTTGAAAGAGAAAACAGGAGTTATGACCCTTGATTGCTTTTACAACGACACTCATAAATGCAAGAAAAACCAGTTTGCTGACATCTTGAAAGCCTCTTATTCTTTACACTGATACATATAATATCTGATCAACAAATTATGAAGCTTTTTGGCTTGTTTACTGGACTGTATCACCCTGAAGGGATGCACAAACAAGTGGGATTAATGTGAAAATTGTTTTTATATTTCAGTTGTTGAAGGCATCTCTAGATTCCAAACCTTTAACAGTGAATCAAGTACTATTAAAAGATTTTTATATGACGGACTCAATAAGTCGTGCATCACAAACAATGGCCAAATGTGTACAGGCTGCAACAGAAGCAGAAACAGCTAAATACTGAAATCTCGAAACAATAGAAAAAAAATTCACAGCATTTCTAAGAATAGAATTCTGTTAGGTCTGTTTAAATTCATTGTTATTAAACAACAGTGTGTTAACATCATTGGTCTCTCCTTGCTGTTATCTTTGGTCCATCATGAACTCGGCTTATTTACAGGGATATTTTCTAAACCTTATTGTCTGTTTTTCATTTACCTTGTGTGTGTACTCTTTAAGATTTATTTTTATTAATCTTCTAAATTCTCTCATAATCTATTAAATAAATATTTGAATTTTTCGATGAAATTTGAAGCAAGTAATTTTTATTTCTAACAAAATTAGTGGGCCTTAAAAGGATCAACATAATTGTAGAAAATGTCAGTAGTGAGCAAGTTTAAATCTGAACAAAATCATTCCCTGTGTAAAGGCATTTGTACTATAGGGTGTTCCAAATTTCTGGTTTTTTTTTTGGTGTGGTAGTTTTATACTGCAATCAACTTTTCTTAATGTTCATATAAATTTGTATGAGTGAATGTTTGCTTTATACAAATGTGCATCGTCTATCTTTTATACCTGTAGTTATCTTAGGACAAATTAATAGTTTACTGGTGTTCACACCTAGAATTAACTCTGGTGACCTCATTCTCAATGAAATATGAACACCCCATATAGTGTCCAGATAATTAAATTATAAATAAAAATACATTTATACAGTATGCACTGATTTAAAAGCAAAACTTGGTGTAGACTTGATCTACTTTTTTAAATGAATTTTTACTGAGAGTATTTATCATATTCATTATTGGAAATTCAGAAATACTAGCTATAGAGCTTCTGTGTGATCAACTAGTGCTGTGGAAAAAAACTTTGTTATTTTAAAAAAAATACAAGCAATTCAGTATATTGTTTTGTTTATAATTTAGTTGGTGACGAACTAAACTTGAAGATAGTTCTGGTCTTCATGCATGCATTTGTAGTCCAATAATGCTATATTAAATGTTTCAAAGGTCAATGGCACAATATTTGTTGGCTGGGAAGTGCTTATTATTGGTCAAATCAGTAACAGTATTAAAAAAAATATTTGAATGTTATTTATAAAAGTGATAGGAATATTTTCCTTAAAATTGATGTCTAGAGACTGTTAAGCACAATCATTTTCATAGCTTATTTGTATATCAAACTATTTTAAAAGTGTAAACTCTGATATAAAAAAAAGTCAAATGAAAATAGCATTAATCATCTGGTTACACTATATCTGTTTAGTGACACTTGGAAAATTTATACCGACTTATAACTGAAGCAGTATAGCTAAATAACTAGACCATGAATGAACATAGTACTTTCCAGTCAACAAGATCTTTTAGTATTTTGGGCCAATTAAATGGTAAGCATATTGTTAATGAAATACTGTGTATTAATATTTATTTACATGCAGTTTGCACAGTTTGTTAATAAAATATGAAACATTGAGAATTAGTCTTCATATATTTTCTTGGAAAAAATTGGTGTTGATACTTGTGAGTCTCTTACCAGTGAAGACCATGAGGACTTAAGATTTGCATTTTTTCCATCATAAAAAAAAGTTACAGATAAAGTTTAGTTTCATTCCAGTTGAGGTATTTTTAGAAGGACTCTGGGAAAAAGCTGAACCATCTGTGTTGAGAATTCCTCTTGTTTTATGTCTAGCCTTTCATAGAATGCAAGGCATATGGATGCTAATTCTGCAACAGCTTCAACTATTTGTATAAAACTTTACATTTCACAAAGTAGAAAACCTGAGTTCTTCATATGAGCTGCACTGGATGGAAATTAACCTTATGCAAGTGCAATGAAATGGGTAGTTTTTATCACTCAATTGGGTGATAGTACAGTATAGAATCACTGCAAGGTCAGCATGTCTTTCAGAAAGGATAAACCTGATTTTTGAGAGTTTCACCTCGTTTCATGTGTAGATGATCAAGTTATTAAATTTTAGTGGTCAAGTCCGTATCTCAGATACTATAAGTAAAAGGTCAACTTTATTTGGTGTATGAAATGATTGAATGGTGTATGTGCCGGTCTAGCAGGTGTAATCTGACCTTGATCTCGTTTGGTTATTTTTCAATAATCAGTTTTCAAGATAATGTCCATTTCCAAGATACTATAAGCAATATGGCAACTATGTGGTGTTTGGAATTGTAAGGTGTACATGTCCATCTAGCTCGATTCATCCGACCTTGAGACCTCAATTTTATGGTTTATAAGTTAATGTTAAGATTTTGTGGTAAGGTCTGTTTCTCTTATACTATATGCAATAGGTCAACTAAATTTGGTAAAAATCATTATTTAAAGGTAATATATTTTTGTACCTCCTAAAAGGGCTTGTCCGTCAGTTTTGGTGTAAATAGACAGTAGGTAGATTTCGACATTCTGAACATTTTTGCCTTCAGAATTTCTCTCTATATAGAGGTTTTCAAACTTACATTTTATCCCCTGTGGTCTAATTTTAGCCATGTTGGCCATGTTGGTCGGTAGGCTGGATCATGGGACATACTTTTTTAAGCTAGATACCCTAATAATGATTGTGGTAAAGTTTGGTTCTGATTGCCCTGAGGTTTTACAACAATAACAACAACAGACGACAGACCACAAGTGATGAGAACAGCTCAGTTGATCCATTGGGTCGGGTTAGCTAATAATTCTGATGAATTCTTTTTAACGATTTATTTGTTAGCTTTGAAATTCAACAACATTGACATGTAATAACTATACAGGTTTTACTATGCGATATAAACATGCTGGATTCTTGAACACATTCAATTATCAAAATGATCAAAACACCACCTTCCTCCAAAACTCAGTGTTAATGAGATATTATCTAAATTTAAGATGTACACATAGCAAAACAGGTTCAATGTAGAAGTTTTCTTCTATATGGGGTAATGCTGCTTTGTTTGTGTCAATAGTAAAAATACATTTGAGACAATAAATTTATTGATGCTGCCAACTCTTCAAATATCATACTGGTTCATTTCCAAACTTAACTATATGTTATCATGCTGTGGTAGTAATACAATTAGCAAAAGAAAAATGGTTCAAAGAAATATATGCAGTTCAAATGGTTAACACCTTTTATTTTATTCTTTTATTATCTAAAACATATAATTATAAACTAACAATATATTCTAAAATTGTATATAAAATCACTCTAGAAAGTAGCACTAAATCATGGGTTAGTATATATAAGAATTAATAACCAAAGTTTTTCCTTAACAACATGGAAGAACCAAATATCAGTTTGCCTGATTTCTGCACAACTTTTCAGAGTTAGAAAACTGGTAAAATTACTGCCCATAGCAAGAATGCATGTTTTGTCATGCTGATTATACCCCCCTTTTTGTAAACAGGAAGTAAGTGTCTGATAGATCTAAAATTTGCACAAAAGTTACAAATCACCACTGTTGAACTGCAGACTAACTAGGAAGTCATTCTGTTCAGCTGTTTCTGAGAAAAAAAGCGATGAAAAATTCAAATTATTGGCAAACAGAAGTAGTTACTTGACAGATCTGAAAAGTGCTCACAAGTTAACTCATCACTGTCAAGCTGCTGACAAAATATGAAGTCATTCTAAATTTCCAAAGAAAAGTTTGTGTTGAAAATTTTTGTTTGACAAACAGATGACAGATGAAGGGACAAATGGTTGACAGATGAATGGACAAATGGCTGACAGATGGACAAGGTGATTGCTATATAGACCCCATTTATAAGAGAGGGGATAAAAATAGTGTGTCCTTTGTTTTATTAGTTATCCAACTTTAAATAAAAAAATTTAATTCTCTGAGTGCCTTATTTCACATGAGTTTTGTAATTTTACAAGGGCATACTAAAATAATGCTTTATTTTTGTTCAAATGTGCTCTTTTATATAACAAACATCCCTGTCTATACAAAACTCAACCAGAGTCATTCATTTATAAAATGAAGGAATTTCTGTATGGATATTCACAACCACCCAAAACAAACCCACTAACAAAATTGTATTCCTCTATGATGTCCAAGTTGCTTAGATCTAGAACATACACTATGTGTAGAATGTGTGTGAAAGTGAAATAAGTATTTTAGACTTCATTATATCAAAGATATTTCTCCTAACAAAATATTCTTCTTTTATACATAGTTGCTTAAGTTAGATGTAAAACTAAAATTGGACAGTAGAACAAACACATAATCCAACAAAAGGCCTAATGCTATATCACATCCAAACCTCTATTTTAGAAGGATAATATAACTATTAACAAGACTAATACAATTAATATCAAAAGTATACAAAGGACAAGGTACGATAAGCCCCCGTTTTGGCCCCCCTATTTCTTATTTTTCAAATTTTGTTTTGGAAAGCTACTTATCATGTTAAAAATTCCCTGAGGTTTGAAGTTTGTTTGGATGAACTTAAAAACCATTAATTTCAGCAACTGGGTGAGGTGAGGGGGGGTAAACTTTTAGTTATTATTCAGATATTGTAATTATTATTCACTTTGGAGGTGTTCCGACAACGATTTTTTAGTTTTTAAGTACCTGCGCCAACGTGACCCAGGAATTTTTTATCACAATGTCATTATCACTGTTTTTGCTGTCTAGATCGCCATAATTTTCTCCGGGTCACGTAGGCGCACGCTATTAAATTATAAGAAACACAGGCCAAAAATCTTAATTTTCCTACTTTTGGCATTTTTTATGCCCTTTCACCCCCCTCACCTCACCTAGTTGCTGAAATTAATGGTTTTGAAGTTCATCCAAACAAACTTCAAACCTAAGGGAATATTTCAACATAATAAGTAGCTTTCTAAAACAAAATTTGAAAAATGAGAAAATAGGGGGGCCAAAACGGGGGCTTATCGTACCTTGTCCTTTCAAGTAGTATTCTGTAAAACACTATATAAGTTAGAAATTGCACTATAGAAATATAAAAGATTCTTAAAAAGTACCCTTTAAAAGCTGCCATGGATAGAAATGGTAGAAATATCTATTAATATATAATATACTAGTAAATATAAAAAAAAGTATAAAAGTATTTGTTTAATTCTAAAATTATATGCCAACTACAAATATATAAACAAACTTGCATAAAAAATTCATAAACACCAAAATACAACAAGACATAATATAGATAATCAAAGTCATAACAAAATTCTTCAAAGACAAACAAGTGGAGCTAAGTGGATTGTCTCTCTCAAGTAATGTTTACACCAAGCAATTTCAAACATAAGTATGCCTCTAAATTTAAACTCTGGAAAATGATTTTTAAAGAGTATATACATATATAACCTTTCTGGTTAGAAATTGTTTAAAATTTTCCAAAAGATATACGTAACCTTTAAAACTTTGAAACAGCTGTGGAGTTGTAAAAAAAAAAAATTCAACAAAATATACATGCTGTAAATGAAATTTTTGCAAATAACTATACAGAATGTTTTCATTCATCAAAATGAATAAATATTTATAAATTTATAAAAGATAATGGTTCAGCGCGAGTTTTTGCCTCTGTTTGTTCACAGAACTGTCATTCTTATGAAAAAATACTTTCCAAAGATCCATTGATACACACTAGAAAGTTATCTCAGGGAATAATAAAAAGTTTCCCCTTTATCCCTTATCACTAAAGGTAAAGTATTCAAATCATTACCCTTAGCAACTGACTGAATATATAAAACGTTATCCTAGGTTAGTAACTGAATATTTCAGTTGTTTGCCTAGACTAATAATTGAATTTATTATACCTCACAGTATAATTAGATAAATCCATTGGCTAATAAAAGATAACATGGTGTGAATTAATTTGGATATTTTCGTCCAAATTGACAGGGCAGGTGAATAACCTTGACAAATTGTACCATTCACCCTATTATTCACCGCCCAATATTTGTTCGGCATATTAAAACAGTATTGGCCTTTTGAGTTGGGAGATATCCCACTCCTCAGAGGGCCGTAATTGTATAATATCAGAAGTTTGCCTTGATAAATAACTGAATATTTCAGTTGTCTCCCTATGTAACTGATTGAATATCTAAATTTTATCACTAGGTAACTAATAGACCACTTTCGAGTTTGTCCGTCACCAGAAAAAACTCGTCAATTATGCGCGCCTTTATGACGTCATTTACCAGATAGAGGGGATTGCTGTATCCCTGCACTATAAATGTTAATCAAGCTTCTTAGTGATCGTTATTGTGCAGGATAAACTAGAAATAATATTTGTTCTGTAGGTACTTAATCACAATTCCCTAATGACAGCAGTGCTGAAAGACAATTATGAGAATTCAATTTGCCGAATAATTCGTGCCATATAGCTTTATAATTTTCCAACCACTTGCTCAACATTGGAACAGAAGTGACGACGCCCCTAAACGCACGGATGATGTTCACTAAAACCAAAGTTTTTGACGGAAATGCATCGAACTCGAAAGTTGTCTATTATTATAAAGTTTCTTATTGAAACAAATTTTAGTTTTTAGTTACCAAATATTTTATATATAAATGCACACTATAAAAATTGACTGACATAAAGCTGCCTTACATATATCAAAATAAATATCCTAAAACAATGATATAATTAAACACAAAAATGACATCAATGGTGGAATAATTCTTCAATACTGCTAAGTTTACTTTTGATTTTCAGACTGGCCTTTGAACCAATTTTAATAATATACAATGATGAATAGTTTGTGTATTTTTTAAATTGCAAAATAAACATTATACATTTCTATGGCACAATAATAAAACATACCAAGGAAATTAATTTGTTCTGACAAAATATCCTCCCGTCTATTACTTTTTTTAAAACTACCTAAGATACAATGTTAGCAGCCTTAGCCATTCCATGAAATATTGAAGTCTTGTTCTCTAATAATTCATTTGGTCCATCAAACTCTGCAATTTTTCCCTGATCTAAAACCATTACCCTGTAAAACAAAATCAATGAAATAAATTATAAGCATTCCTTTTAGTTCATCTGGCCTAAGTCTAGAACCACTTTACAATTTGAATTAAACTTGGAAAGAATATAGTGTGTAAGGTCATAGCTGTCAACTTTGAAAATCTCAAATATGGGAGATCTCACTATAACATTTACTTAGAGGGAGATTTGCCTTTTCAATTTGTATTTCATTTTACATTTTGCAGTTAAAAGTTTTATGGTTAATTTTGTTTCCAAACACTATTCCATTGTGCTTAGTGCTGATTTGATGAGTCAAGTCTTTTCCAACTGGTCTAATGTTGTGCTGTTACATCACTTTCCAAAGTTAGATAGAGGAATGATAAGTCTAACCCCACCACATTCTTTGTGTGCATGTCCTAAGTCAGGAGCCTGTAATTCAATTGTTGTCTTTGGTTGCTGTCTTCTATATTTGTTTTTTCGTTTATTGTTTTCAGCATAAATCAGGTCATTGGTTATCTCTTTTGAATAGTTTCATATTTTGTCTTTTTATAGCTTACTATATGGTATGGATTTGCTCATTGTCGAAGGCTGTACAGTGCCCATAGTTGTTTACATGCTCATACTTTGGTCTCATTGGCAATCATAGCACATCTCCTTATCTTTATATTTATAGATGTTCAGTTGTATAGCAATCACTTAAAAATTTGTATTCAATCCATCTATGCCTTTAAGTTCAAATACAAGACAAGCATAAAAGTTAAAGACATGAAATCTTGGATTTTATGAAACCTTCATATGAATGCCATTCTCTCCACCAGGCACTCTAGATTCCTCCACTTATAAGAATAAGAATAAAAACCAACCGCCACGAAATAGTACAATAGTGCTGAAAGTGGCAGTAAACACCAATCAATCAATCATATAAATGCCAAGTTAATTTCTTTGACATTATGACATTATGTATAGAAATTCTGAGGAATAAAACATCAACTTCCAGATTGAATCTTGAATTCAAGATTACATGTATATTATTAAACCCTTGCAACATGCCAGAAACTTTACATTTTCCTAACATTTGAAATTGAATAAATATATATAAATGTGTGTTAAGATTTTGAATATTACCCATGTATTTAATGTCAAATGTATATGAACGAATATTACTATGAATTTCAATAGTAACTCACTTATCATAATCCAAAATTGTATTAAGTCTGTGAGCAATGGTAAGTATTGTACAATCTTTAAACTCAGAACGAATTGTTTTCTGAATTAGCTCATCTGTTTCCATGTCAACAGCAGCTGTGGCTTCATCTAGAATCAGTATCTTTGTCTTGTGAAGTAAGGAGCGACCCAAGCAAACCAATTGTCTTTGGCCAACACTGAAAAATATAATCATTTACATTTGTGTCAAACAATGAATAATAGCCGCTAATCAATTACAATTGGCTATAAAAATAAAGCTGTTGGAAAGGTTAATTTCAATTCAATTTGATTTGTATTTTTATTTGCTTTTAAGTCCTTTATTCTACGATATATGCAATCATCTACTGTGAAAGTACTTTTATTCCTGGGTATCAATTTCGTGGATTGAGCAAATGTTACATGTTCGTGGGTTCTTAAATTCGTGGATTTTAGTTTTCTGAAAAAAAAGGTCGGGTGAAGAATTTTAACCCATCAGAAACGAAGATTCTTGAAAGTAATCATATATGTTCATTTTCACTTATTAGTTCGTCTTTCATTTCTGATAACATTCATCAATTTTTTAATGAAATAATTGCTTTCAGAAACATTTTAATTGTTGCACACGTGTAATCAGAAGTGGTGACACTTATTAACCCCAGATTGAATGATCAACAGATTAACGATCATCAATTGGACCATAAACATGTCATTTAAAGAAAAAGGTTGCATGAAAAATGCTACAAATGTACTTTGAATTATAACTTATGACATAATACTTATGAAATAAAAAAGCAAGCCCAAAATAAAATTTTTTTTTTTTGTGAGAGAATTATGAGGAGATAAAATGAACACTTCATCATCGTATATCATCAACATAAGTCTGACTTTCATCTTTCGAAACTAATTTTTCATGAGAATTAAAAGGTTAAAAGTCGTACAACTTAGGTTTTTTAAAGATTAAAATCCGGTCTGAAGTTGTACATGCTACACTGGTGCTACATCAATGCATATAGTTCATAGTGCGTTTGCTGATATCGATGTTTTCTCTAGATTATATGCCCATATCCATGAAGTCAAACCTACATGGGATCTTTCCATGGTGTCTTGATTTGGACAACAGTTGTTATATTTTGTTGGACACTTAAATTCGAGGATAAAGCCTCACATACCCCACATTACCACATTGTCATTGGAGAAATTAAATTGTAAGCAAAAAAAAATTGTATAAGAAAAAAAAATTGAATCATAATTTCCTGTCAATATGCACATCTACATAGTATGTCCTTATTATCTACAAAATTTCATGAAATTCTGTTGTGTGGTTTCAGAGGAGTTGCGATGACAAACTGTTGCAGAAGTACATTGAAGCAAATAAGTTCAAAGGAGCGTAACTCCTAGAAAAAAAAATTGAATTGTAATTTCCTGTCGATATGCACATCTACATAGTATGTCCTTATTATCTAAAAAGGTTTCATGAAATTCTGTTGTGTGGTTTCAGAGGAGTTGCGATGACAAGAAACAGGACTGACGGACTGACGGACAGACGGGTCAAAAACATTATACCCTCCGCAACTTTGTTGCGTGGGGTATAACAAACCCTACACATAACGACAATCAATTCTACTAAGTATGAAAGCTTTCAAGCAAATTGTCTCAGAGAAGTGCTCACAAAGTGTTATGGAATAAACTAATGGACACAAGCTTTTATATCCCTCCATCCTAAAGCATGGGGAGGAGGAATTATGCTGAACAAATTAAAGTTGAATAGGACAGAGTGACAATTCTATCTGACTGATTTAACATGATATATACCTGAGGATAAGTCTGTTTCAATAACAGATTGGAATGCATTTTACATTCATTTATTTAAGTATGTCTACCTGAGATTTTGTCCTCCTTCACCACATTCATAGTTTAATTTATCGGCTAGACCTTCCACATAACTTTTTAAATGAGCATGCTCCAATGATTTCCATAACTGTTCATCACTGTATTGGTCAATAGGGTCAAGGTTCATTCTGAGAGATCCAGAAAATAAAACAGGGTCCTGAAAATAAGATAAAAAATTAATACCATTTACTGTACTTATTTCTAATGAGACAAAACCTAGATTTAACTTAAAAATTCAGTAAAATACCATTTCATTTAAGAAAAATGAAAAAGCATAAGTCCTTAAGTCTAAGGCCTCTTTTGAAATATAGATATTATCGTGTATGGTTTGGTTTTGGACAAGCATTAATTAGTATCCAAGTCAAGCAGTCATTTTATTTCTTCCTTGAGTAATTTTCTAAATCTTAAATCAAAATGTTTTGGTGTGGGGATATTTTGTCGGATTTCACCAAAAACAATAGCTGTTAAATTTTTATGTGCCAAATTTTGGCACTTTGGGTCAATCCTGTTTTGTTACACATTAAAACTGATGGTACAGCAATTAAAGTTAAATTTGATTAATTCAAACATTTATTCTAGTAATCAAGTGAAGGGGATAATCAAACTGTTACAATATTTGATGCATTGACTTTGCTAATTATATGATAGCATAATTGGTTTTTTTCTCTCCATATATTTAATAAGATAAAAAACATGTATATATTTCGTGTGAGCCAAGGCTCCGTGTTGAAGACCGTACTTTGACCTATAATGGTTTACTTTTATAAATTTTGACTTGGATGGAGAGTTGCCTCATTGGCACTCATAGCACATCTTCTTATATCTATATTGGCTAAGAATTAGCATTGCTAATAATGTTTTACTCATGATAAAGGATAGCCTTGCTTTTATCATTTGGATGAATGTTTTATTCTGGTGTTTATAATTTTGGCACATTCATCTTATGCACCAAAACCAAAATATAACTACAGCCAAAATATTCTAATTTACAGTATGCAACACATGGGAGATGCAATCTGTCCTTATAAATTTTAAAAGATTACCTGAGGAAGGATTGTAAGTTTTTGGCGAAGATCATGTAATCCCATTTCAGAAATACATTCTCCGTCAATAATGATTTTACCCTCTGCAGACTCAATCAGACGGAACAACGCCATTGCCAATGAAGACTTGCCAGCTCCAGTTCTACCCACAATTCCAACCTGTAAAAGCAATATAAATACAGTCACACAATTTATTTGCCTTTAATATCCTATACATTTGAGAGAGTTCACTGGTCAAATTCTAAATATCTTTTATCTAATATGAACGTTCTTAGTTTGCTCTATAATTGTGATCTATATTTTACATGTCATATATTTCATGATCAATTCAGTTCTCAGATACTAGGTAACCTACAGTCATCAAGAGTTAGGATATATCAAGGACTTATTCAAGGTATAGGAGAATCTTTGCAAAAAGCAAAGTCATTCCAATCAACATTTTATACTACTTCAGTTAAATTTTTCAGTTCCAAGAAGTCAACAATTGTAATATCTTTTGTGAAGATATAACAAGGAGATTTTTAACATACTTCCATAAAAGTAGATGACCTTCATTTTAAGCTTCATTTATATAAATCAGTTTTACAACTGTATTTAGTTTTCATATATTAAGTGACCATTAATCAAATAATTATGTGTAAGGACAGACCAAGGGTAGTTTACCTCTTAGCAAAAAAACGATCACCTACATTTGAGTTATTCTTACAAAAACTAGAGGCTCTCAAGAGCCTGTGTCGCTCACATGTATCTACTGTCGTTTTGGAAATCATGTAAAATAAGGTTAAAATCAGAATAAATAGTATTAGATACCCCAATAATGATTGAGACCAAGTTTGGTTTAATTTGGCCCAGTAGTTAAATTAAAAGCAGGTCATCCCATTGTAGTCTTACAATAGTTACTTAAGACCCCTTATTATTATTTAAATTAGTTTTTAAGTTGTAACCATTTGTTTTTTTACAATTTTCCCATGGACGTCTATAGTAAACCCCTATGCTCTATTTTTATCCATGGCAGTCATGTTGGTTGGATGGCAGGGTCATCAGATACATTTCTAAATCAAGATACCCTATTGAAAATTGTGGCTAAGTTTAATTCTATTTGGCCTAGTAGATTAAGTGGAGAAGATTTTTGTAAAAGATAACAAAAATTTACCAAAAATTGTGAAAACCTGAATTTAAAGGGCAATAACTCTTGAAGGGGTCAATTGACAATTTTGATCACGCCAACTTATTTGTAGAGCTTACTTTGCTGAACATTTTTGCTGTTTACAGTTTATCTCTATCTTTATTAATATTCAGGATAATAACCAAAAACTGCAAAATTTCCTTAAAATTATCAATTCAGGGGCAGCAACCCAACAACAGGTTGTCTGATGCACCTGAATATTTCAGGGCAGATAGATCTTGACCTGATGAACATTTTTACACTATGTCAGATTTGCTCTAAATGCTTTAGTTTCAGAGATATAAGCCAAACTGCATTTTATATTTTTGTTTGTCATGTTTTCACCACTACCTGAATCTTAGGCAGATTGACACTTTAAAATAAAACCACTCATTCACAGCCTGGTCTGAATTATAGTGGTTCTATACCTTAAGGTTTTATGTTTGCAACTGATTGAAATAAACACAAAATTCATAGAAAGAACTAGGTTAAGGTAAATGTAAAATATATTTTGGTTAAAAATATCAGCATTATACATAGGTGACTTAAAATTCATTACTCAATTAAAAGTAAAACATAAAACCTCTGATTGATTATTGAATCTTTAATACTCTAACATGATGAATATGTTCAAACCAAGGATAACCTTTGAAAGCCAAACAGCTTTATATTCCCAATGGGGTCCTTTAAGTATTAGCTATTAATTAAGGAATATTACCATATCTTGTTAAATAGATTACCGGTAAGACAAAAAATTTAAAATCCATTTTCAAAACTGACCTTTTGTCCTCCAGCAATATTACATGTGATTCCTCTTATCACTAAATCTAACCCAGCTCTGTATCTTGTCTTGTAATTATCAAATTTACACTCTCCTAAAGCAGGCCAGTCTGATGGGGGCCTCTTGTTAGGATTTATCCATTCTGCCTGTCATCAAAAGAAAACAATAATATCAATGTAATTCAGTCCATGAGTATATTTATAACAATTGGAAGAATATAACACTGAAAAAGGTGCAGTAAATTTTTGAAATTCAGTAAAAAGATTTCCTGTCTGTAAGCTGAGCTGCGAGTTACAGCTTGTTTGAGTTTGAGCTGAAGAATGTCAGAAGTCCTACTTGAAACTGTTTAAGATTTCAAGTCTTTTTTACTTGTATTTCATTTTTCAACACCTGTTCAAATGATTTATTGAAATGACTGAACATTTCTAGAAAAAAGAAATGTGTATGTTACCAAGGAGTTAGGATGAGGCTTATATATCTCAGTAAGTGTAAACTATATGAACTTGCCAAATGAAAAATATAAAATTGTATTCAATGATAATATTAGATGTATTAATCCAAAAGGTGGAGTATGACAAGAACCACTATTTTGCTATAAAATCAACATAATTTTATCAGACACCTGAAGAATATTCTTTTTTTTTAGGAAAGTCTGTGGCTCATACCTAAACATTAATACATGTATGAAGATGTCAAATGTTTTGCAGTTTTTGCAGTTTTTCATTAAATGCTTGAGGTTTGTATGCCTAAAACAAACATGTAAGAAAAAATTCTTTAAAAGTATTTCTTGTAAACATCTGAACAATGTTGTTTGATAGATTTGTATTTGTGTATTTTGTACAATTTTGATGGACCAATTAACTGGCATTATCATACTTTCTCCTTACATAATTCTTCACTCACTTAAATTTTTTTATATTGGCTATGTTTAGATACTTATGTCGATATATAGATACTTTTTTCCATTATTTTGGCATCCATTCCAACAATCAAACTTGCTGTCCTAAAATGGGAAACAACTGTCTCCTCTACACCCTGATTTGTTCCTTTCTTTTTATGAGGCATAATTTATACATGTGCTTCCCAATGAGAATTAAAAGAAACTAGTTCTTCCTATAACTTCATGTTCCACAATATAAATGATGTCCTCTCAATGAATAATTCACTTGGTGACAATGTTTCTTCCATAGTTTCTATTCAATTTGAAATAAAGGATACCACAGATTAAGTTAAGTCTGCATCATATCTAGACTTAATGTGTCTAGATATTGTCAACAAGGATGGTATGAAAACCAAACTTTAAAGCAAAAAAGATGTTTTCAATTTTCCCACTATGAATTTTCTTTTATCTGTAGCAACTTTCCAGCAGTACGTACAGATCATCCAGTTGATACAGTATTGAGGGTAAAAAATAATATAACCAAATTCTGGTAGTAACTTTCTCTGTATTGTGCATAAAAATAAGTGAATAAGCTAGTCTAACATTACCTCCTGTTCCACTTCAGCATATTCTTTAACTCTCTCAACAGAAACAACATTAGATTCCAGGTCACTGGAAGTCCTGACAAACATGTTCAGAGCACCAGTTATCTAAAAGAAATATTTTTTGTTAAAATTTCAGTACTGAACTAGAGGCTCTAAAGAGCCTGCATTGCTCACCTGCATCTTCAACAATAGCCACTTTTAAGTAAGAATCTAAAGGGGAATAAGAGTTAATTTACAATTTCAATCATGTTAACATATTTGAAGATCTTTTCCTCCTGATAATTTTTCCTTTTCAAAATATCTATTATAGTTTTCCAGATAGTTGACAAAAAAAGCATAAAAATGTTAAAAATTATCATTTAAGGCCAATAACTCAAATAAGAAGTCGAATGAAGATTTCGACCAGTATGGCTTATTTGTAGATCTAGTCTTGCTGATCATATGTGCTATTAAAAGTTTCTACCTACTGTAAATTCAGAAATTATTGCGAGGTTTTTATTAATGCGAATAATGCGACTAGGTGAGTATCGCAATAATAAAAACTCGCATTTTGATAACTGAAACATAGATCTGTATGGAGACTTTTCTGAAATCGCAATAATTAAAATCGCATTCTTGTGCAGTTTTGAAAAATCACAAAAATAAATGCACGCAATAATTTCTGAATTTACAGTATCTATTAGTTTTCAATGGGAAAAAATGGGGAAAATCGTCATTACAGGGCAATAACTTCAATAAGCAGTTGACTAACAATTTCGTTTATGTTGACTTATTTGTAGATCTTGTCTTGCTGATTATTTTTTCTTTAAAGATTCTATCTTTTATACTTTTTAAGATATTAGGCAAAAACGGAAAAAATTGGTAAAATTCGTCATGTAAGGTCAATAACTCTAATAAAGAGTCAACTGAAGATTTTGGCTATGTCGACTCACTTGAAGATCCTGTCATGCTAATCATTTTTGCATTTAAAGATTTGATCTATCTATTAGAGTTTTTTAGATATTAGGCAATAACGCAAAAAATTGGTAATTGTCATTAATGGGCAATAACTATAATAAAGAGTCATCTCACAATTTTGGTCATTTAACTTATTTGTAGATCTTGTCTTGCTGATCATTTTTGCTCTTTAAAGTTTTTATCTATCTATTATAATTTTTGAGATAAAAGGCAAAAATTAAAAAAAAAATGGTAAAATTTGTCATTTAAGGGCAATAACTCCTATAAGAAGTTGTTTAACATTTTTGAGTTTAATGGACAATAGGTAGTGCTCAACATTCTTGAACATTTTTGCACCTGTCAGATTTTCTCTTTTTATAGCGGTTTTTGAAATAATAGGCAAAACTTGTATTTTACCCCTATGTTCTATTTTTAGCTATGTCAGCCATCTTGGTTGACAGACGGGGTCATAGGACACATTTTAAAAACTAAATACCCTAATAATGATTTAGAATAAAGATTAAGGCCAAGATTGATTAAATTTGGCCCAGTAGTTTCAGAGGAGAAGATTTTTGTAAACAACAGACGCCAGACACCAAGTGATGAGAAAAGCTCACTTGGACTAAAAATTTATAAAAACATCTGTCATGCAACTCTTGGAAAGGACATTTAGAGGATGTACCTAAAGCTACAATCTCATTTAACACTTTTTTTCATTTTTCATTATGAAATTATAAGTTACTCTATGTATAAAAAAGTAATATTTCATTTGTAAACGTATAGCTCTTAAGTCTTTACTAACCTAAAAAACCAAAATGATTGTTGTATATGTACACAATTTTTTTAACTGTTAATGAAGAGTTGACAGCATAAAACCTTCAGGGACAGCTGTGGCTATATATTTGGTATTTTACAGGGATGCAAGGGTTAAAAATAGAATAAGAAAATCATCTCAATCTTTGTACTCTACTTACAACAATGTGATACAATATATGCATTTGGAAAGTGACACATACCTGTAGAGCATAAGATATAGACAAGCCAACAACACCTCCTTCTACATTTGGTGTCAACACGGCAAATAATGCTGCTGCAAATACAATCAGATTTCCAATCAACTCTAATCTCCAACCCAGCCATCTACAAAACATAGATGTTGTAGTTAATAATCAAAATTTGAAAAGACCTAAAAACAAAATATCATTATCAATATAATCACTTGTGTCTTAATAAATAGCTTTTTATATTTATAATTCCACAGTAATACAATGATACTGATTGTCTGGCATGTTATTGATGACCTTCTCTGATCAGGAGCCTCTGTGGCTGATTGGTCTAGGCATTTATTTTAAACTAATCTCACTCCTTACCATAATTTCAACTCTTGCTTTTGAAAAAAAAAAATATCTGCACTGGAATTATTGATGCATTAACAAATTGTGCTAACAAAAAGCAGCAATATTTCCTTCAATTAATTTATCATAAGTTTACTACATAAACCAAACAGAAAATATATATGTTATTAGCTTTGTACAGCAAGGTATTACTTCAATGAAATAAAAACTCATATCTTTTTTTTCCTCTCCACAGAGTGATTATAATAACACTGATCCTACCTCTGTGAAGCGATTTTAGTGAAATAGTAACTAATATTTTTGTCCACTCTGTACAGTGATTCCTGAATGAATCTATCTTGTGCTTTATATGCCCTTAGACTTGTAGCTCCACTCAATGTTTCACTAAAATGGTTGTAAATGGGAGATTTTGATGTGGATTCTAGTCTCTGTAACTGTCTTGATGATGGAACATAAAATCTCTAGAAAACATTAACACATTATCTCAATACAGTTCACTGGAGGCTGTTTAAGAGAAAAAAATAAGAAATTATCTTAATACAATTCTCCACTAAAGACTATTCAAGAGAGACAATGCTACTAAAACATTAAACTGAACTCTTGAATTCTCAACATGACACATTAGTTCATATTTTCATAAATATAATGTCATTGTCAATAAAATTCTTTCAATGTTTTACAAAAAATATTTAAGTTATTCCATTCGAACACTTACTCCTTAAAAATGAATTTAAAGATACAATATAACCGTTTAGTTTTCTTTTTCCAAGCTTCATGAAATACTTTGTTAATGACTATTTTTACAGTTGATAAGCTAAAGGCTCATTAAAGTAAAGTTTATGCAATTTGGATGTTTTAGTTATTTTTTTATAGAATTATGTATACATTTAGAACTGGTTGGACTAAATCTAAATACAAAAAAAAATGTAGCATTTATATTTCCAGAGGTATAATCAATTAAAAAATGTAGCATTTATATTCCCAGAGGTATAATAGCATTTACATTTCCAGAACTGTGATCCATTAAAAAAGTTATAAAAAAGAAGAGTAAATGTAAAGGATTTATACAAAAATGTGAAATATTGCATTTTGTTTCAATTTCAAATTGTGATTTCTGAAAAGTCTGCCCTTAGGAATTTGTTTAAAAAGGAAATATTATTGATATAAACATTTCGGTTCTAATGATATTTAACGAATACCAGTCCCCAAATTCCTTTTTTTTTAAGAAAATCTTTTGTCTCAATAGAGAAACAAAGCTAAAAATGGACAAAATAAGTGTGCCGTTGTGATGGCATCCCGCTAGAAAGTTAACATTTCAATATTACCTGAATGAAGTAGTAAAATATTCCAAGTGGAACGATGACACTTAAAAATATAGGTGTACTGTATGATATGACAATCACTGTGCTCAATGTCTGGAAAAAGATCATGATCCACATTCGAAAGGTCATTGGCAAGGTTACATCAATCATCTGTACATCTCCAGAGAAACGATTCACAATCCTTCCAGATGGTGTGGTGTCGAAAAATGACATTGGAGCTCTCATGATGCTTACAAGCATGTTATGCTGAAGTTTAGCAGCAGCTTTCACATAGGACAATGTACCAAGCAGTGAATATATCAATATAAGAACAGCTGTAAAGAAAATCATGGTGTATCATACATATGTATCACTATGATAACAGCTGTGAAGGAAAAAATGTGTATCATACATATGTATCACTATAATAATAGCAGGAAACAAAACCCTTTGTAGGATACACGTTTGCTCTAACATTTTGAGGTACTTATTCTAGTAATTTTTGGTGGAATTTTTGTATGCTATTCCTCATCAAAGTACATGGAAAGTTTACAGAGATTTAACTAGTTGTTTTTTTCATATCATTGAGGACAGTGGTTTTTTTTTTGTTGCTTCAGCTAATACAACTTCCAAGAATATTACAATTTTTCCAACTTTGAGTTGCACCCATCTTTCTATTGAATGGTGCTCTCTAGATACCCTGGCATCTTCTGCCAATACATGATGCAGCCAAGTGTGATGAAAGTGGTGGTAAACACCAACAATCAATCTATTGAACAAGGTGAAGAGGAATATTAATTATGTGGCAATGTACAGGAAATAATTTGTCAAAACTCTTTACAGACTTAACCTTCATATTCTATATGCATGCATAATGTATAGATGACAACTATATCTTAAAATTACCTTCCATACACTCCTAACTATACTTTCAATTACTACATTATTACATTATAAGAACTATTCCAATATTTTAGTAAACTCTTAAAAGCACTGTATTTTGATATATTAGAGTACTTGTATTATTTGTACCTAACACATTAATACTTTTGAGAGATAACCTCCAAAATATTATGATATCATACCTTGTACTACTCCCAGACCACCATACACTCCTAAATACATTGTATTTTTATCTGAATATGCAGTTGTATTGGTCAAACTTCTATTAGCTAAAAGATCATCATCACTCCACAAGCTGAGCCATATGTTAGCTGCAATACTGGTTCCTTGGTATACCATAAATAACAGGAAAATGATGACCATGGCAGGAATCCCTACTGCTTTAAAGTATGACAGGAAAACCGTCCATTCAATCTATAAATAGATAAGGTAAATTTTCATCTCTCCTGACATTTTGTAAAAAGCAAATTGTATTCCTGCTCTCTTATTTAACAACAAAGTGTTTACCTATTTATTTTAACTACATCAAAGTGTAAAGGGTGCACTAAAAAGAATAACTCACAGAAAAATACCCATCGACTTGCTACTACTCACAACAATGCATTTTTATTTACCTTTCCATGTCCTTCTTTCTCCTTCTCAATTAATTTTTCCACTTGTTTCTCGGGTTGTTTCACTTTATTCTCTGTAGTAGGTAAAGCACTCTCATCTATCATAGAAATTGTTCTGACTAACATAGCCTTCTTCTGTAACTTCTCTGCCCTCCTGTTTATAAAATTGAATGTTCCAATCAATTTAATTTCAAGTTAACATTGAAAAACTATCAGTTTCCCCTTGTATTAAATAATGAGAATCTATCAGTTTCCTTTTCTATTTAATTGTACAACTAAGGGGTAATCCTTTTATTTAATAAATTCATGCATCTTTGTGAAACACATTACAAATGTATCATAAATGCAAAAAGGCTGAATAGAAAATTTCAGTGAAACTAATTAAAAGAAATTAAATCATTCTATTTAGAAATTCTTTTTACAAATCTGTACCTTTCAGTATTCTTTCCCTTGTCAAACCAGCATTTTTCATGTGTCACAGACTGAAAACGTTCCAGTATACGGCACTTTTCTTCAATCACTACAAAATAAATTTTAAAAAAACATTAGTTTTCTGATTTTATAAGATTAGTAATTGTTCTATAGATAAATATACAAGAGCAACAATAATTTTCTATTAGATAATAAACTAGGAGCATTGATCTGAAAAAAAAGTTATCATTAGAATTAAGCGAATCTACCAATTCATTCTTGGTCTAGTCCATTAAATTTATATGGTAACAGAGGACAGTGCTGATCATTATACCAAAGAAATCATTTTTACTAAATAAAGAGATTTTCCATCCTAAAAAGAGTAACTGAATAGTGATGACTTGACTTGCATTATTTACTTAAAGCCATTCAAGCATGAAATTTAAGCCACCATAACCAAAATGATATTTACATTTAGTATAAAGTTATGAATTATCATTATTTTGAAAACGTTACTGTTCTAAATGACAAACAGATCAGACATCAGTAGTATAACTTCCTAACATCTTAGATTATCTTTATATGATATCTTCTTCTCATGCTTAAGCTACATTTTCACCTTCAGGATCATTATCTAGGTCAACCTCCTCATCCTCCTCCTTGACCTCAGTGAAATAAGCATTCAGAAACTGTGCAAATGCTCCTTCATGGCTTAATAACTCCTCGTATGTTCCCATTTCTGAAATCTGTCCATCCACCAATACTACTACCCTGTCAACCATTGGTAACCATTGGATACCATGTGTTACTAAAATTCTTGTCTGAAAAACAATATCCACCAATGAGTTGAAAGAAGTACCTTTTTTAAAGTTGGCCAGAATAGCATATTCCACCATGTAAATAGAAGTTGAAAAAAGTTTAAATGGCCTAGGAAGTAACAAATAAAACAAGAATGCATATGTTGTTGTGCTAAGCATACCCAACTTGTAAATTAAAGTAATGGAAAACAGGAGATAGAGGTCTGACAGATTCGAAAAATGCTCATAAATTACAACTCATCAGGGTTAAGCTACTGACCAAATATGAAGTAATTCTGTGAAGTAGTACCTAGGAATAGTGTGACAGAAATATTTGTTGGACTTAGGGACAGACAGACGGACAAGGTGTAATGGGTTTCAATCATATATCCCTATAAGAATTTTAGGTCCATTTGATACAGTACATTCCGGTTATTTGCATAGCCTATTTGTCAGACAAAATTATGCAATAAAGCGGAGTATGCTTATATCCGAAATGCCAAATTACGGAGTCAAATAACATCGATAGAACAGATCAGTAAAGGAAATCCCTGAAGAAAGATGAACGTCTATAATCCAATTACAACATATTGAATGTTGATTTATTCTAATAAAAGTTATATGTCTATTGTCATACATGTTATTTTATTTTGTATTATTTCAATAAAGATTATAAACACATTTTGTTTTAGTTTATTTGCGTACCGACGTTTCCTTTACAGTTTACCTGGGATACGAAAATAAATTTGTTCTAAAAATAGATTTGTTTCTATGACCCGTATGTACAATGTACATTGTTACGCTTTGATTAAAATAAACTGTTTAACAAAATTACACAGTTTATAATCATTTTAACAATAGATGTGTACTAAACTGCCTTTGATATACAATATTTACAGCTTGCAGAATGAAGTAACACTGTTTATTTAACTTCGTTAGTTTCGTATATGCAAAGCAGTAATGGGACCCTGTACGGGTTATTTGCTGGACACGAGTATTGAAAGTGAGAAAATATAATAATTAGAAGTAAATACTCTTTTCAAAATAAATCAAATTAAATGATTCATGTATAAAATTCTTTAACCATATATAAATGCCCTGTAATATTTAACATAAATGCAGATCACCTCAAGCCCAATTACGAGAGTTCACATTGGATAATGATCGATAATTAGCAGGCGTTATTGTTTTTGAATTTCACCCCAAATGTAATCTATGGACAATGTTTGAAATCCAATCAATTATTTACACTTTTTAAGATAGAATGGTCAGCGTTTTTACAACAATTACCTGTTTGACATTTTTATGACCTCGAGGCTTAAAATAGAACATGGGAAACTTTACCTGTGACTGTGTAGATATCGAGGTTTATTTTTAAATCAAATTCAATCATATAAACACGAAAGAAACTGTTTTAAAACTTTATTTGAATAACACAAAAGTAAATATGAAATAATAATGAAAATAATGATGCATTCAAGAAAAATATACTCACCAACTTGCCGTTTCCGGTCAAAAATTTCGACAGATTTAACCAAGCATATCTAGATGGCGATAATTTTCTATGCAATAAACCGAAAGGCCACTTGTAGAGCTATGCATATAACCGGACAATTTAACATTAGATGAATGGGAAATGGTTTTGTGCAGGAGAAAACTATGCAATTAACCGAATTATGCTATTAAGCGGTATGCAATTAAGTGGAGTCGACTGTACCAATGGTACCATAATGAAAAATGGTCTTTATGGTAAAGGGCATACACATCACCTTCATGTCGTACTAAGTAAATTCAATATGTATCTAGGATCAACTTTTCTGTTGCATATGGTGAAGTGAAATATTACCTTATTCTTTAAGAGTCCTTTCTTGCCAAAGACATTTTTAAACATGTGTTTACCAACATGGGAATCAACAGCACTCAAAGGGTCATCTAACAAATAAATATCAGCATTGTTGTAAACAGCTCTTGCTAAACTGATTCTCTGTTTCTGTCCACCACTTAAATTTATTCCCTGGAATTCAAATGTCAATAGTTAAGCTATAATTTATAACCACAACTGTAAAACAATGTTAGATCTGTAAATTTGCAGAAGCAAATTTTTTGTTCTTCCCTGGCCGGGATTCGAACTCATGCTACTGAGATATCGTGGCTCCAAATTGCCTTGCAATATGCCTGATGTGCACAAGTTCAAATCCCAGCCAGGGTAGAACAAAAAATTTGCTTCCGCAAATTTACAGATCTAACATTGTTGGGCTATTATTTAGACGAATTATGTATACAGAATGTGTTTTCAGCCTTGTATCACCATCACTGGTGATCTGATGGATAAAATCTGTCGTAGAGTTGTCACTGGTTCAGACGTACTTATATATTATAAGATATTATAAGATATTAAAGCCATTCTGAGTATTGACTTCACATTTTTATTTACATTTGTTTTATACTTAGGAACTACTGGTGTTTTGTTTTGTTTTAGAAAAATCATTTTCATATTGGTATAATATTGATAGACTTTGACTACCATGATATTGAAAATAACATAGATGTATGTGAACAACCTTATACTTTAAAGATTAAAAAGATAAAATATAAAAATAAGGAGATGTCTGCTACACATACCTTCTCACCAATCTCTGTCATGTCACCTCCTGTTAGGATTTCAAAATCTCTTTTCAATGAACAAGATTCAATCACTTGATCATATTTTGCCAGGTTCATCTCTCTTCCGAACAAAATGTTGTCTTTAACAGTTGCATTCTGTATCCATGCCTGTTGTGGTACATATGCTATTTTCCCCTATAAAATATATAATACTGGAATAATATACTGAAGAATCTAGAATTGCCTTTATTAAGGTATCATGGGAGTATTCTGTCATCTTGGTTTGCAAATGACCAGTATTAATCGGTCCAGATTTTTACTTATATGAAATTTGGCAAATTTTTATTGATTCCAAAACAATTCAACAAATTCTTTACAATGGGAGATAATTCAGATAATTTAGTTTTCTTAAATCATGTACTGTAAATTTATCTGTTCTGTTATGCAGGGGTTCTGCTGGGCTGCAACATTGTTATTTATTTGGATTTTATAGTATCTGTTGACAGATTTTAATGTCTTGCTTTATGCTTTGTAGACGAAAAATATCATATACAACATTTGTAACATTTATGACATGAAGAAAAAGCTTGCACAAGGGCACAGGTGACAATAAACATTAAATCAAAATTGTTCATTAATCTATGGCTTCTATTTTCTTAAAACAAATTAACAGTCAGCTTCAGATCATAATGGCTGAATGAACAAATTATGGGCTGGAATACTTTCTATTCATATCGAAAGCAGCAAATGGGACCAGTTAAGCTAAAAAATAGAACTGACCTTTACATTGACCCTTCCTTGTAACTTGTCCATTTCTCCTAGAAATGCAGATATCAATGATGACTTTCCTGATCCAACAGTTCCTACCACAGCAATCAATTCTCCCTCAGCTACCTCTAAATCGATGCTGGTAATAAAATAAAGGCTTTCATATTACTCCTATATAATGTATTGACTACTTCGGTTGACTCAAAATGTACCAAAATCACATTCTGTTCTATCCTCTTACACATGTCTTGAATATATTGAACTTGCACCTAGTATTTTCAATGAGTAAGAAAACACTCCTTTTATGTCTTTCTACAGTAATTTCAGTAGTTTGAACTACTGTAAATTCCGAAATTATTGTGAGAGTTTTAATATTGCGAATAATGCGACTGGGAGAGTATCACAATTATAAGAACTCACAGTTTTTGATAGTTGATACATATATCTATATGTAGATTTTCTTGAAATTGCAATAATTAATTTTATATTTTTGTCCAATCTTCAAAAATTGCAATAATAAATGAACGCAATAATTTCTGAATTTACAGTATTAGATTATTATTAATCAAAACCAAATTCTAAAAACAAAAACTAATCATAGTAGGAACACCATTCTACTGGCCTGAGAACACAGTTATTTTGAAACGAGTGCATTTTTTTGTAAAGAACAATACATGCAAATTAAATAAAAGAAGAATGTGCCCATGGGACACAGATGCCTCGCTTGTAGATACGACAAATTCAGTAATTTTTCCATTTACACAGGGAAATAACTCAAAAACAATGAAAGTTACGTCAGCCAAATTTTTAACTTCATCTGTGTTTGGTAGTAATAAGTATTGCATATAAATTTCATAAAATTTAGTTGAGCCAAAGTAAAGTACCGGTAAGTGTGCGGAAACGGCAAATTTCAGAATTTTTGAAGGAACTCGAGAACAGTGAAAATAATGCCACCAAAATTCGAACTTGATCTGTGTTTGTTGGTAATAAGCATTGTGTATTAGTTTCAATAGCATTTGGTTGAGGCAAACTAAAGTAAGAGAACAGAAACTAATTTTTGGACAGACCTACAGATCAGGGCTTCCAAAACGGTCATATATTCCGGACTTGACCGAAACTTTCATAAAAAGACCGGCTGTTCTCAGCCTCAAACGGTCAAATAGAATTGGTGTGCCACATTTTGTTATTCAAGGCATTTTCATGAAACGGTCATCTCAATTTTTACCAACTATTGATCGATAAAAATGTCCGTTTGGGGCTTTGGGCATGTCCGTTTGGGCATTTTAGTTTATAATTGTGGCAATCTATTTCACAAAGATATTTCGGTCATAATTGGTTTTAATAAAACAGAAGCAGCATATTTCAGATACTTTGAAGTGTCTCAGTTAGTCTTATCCTCTGGGTACATAAATGTACGGCTTGGTCTTTAGCTTGTGTACATCAATAAAAAGTAGAAAAAACATGTTTTCTTTTATTTAAATAACAACAAGCTGTCAAACAATTATCCCTTCAATAAGTTATATTGAAGCCATAAAATCATTCACTGATTACAGGTTTGTTACCTTTGATGAGGTGTCTTTATCAATAGAATTAATGATGCATAACAATGTACATAAAGGTAATCAGGTAAACGAGGTCAAACATGTAAGCGTGTATGGAACAACATCCTATTTAATTACGCTTTATAGATATTATTTTAAATGAGCATTCAGTTTAAAAAAGTATCCTGATAATTAAAAGTTATTCTTCAAATAAGGATATTTATAAATGAATAAGTATGATATATATTATTTTATTTAACACTGTACATCGTGTTAAATACTGGGGTACTCTCAAGGGGAAAATTTACTAAAATATATTGGAAAAACACAGAGAATAGCTTCGCTTGGGTATACCAACCTGAGTTGTCCAATAAATAAGGGGGGCGTTCTCTATTCTTGTTTTCATATTAAAAACTGTTTTTATAATTAAAATCATAAAGAATAATATCCAATCATGACATTATCTCCGACTTTTATAAAGACTTTGTCTCAAATTGAACTTAGTAGGTGTAGATGTTAAAGACTTTGACCCTGTTCCTGCTATCCGCAAATGGCAATCCGTTCGTAACCGCCATGTTTATCAGAACAATGCATTTAGCAAGCTCATGAATGTAAAATCTTAAATTAGACTAAATGAACTCTAATCTTGTGCTGTGATCTGTGCTTCTTTTCAATGTGCTCATTGTAATATTTATTGCGTGTGTTTGTCAACATTGTGCTCTTCTGATATTTTATTGTTGTTATATGCTTACATAAAATATCATGTTGTTATTCATTAAATTATTTATCAACTGAGTATGTTTTTATTTATTCCTTATTTTCTAAATCAGGTTGGGAAATTGTACAAAGAAAAATGTTATCACTGTTCAGTAGATTTTACACGGTTTAAAACAATATCCTTCATTGGGCCTCCTCAATGTTATCTATAAATACCGCATCAGTTGTAAAAGTCACGTGGTCAGGTAATCAATACACAAAAAGAAAGTATCACGTGTATTGATGATCAAGTTGTACTGCAATTAAAGCCAACATCAACAGTTTCAAATAAGATGGCCTTAATTTACAAAGTGTTAAGTACTCACAGAGAGAAGATAGATTATATAAACAGAAACAAAAACATGAGAACAGTCAGGTACTGAAGCTGATTGATGCAATGATGGTTACTGTATTACGATACACAGAAAAATGACTCAATACCGAGGATAATATTTTATTTATTTTTAGAATGAAGAAAACAAAACAGTTATAAATAATTTTATTGCATATAACACTACTAATTATTTAGACACATATATCAATTTATGCATCCTCTCAGTTACATTTAAGTATCCAGCTGATCATTGACCGTCAAAAATATTTCTTTGAAAAATGTCCGGCTGTCGTCAGGAAATTTTGGAAGCCCTGCTACAGATCTAGACATACGGACAGAAAAGGGTAAACCTTACTGCTTAATAAGCAAGTCATAAAACTCCTACCTGCATTTTCTCAATATTAAAGATTTCTACAATGTAGTGATCTACTTTTAAGACAAATTAAATCAAAATTATAAAAAAGTCTACCAGGTATAACTCAAAATTAGGACAGTTTTGTGTTATTAAAAAGGGTTCTTGAATTCAGTATGAAAGCTTCAGATATACTAATTTTTGATGTTTTCCAACTGGACCAAATCTCTAAAACAAAAATGTGCATGTAATTTATTCACCCCTTTTAATGTTTTATGCATTATATATGAAGAAATAATATTTGGAAGGTGTATGAAAAAAATATTGCAAGTAAAACATTATCCACATTAGGGACAACAAAACCCAAAGGATAATTACTATTTTTTTAGACCTACTGAAATTGTTAAATTTTCCATTTTTTCCTTCAACAATGGAGTCTTTGATCTTGGCAATAATCATATCTTTAAATCATGCTGACTATTTCATATATGACTCAATTTAATGCCAAGTTCTTTGCCCCATTTATAGCTTACAATATGATATGAAAGACTCCCTTATCACTGAAGACAAGATTGTGAGCTGATTTTCTATTTTGATGCCTAATACAGATTTTTAAGATCTTAACTCTCCCCCTTTTAATCTTGATCAGTATGTTTATTTAATCATATTTCTAATACAAATCAAAATATTACTTTTTCAGCGCAGGAGGTGCTTCACTGTCCCAGGTAAATGTTCCATTCTCTACTTTAATGACTGTTCCTGTAACGATAATGTGAATATAATCTGAATATATTTTCTTGAATGGCAAATGTGTTATGATTACATGAGTAAAGCTTGATACCAAATTTCAGGGAGCTTTGACTTTCAGTTTTAGACAAAAAAGTGACAAAAATTTTATCTGACAGTTGGATGTACAGACAGGTATAAAACACTATAAACCCTCCTTCAGAGTAGGAATCTGACAACAACACACCTTTAGATAGACTCACTTACATTTTGAACTCTGTCAAAAAACTTCAAAAACCTAGGAACCATAAGAGATTACCTATTACTTTTGAGATTTTAGAAAAAATCATATTTTGTCTTAGACATGGGGTGTTTACCCCTTTTATTGATTTAATGCTAGAAACAGCCTGTACAGTAGGTTTTTATGGCTTTATGAGATGTGGAGAATTCACAGTTTTGAATGCCAACCAATATGACTCATCTGTAAATTTATGTATTGGAGATATTACATTTCATAAAGATATGACCGTTTTGAAACTGAAACAGTCAAAAACAGATCCTTTTAGGAAGGGTATAGATATTCAACTTCATAAAGTACAAAATCAGATTTGTCCTTTTAAAATCTTAATCAAATATTTTCAAATTCGAAAAAATCTAATTTATAATCTCCCATCTGATCCATTTTTTATCTCACAAAATTCTTTAGCCTTAGAAAGAAATTATTTCATTAATTGCATTAAACATGTACTAAGTTTATGTGGCTTCAATCCTGATCACTATAATGGTCATAGCCTACGCATTGGAGCTGCCACAACTGCAGGTAAAGCACATATTGAAGACCATTTGGTCAAAGTACTAGGACGCTGGTCCTCTGATAGTTACTGCAGGTATATAAGAGTGTCATCTTCTTCAATTAAGTATGCACAAGATTTGTTAGGTAATTCTTAACACAAAGCATCATGATATTTGATCTATAATTACAAAATGTATTTTTATTATTTTGATTTTATATGTCAATAGGTGTATTTTATTATTATATTATTTTTTATTTTTTTTTTTTATTTTTATTTTCTCATGACTTTATTGAAGGTGAATAAGTCCACACTCCTAAATCCTTGGGGGCACGCAGCTGTTCCATCTGTGTTTTTGGACCTTGATGGAATTTTATCACTGGTCATTTCTAAAATTTCATTCATCCCCAAGCATTTCGGGGACAAATTTGATTAAAATTATTCCAGCGCCAGTTTGATAGACCCTGCTACTTACTACTTGTAATAGCACCACATGGGCTATCCCCTGATGCAGACCTTGCACAATCAGGCTGCAGATGAGATGTCTATTCTCATCCTCTCTGTGGAGACACTCCACTTCCTGGCTGGCGCATTGTCGGGCAGGCAGGTTCTTCCTTACACTGAAGGTTGCAAGCTGACCTGCTCAGGCAGGAACTCAAAATTTTATTTTGTATGCTGAGTGTTTCTCAAGGGCCAAAACTGATTTGATTGTTTATAATAAAATTATTATTCTAACATATCTTCCTGCTTTAAGCCAGTGTGACTTGCAAGTATTATGTTTTGGTTAACACACAGATATCCCTTATGTAAAATTTGGTTTAGTTGTGTTTGGAGCTGGTAATTGGTGTACAATGCTTAAATATGTGGGTTGCTGTCTTGACTTTAATTGAGATTTGCTCAATCAGGAGAGTTTACTTGAACTAAATATTGGACATTAGGACTTCTCATCAATACACACAGGAAATAATCAGGACTTCTTATCGATACACACAGAAAATAATTTACCTAAATTACAGCTGTAAAATACAGTTTGATGTGATCATTAAACTTTTTATTTCATCAATGGAAGGCTTACATTATGAAACTTTGCTCTTTGGAATAGGTAAATAAATATAACTCAAAATTTTTAGTGAGCCTGCCATTGGTGACCTACAATGTTTTGTTCACTGACACTATACATTTATAAAAGTCTTTGCATACCACTCAGACACAAATAATAAACAACCACCTTATTAAACTACAGAAAATATTTACACCTAACGAGATTTCAGAAAAGATTAGAGACTACAAGAAAATTACAATATGAGACTATTATACAGACTGACTACATACAACAGGTTTGAATAAATTATATCATATAAGGACAAATTATAACTTCAATAAAAAATTGACTTACATTTTTCAAGGATTTACAGTAGATCTTGCATTTTAGCTCATGTCATATTTACCTATCTAATACAGTTTTCTAGATATAAGACAATTATTTGTAATTTACCCCTATATAAAAATAAGAAGATGTGGTATGTTTGCCAACAAGACAAATTTTTACCAGAGAGCAAATGACATTGAAGTTAGCAACTAAAGGTCACTGTACGGCCTTTAACAATTTAAATGAGAAAACTAATGGTCTGATTTATCAAAAAAAAGCTATATTGGTTGATAGATTGTAAATAATATTACACTATATATATCTAGTCTAGACACCAAAAAAATCATTAACGTCAATTTGGGTTTAAATTGGTTTAATAGTGAAAAAGATGAAGATTTTTGAAAAAAAATGTAAAATTGGGTAACAATCATCAACAACACAACCTCCTGTGGGATCTATACCATTTCATAATCTTACTGTTCATTAAAAATTCCATCAAAATAAAAAAAATTAGGGCTGTTTTCTCCCCAATGTTGTTTTGTTGACCATGTTGCTTGGCTCCCATGGTCATCTGTTTTTTGTTAATATTTGGTTGCTATTAGCACTGCTAAAGCTTTGTTTTGTTTAATTCCATTTAGTTATTTCAGAAGTGATGTTAATTGAAAAACTGACGATGAATGGCAAGTATAATGTCAAGTTTATACTGAACTGAACCTTTTGTAAACTAAAAGTATCTTTTAATCCATTAACAATACATACCAGAAATTTGTTCATGTTGTACATTATCTGAGTTTAAATCACCACTTTTTAGAAAGGCTGACAATCTCTTGATTGAAACATTTGTCTGAAAAATAATTCATTTCTTTTATATTAAATATGTTTAAATGTTGTGTTGGGATGACACAATTGACATCTGCCAAATTCAAGGGCCATTTTCGGTGAACTGGTTTTATAAATTTAAAACTTGCAAAGACTTAAGGCAATTTAGAGTTTGACATACTGAATAGACAAGTCTATTGTTGAAGAGCATATGTTCAACCCTAAATGTCTATGATGGATTTATTTTATAGTTTGTTTATAGGTCGATTTTTCTCTTATGCATACCCACATGTTTTATCCATATTAATGTTTCATACCATTTGGTTAAAGTAAACTAATGTTATTGAAAGGAAACTTAAAAATCAGCCTACTTACAAGGGTCAGGAAAAATTCATATTTTCCAGTCATGACTGATTCTAAAAGGTCCTTGACCTAAAGTTTTTAGGGATTTATAGGTCAAGAATTCTTTTTTCTAAATTAAAAATTTACAAAGATAGGACATAATCATTAATGCCCTTATGTCAGATATTTCATTTACAAATTCTTGATTACAATTGACAATTATTTTCCATTAAAAATAAAACTGCCACTTGGTTGTGTATGCTTATCCACAGGGCCATACATATTCCTGTTTAATGCCTGCTGCAATTATTAGGTAAAGGCTCACTTATCATGTCACCTGACAGCAGAAAATATTGACCAAGTACAGACGATTGACTTTATCATGAAATAACTTATCAGCCAAGACTATAGATAATTTACATTTTAAAATTAAAGCTTTCTGTACAATTTTGTAAAAAAAATAACTTAAGGTTTAGTCGAATGTACCGATATTCATTACACATTATGCATGCGTGCAAGTGTCTCTCTCTTTTTGACAAGCACAAAATTAGACGCTTTATTGTAAAAAATGCCCATTAATCTTATGCGGAATACACGAATAAAAATACAATTATTTATATCAAAACACTTTACACATATGATTAAAAAAAACGTTGACTTATTGACTTTTTATAGCCTGAAAAAAATCTCTATCCTAAATCCCATTTCATTTGTAATTTATAATCAGCTTGAAAACTTTTGGTTTCTCAAAAATGTAAGTATCAATTCCTAGAAAATTTTCAATTTTAAGTCATTTAAATAATTGCAGTTTTAAACTGTTGTCTTCCACATATTATTCTTAAACACTTTTACAAAAACAGGTATATAATTTCATGCAGTTCATACAGCAAAATTGTTGATAAAGGTTTGTCTATGCCATGAAATCAGCATGAATTTAACAGTTTGAAATTCAAAGGTTCTAGCTTTGCAGTCCTTAAAAAAGACCGAAATTGAATGAAAAAATTTCTGGACCCATGGCTTCTTTCTTCCCACATGTACAATTAAAAAATGACAAAAGTGAAAATGATACTAAAACCATTTACAACAAAATATAATATGTAGAGACAACAACATCTGGGTTACCGCAAGGTGATAGTTTTATTGTAGACTCAATAAAACTATCACCTTGCGGTAACCCAGATGTTGTTGTCTCTACATATTATATTTCCATGAGGTTTTAAGACAACCGCAGCATACTTCGGTATCCATCTTGGTTACTCTACCAGCTTTTCCGTTAGAAGGTGTTGGTTCACTCGTCACAAATCATTTACAACAAAGATTAAATGTTTACAATACCTGTATAATGAATGAGATCATCATTGGCAGTAGATTGATTGGAAATCTGAGGATATTAAACAATGACAGTGATACAAAGGCTTTCTGTGCATCAAGATAGTTCTCTGTTGATGACATAATGTAGGTGGCAAAGGTGGCTAACGTAACCTGCAAAAAAATACATATCGACACTTCATGGAAAGACAAAAAACATGAAACTGATTTAACACAACCCTTTCCTCCATAATGACACCTTTTGATGCCACCCCCTTTACCCTATACTGACGCCTTTAGACGCCTTTGTGTAGTACCTCAGTTGAAACTCTTTGCCTACGAAAAGACCAAAATTTGTAAAAGAATGACATACCTCTCTGTTTCAGAAATAAACTCAAGGAAACAACATTGTGCAGATAAATATCAACAATTTCAGAGAGAGTTTTTTTTACGGAATATACTACAAGTGCTCTATTAGAAGTGTACTTGATTTTCTCTTTTGAAGTATTTTACATTTTGTACTACCAGGAGTGCTTTATAGCTGACTATATGGTATTGGTTTTGCTCTTTGTTAATGTAAGTGTTTACCGTTGAAATTTTCTTTGTCCTTTGATCTGTATAGCAATCATACAGTACCTCCTTTTTTTTACATTCATGGCCAAGAGCTATCTTAATAGTATCAATAAGCTGTGTCAATATGAATAATTACAATTGTAGAAGTTTACACATTGTAATGAAATAAAAACAACATATTGAATGTACTTACAAGAAATGGAGCACAAGTGAATGAAAAAGAACTGAATGCATTGAGGTAGGCATATTTTCTTAAAACGTCTAATTCCTTCTTTCTAATTTCTGTAACTTTGTCTTGAAAAGAGGATTCCCAAGCATACAGCTTCAATACCTACAAAATATGTTGTAATGCTGATATATAAAGTGTCTTTTGTGAGTTTCTTTTAACAAATGTATGTCTCATTCAGTTTTAAAGTTGCATTGTTTCTATTTTTTTTACGTTGGCACTGTGTAATGTTTGTTCATTAGAAAATTTAACCTGACATTATTCTCAAACTTAATTTTAGCACTATAATTAATGTAAATTCTCATTTTAATAGAAAACTGAGATTTATTATATTTGGAGTTTTAGAAAAAAATAATAGGATAAGCACTGAATGAAACTTAGCCTCCATAAACAGTCTCAATGTGCAAGCATTCAGTGACAGATTTTTATCTTAAGAATCCTATTCCACGAGGTTTTATCAGCATCTCTGAATAATGTATCTGTCAAGTTGAATGATATTTAGGTAACAGGTACTTAAATGGGCAATATACATTTTTTAAAGAAAAAATGCAAGCAAAAATAGCATACAGAACTGCATATAAATATACAAAAATTATATAGGTATTTTTTTATACTTTCTGAGAAATACTAAATTGAAAATACTGTTGAAAGAAGTACAGTATTGGATGCACGAAAATATTTCCATAAATATTGAATAATTTGACTTATTTTAAATTGACTTTCTTCTAAAAACTTGTCCAACAAAATTTCTTTAAAAATTATGTGATATTGCTACTAAAATTTCCCTTTCCTTGATACAAATTAGTTTTACGGTTTTACCTGTATAAATCATACAAAGTACTCTGTTTTTCTAACTTATATAAAAACATAAAAAAAAAAATTTCTATGCGCAATGCAATCACAATATCACACTTACTTTTGCCTTTTCTTTGCCTTATTTATGCTCTGCAGAAGATTTATACTTAAAAAAACTAATTCATTTACCCAATAAAATTTATTTCAATAAAATGAAAACTACAATTGAAAAATATATCATTTTTAAAGAAAACTGGTAGGACAGGATTTTTGGAAATATTAATTTGAAGAAAAACTTGATGAACTTTCTAGGATATTTATATTTTTACATCTATTTTCTGGATATTTAAAATAAATATTATATCATGGTTTTTTTGTTTTTTTTATGTCAAAGTGTGAATTTACCAAAATGTGAACATGACATTTGATCCTAAAGTTTAACATTACAGTCGGAATATAGTTTAGGGCCCAAAAGCCATAAGGCTTTAACCTTCAAAACTGAAATCAACAGGATTTTAGGTTCATACTAAGACTTAAAAGAGGATATAATCTTATCTTCATTTAGTCTTAGATGCTTGAATTCATCTTAATCTTAACCTACCTTCATACCACTAAGTATTTCATTCATCATTTTAATTCTGTTATCTTTATATCTCATCAGGTCTGCCTGTAGTTTCCGTTGTTTCGTTGATATGACAATATTTAGTGGGATTAGTAATAACATGACTCCAAGTCCTAAATTTAAAACAATAACACAACATAGGTAAAGTATTATTGATATCATTCTATTGATTGTGCACATTAATAATATACGTCAAGGTTATATATAAGTCAGTACAAATTTTATTGGTAATAATGATATAAACGGTACCAACTTTACTACACCAGATGCGCATTTCAACAATTAATGTCTCTTCAGTGATGCTCTAGGCCAAAATATTTGAAAATCCAAAACCTAATACAAACGTTGAAGAACTGATCAACCAAAAAGACCTAAAGTATAGCCTAAACCAGACAAGGAATCAATGTTTTGCATGCGGGAGATATATTCCTTAATTCAAAATGTAAAATTTTAAAACATTATTGACTGCAATCAGTGTTATAGTATCATAACTAGTCCAATAGTTATAGAATAACTAATCGAAGAATTCAAATAGAGAAAAATATTCAACAAGTGACCGAACAACACATTAATTCACGAATGCCTGTAGCGCATGAGTTAATTATCAGTGTTGTTTAGTCACGAGTTGAATATTTTTCGATATTTGAATTCTTTGATTAGTTATTCTTTTTATTACATTGGCAAATGTCTTTTTTTATGAAATTAAAGTAGAAAATGTAAGGAACTATATCTTTTTCTACGCATTCACAATTTGTTTTGATCCGAAGTAATCGACGTCTTGACAACGCCTATTGTTGTATGACGTCAGAGGAGTGAAATAATCACGTATATTTCACATGTGAAATTATCGGTTTTTATTTCACTGGGAAATCAATGTAATTCATTGCAACCAATGTAATAACTTTATATATCATAACATAGCTATCCTCATTTTCTCTGAGCACAATGAAACACTAAATTTCTGTGTATTGTGTACCGTATATAATATTTCCTACATGTGTTTCCTGCTATTCCCTTTCCCAGGAAAGGCACCTTGAATATGGAATGCAATTGATAGAATCAGTTTAACATTTCTTGCTTTAAATTTTCCTCTTCACCGTAATAAGCAGTTTAAGAAACCTTTCACATTGATGTACAAAGTATCTTCCTTGAGTGCAATGTGGGTTTCAGTGGAACAACAATACAAAGAAAAAGTTCTTAATATTTTTCTGATTAAAAACTTTCATAATTTTTTCAAATATGTACCTGCTAGTACAGATGGACCAAGTTGTTGCCATAACAACACTGTGGCAAGGAGAATCTGTAATGGAGCTGACCAGATCATCCATAACTGACCAGCCACATCCTGAAATCTTTGACAATCAACTGACATCAAGTTTACAATTTCTCCAACTGTTGATGACTTCTTTGCTTCATTGTTCATTGTCAGTGACTGAAAATAAAATGTACATTCAATTCTTGCAATTTCAAAAAGAGGCTGTTGCTGCTACCAAGTAATCTTTAATTGGCATAACATCATTATCAAATGTTTGACCATCACCTTGCTTTTTATACATGAAGTTATAAATGTAACACATATCAATGTAAACACTGGCAAACTGAAAACAAACTTATTTTCTTATGGGAAATCAATATAGTTGAGCAATTTGTATAAAATTTTGTGTAGATTGAACAGCATCTGAATATCGGGACAATTTATATGAGTCAGATATACAATTATTTAAAAATTTGTGAAATACATATTACTGTATAGAACGAACATAAAATGTGTCATAAAAAGTAGAAATCAGTATGTCTCAATATGAAGAGTGACTAAAAGCATTAAAGTATATAATAAGTGTGACATAGCGACAATGTCAAGCTGCAAACATTCAGTAAAAGAAACAAGAATAAATATTACCGATATATATTTACAAATTCTGTTTTTGAGAAAAATGAATTGTGTTCTATCTTTTGGATAAAAGGACTGGTCTGTATCAGAAGAAGCTTAGTCATCTGGTGATATTTTAATCAGACTAGACAAAGTGCTGATTTAATGAACTTTGATTCAAACTTAAACAATGGTTACATATCTTTTTTTTCCCCATAACCTTTATATCAGTCTTGTACAATATGTGGCATTGACATATCATCTTTTGTAAACAAAGCAACTGGCATTAACATACCTTTTTAAACACGGCAGCAATGAGTGCTGACCTTGCTCTCATTCCTGTTGTCATAGAGATGTGGAAATTTTGATGGAAAAATGTTGACTGGAAAATAGCAACAACAAAAAATCCAGCAGCTAATATGTATCCTTTCCATTCCGCTTCAGGACGACCTGCAAATCTATTATTTGTGTAGCCAATCAAAGCACTGAAAAAGGAAGATAAAATTGAGAATGGAAATGGGGAATGTGTCAAAGAGACAACAACCTGACCAAAGAGCAGAAAACAGCAGAAGGCCACCAATGGGTCTTCAACACAGCGAGAAAATCCAACACCCGGAGGCAGGCTTCAGCTGACCCCTAAACAAAAATGTGTACTAGTTCAATGAAAAATGGACGTCACACTAAACTCCAAAACATATAAATGAACTAAAATTAAAAAACATACAAGACTAACAAAGGCCAGAGGCTCCTGACTTAATTGGGACAGGCGCAAAAATGCAGCAGGGTTAAAGATGTTTGGTGAGATCTCAACCCTCCCCCTATACCTCTAGACAATGTAGAATAAACAAACACACAGCAATACTTACAGTAAAACTCAGTTTAAAAGAAGTCCGATGTCAGAATAGGTAACAAAAGAAACTAAGCAAAATGACAAAGATACATAAATTAACAAAGGACTACTAGCAGTTACTGACATGCCAGCTCCAGACCTTAATTAAACTGATTGAAAGATTATGTCTTCATCATATGAAAATCAAGCACAATCCCTCCCATTAGGGGTTTAGTATCATACCATCATAAAATATATGAGAAGAACATAACCCATATCATGCCAACAACTGGTTTTAAAATAAATGTGTTTATTTCCGATGCAAAGACCCTATGAGTGAATCAATATTAATACCAAAATACGCCATCCTTAATGACCTGACAACAGTATCGTAACTATATCCCTTCTGAATAAGTCTGTTGAAAGGTTTGGTAAGCTTTTGAGGTGAATGTCGACATTTTTGTGCTTTGTATAGAATATTACCATAAAAGATTGGATGTGAAATACCTGAACGTATAAGATGTCTGCATGTTGATTTATATTTACGAATGATGTCCTTGTACTGATGATAAAATTTCGTAAATGTTTTGACTAGTTTGTGATATCGAAAACCCTGGTGCAATAATTTTTCAGTAAAACAGAGTTTCTTTCATTAAAATCAAATACTTTATTACATACACGAGCGAATCGAACAAGTTGAGATATATAAACACCATAAGATGGTGACAAGGGAACGTCACCATCTAAATATGAATAATTAACAATAGGAAACGAAAAATCACCTCTTTTATCATTAATTTTGGTATTAAGCTTCCCGTTAAAGATATATATATCAAGATCCAGGAAAGGGCAGTGTTGATTGTTAGTATTAGCTTTATTTAAAGTCAGTTCAGCAGGATAAATCTCTTTAGTGTACATACTGAAGTCGTCATTATTGAGAGACAATATATCATCCAAATATCTAAAAGTGTTATTAAATTTTGGTATCAGATGTTGTTTCGATGGGTCTTTGCTGATTTTAGTCATAAATTGTAACTCATAACAATACAGAAACAGGTCCGCAATAAGTGGTGCACTGTTAGTCCCCATTGGAATTGCGATATCTTGACGATATACGGAATCTCCATAGCGAACAAAAACATTATCTAGTAAAAATTCAAGGGCAGTAATAGTATCAAAGCAGGTCCAAGTGACATAGTTCTTTTGTCTGTTGTTACTAAAAAATGACCTAAAAGAGTTAGAACATATATATTCGCATTCTGACTTTTTAAATGCCCATTTAATTAGGTGTGTGAATTTTTTCTTAATAAGATTATGAGGTAAAGTGGTTACTGGTATATAGGGTAGAAAAATAAAAACTTTGAACAGATTCGAAATCACCAATATAAGCATGCAATTTATCAAGTACTTCAAACGAATTTTTAAAACTCCAAAAGTAATTAATTCCACTATTTTCAAGGGCCTTACTTGAACAATTTATTACCAGGATTTTGATTGTACCAAGTGTACTAGTAAGTAGAATAGACAGTTTAGTAGTGGAACAATGGCTTGAAGACGAAATAAATCTATATTTGTAAGGTGTTTTGTGCAGCTTCGGAAGCCAGTACATAGTTGCAACTTTCATTGTATTTGTTTCTGCTTATAAAGAAGTAGCTAAAAGTTTATGTTTGTTACAGATGTCATTTTCCTAAAATGGAGTCAGTTTGAATGTTGGTGAATTCATGATTTCCTTTTGCAGAACCTCAATGTAAAATTTAAGTCAAACAATAATGATATTATTAGCAGTCTTATCAGCCGGAACAAAAACAAATTCCTTGGTGAGTTTTTTTAGCTTATATTTAGGGGCTATTATGGTAGTTGTTAGGAGTAAAACGATCTTTAAAATGTTTAATACGATAATCAACTATGTTCATTACTGAATTAAAAAAAGAATCTTAGGATTTTTTGTCACCTTTTTCTCGTTTTATCCATTTCGAGCAGTAAGTACGGAGTGAGTAGTGGATGATATTACGACACTCATTCCAATTAATAATTGACGGGGGACGATATTTAGGTCCTTTACTGAGGAATGATTTCAACTCTTGGTCATGAACGATGTTAAGGTTTCTTGTTATAAAATGGGAACTGGGGCCATAAATGTATTCGGAATTACTGCAATTTCATGACGTAGGTGTATTGTCACTGATATTAACATTTTTACATACTTTGCTATAATTAAACACATATTTCCGGGTAGATTTTTTGTAAACATAACAAATAAGAGGAAGTTCAGTATTATCAAAATAGCCAGGAATTTGTTCTTTAACAGATAAATCATTAAAAATACCGGCAATATTTACAAGATGAACTCATTCAAAAGGCACCAAGAAAGATTTAGGAAGTTTATAATTTCTTCATTACTAATAAGTACATGTACTTGCAGTTATTTCAAATTAGATCATGATGTCCTTCTTATGCTTTATACACAAACTTTTCAAAGCCATGTTTTAATTCCAATTTAACATTGGGTACCTATGCATAATGTCACTATTTAACTTCGGAGAGAATAAAACTTCACATAGAAAAAATAGGCATGGTTTTGTGTTTTGAATTTTTATGAGAATAACAGGATTATGCTATTTCCGGTATTGGTTAAAGTGTAGTTCTCTACTAAAAGAGACACTATATGTACAATTTTACATATTTATAAAAATATTACTTTACATCAAAATAATATATAACTGTTATATCATATTTTGTGATTTAAGAAAAGTGTTAAATGAAATCCATTTCACTTACTTTAGTAGTAGAGGGGACATAAACTGTAGAAAATCATACACCAATTTACATCCCCAGGATTTAAATAAGTCTACTCCATACACCTTAAACAAAGTTTTTGTTAGGGAAGCCTTGTTTTGAGGCTTTTCTGGTTTGGCACCCTCCTTTATAACCACTTCAGGCTCATTCTCATTTCCCAAAAATGGAGTTTCCTCTTGTATTTTATCCTGTCTTTGAATTTTACGCTGTTTCACACTGGTTGAAGTACTTGGCACTTGGGTTGTAGTAGCTGGTTTGATACTGAAAAAAATTATAATCCAGATTATTTTATTCATTCTAAGAGATCTGATTACCACAGAGTGACCACAGGTACTTGTCTCTGAAAAAATACCTAAACACATTAATATAACACCAGGTACCCAAATCGCATTTTTGAGAAATGACACTCTTAGCGAACTGCTGTTATATTTTGATTCTGTGGTTGTCTTTCTTACAGAAACTTGTTATGTAGTAAATCTACATTACATTATCTACAAAATGGTATATGACACATCTATTTTTGTTGACTAATCATTCCTAGCATGCCTTCCAAGTAGGTCAACCATAAATCATTTCGTCTTCTTACAGCCAAATGGCAATGTCAGATTTTCTTTATTCAACAAAAAGCCAACAGGAATAAAATACAAAATCTAAGTGTAGTAATAAACATACCAAAATCAAACTTCAGTTCAATATATGCAAGCATAACCCCAAAATATCCTGACATGTTAAAACTTTCATTAAATATATAAATTCCAGGGCGGTAATTGTATAATAAACAGCTGCGCCATGAGCGCATGATACGCCCGTCGTCTTGTGTGTGAATTTTTATGCAATAATCATAAATAGTTTCTGACATACAGCCTGACATGCGAAAACCCCCTTTTTTTTACAAAAAAATCAATATCTCTAAAATAAAAGTTTGAATCAAAACCAAAAAGTATACAGATCTTTAGATTAATATAACTAAGATTTGTGTAAACTTTTAAGCAATAATCATAAACCGTTTTTGAGATACGGCGCGACATGTGAAAACCCCCCCTTTTTTTTTTAAAAAAAAATCAATATCTCAAAAATAAAATTTTGAATTAAAACCAAAAAGTATACAGATCTTTAGATTAATATAACTAAGAAGTGTGTAAAATTTTAAGCAATAATCATAAATCGTTTTGAGATACGGCGCAACATGTGAAAAACCCCTCCCCTTTTTTTACAAAATACTCAATAACTCAAAAATAAAATTTTGAATCATCACCAAAAAGTATACAGATCTTAAGATTAATATAACTAAGAAGTTTGTAAAGTTTTAAGCAATAATCATAAATTGTTTTTGAGATACGGCGCGACATGTGAAAAAAAACACACACCTGTTTTAGTTACTAAGTCCTGTAACTCAAAAAGTTTTAATCTTATTTTCACCAAAAAGTATACAGATCGTTTGACCATCTTAAGAAACAACTATGTTAAGTTTCATGAAATTTGGATAAGTCGTCCTCAAGTTACGGTGCGACATGTTTACGCCCGACAGACAGACGGACAGATGACATTTGTATACCATAATACGTCCCGTCAAAATTTTGACGGCCGTATAAAAAATAAGTCAACCATAACAAAACATGCACTGATACTAATCATTACACCACTACATACCAAATAGTAACTAAATTCCAGCAAGCAAAGTGGAAAAAGTATAGACAACTGATATCTTACCAAGGACAGTATGAAACAAAGAAAGGAGCAGAATAACAGATAAAGGTAAATGTAATGCCTCTACCACTAATTGGTGTAAAAAGAAAATTTATTATAAGCATTCTATAATTTTGATTTCAAACTTTCCTTCTAAGGTCATTATTAAGATCTATATTTTTATCATAAATTTGAAATTATCAACTTACTCTCTGACTGCATGTTTCTTTAATTCTTTCTTCCATACTTTTTCAAAATTTGGAACAACTTGATCACTTTTGTCTCGAGGATGGAGATCAGCAATATCAGTTTCCTCCAAATCCTTTTTATAACCTGTGACAATAAGACTGAAAGGAACATGTAAAAACTATTTTAAATAAAGTTTTTCAGAGATATGACCTAAACAATACATACCCTTTATAGCTTGCTGATCTGTGTGAGCCAAGGCTCCGTGTTGAAGGCCGTACTTTGACCTATAGTTGTTTATTTTTTACACATTGTGACTTGGATGGGGAGTTGTCTCACTGGCATTCATACCACATCTTCTTATTTCTATATATGTATTTTTGGCATTGCACAAGGCCATGCTTATGATGTCTTTACACTAAATTCATAAGATGTGTACTGAATGAAATTATAGATAGTTTGAGAAAATATGGTTCATTTAATAGTTGGAATAGGCTTTGAACTAGCTTTCAGTAACTGTGAGTACTCATATTGGTACCATGTGTTTTTTTGTCATATTGTTTCAGATACATGTGTCCTTCGTGCTGTCCAAATTCAGGGCCCTGTAATTTAGTTGTCGTCATTGTTTGCTATCTGTCTTATTTGTTTTTCATTTGTTATTTTTGTGCTATGTTCACCAACTATTTGGAAAAAAAGGGAAAACAAACATTTCTATTTAAAAGTGTTTCAAATACATGTATATACCTACAGCCAATGCATGTAACCAAGATTTGTTAAAATTCATGATTTGAAGATGTGCAGAAATCTTTTTGACCAAACTTTTCATTCAAGCTGTGTTATTCTTTAATCTGTTTGTGTATTCTTCTTTAATTATTTTTTAATCCATGATAAAAATATGATTTAATTGGATAAAAATATGTAACATGACCTCATTTACTGACATAATCTAATTCCTTTTATCTGTTGGTAATCAATTAAACAAGTAATTCCTTTAAGTCATAATATTATTACCCATTCATCCACCAATATGTAATTCTTGACAAAAATGAAGCCTGTACTTCAAGACAAGGTTTCTGTAAAACATCAATTTATAACAATAGCTGAAATATTAGGAAAAACCATGTGCTAAATGTCATTTTGAAATAGCAATAATCACAAAACATTGTATCAAGTAAGACTTTATTTATATTGATATGTGGTAAACCACTCCATTTAGTGAAATATACTATTTTTTCACTTCAGGGTTTCATCAAATTTTAAATAACAAGTTTGCCACTACATGCTGCACTAAATCATATATAAATATTGCTTTACAAATAAAATTTTGTATATTTGCCCTGTATTCTTTGTCATTAAATACATGAATACTTACAACTCCAATATTGTATTTGCCAGAAGAACTCTCTGACACCTCCTCTGCAATACAATGAAGTATGAACTGAGACAGAAGGAGAAGAAAATACAGAAAAAACAAACTGAATCTAAGTATGTCATCAGTGTAAACCTGAAATAAACATATGTCTACTATAAGATATTTTAATTAATTCATAAATGTATCATATATTAAATTCCTTGTCCTGAACATACATGTAAAATTTGCCACTGGATGTTAACAAACAGTCAATCAATCCTGTCAATTCTATAAATGTGTTTGTATAGGTTTATTTCAGAACAAATGAATTTAAATATCTGACTAGGACATAAAAGATGCACTAAACTTTAAGGTATATTCAAAACAAAAACTAGTGTTCATTGGATACCATTGCCAACTCACACTATCATATTTCTATGTTCAGCGACCTGTGGAATCTAGGTCATAACCCTTATTTGGCATACATCTTCAATATTTCACTTCCTAAGGAACATGCATTTAGTTTCAGGTTGATGTGACCACAACGTCATGGTAAACTACTTCACACCAAAACTTTAAATTGACAGATGAATAGACTGGTGGAGAGATAAGCTGACAGATGGAAGGATGAACAAATGAACAGACGGACAGAAGGACAGACATACAGACCAGAAAACACCCTAGATGGGATATAAAAATCAATGTTTTTTATAAGGAAGATGATAAGTCGTTAATCTGAAAATGCATCACACTTTAATTTAATATCAACATGCTTACATGAAGCTTGAAACCAAATTTCAGGGAGCTCTGATTTGCAGTTCCTGAGAAAAAAATATTACCCACAGATGAAGCTATGAAAGAACATAAAGTATTTGGTTAATTGGAAGTGAAAAAGAAATTAATGTGAAAATGCATTACATTTGTATAACAGTATAGCAGACAAATTTCAGGAAGCTCTGATTTGTAGTTCCTGAGAAAAACATGTCCAAACATACAACATATCTCATAATCACAAAAAATGACTTCTGTAAATTCGGAAATTATTGCAATGTTTTCATTATTGCGAAAAATGCAACAGGGTTGTAACACAAAAATTTAAACTCGCATTTTAGATTTTTTTTATATCAATGAAGTGGGATTTTTCTCAGTATCGCAAAAATAATAATCGAATTTTGGTCTAAAATGACAAAGTCGCATTAATAAATGCACACAATAATTTCTTAATTTACAGTATATAAATTGAACTAACTGAATTAGACCTATAATCTGCATTTAATTTTAAATCAATTAGTAAAAAAACCTTCCCTACATGCCCTAGCAGAGTCACAGGAAATTTTATCTCAATCTACAAATATCAACTTCTGTATGGTACTGTCATTTACACAAACATGTATACAGAAATTAGCAAACACTGTAACTCTTTGATAGTTACTGTTTCCTACAATACTCACCTTTTTAATTATGAGGGTATAAAATGGTATCACTGATGCTATTAAACTAGTAAACCAGAAAATGAATAGAATTCCTGATGTAACAAATCCTCTTATCCTTTCTAGTTGTATCTCACAGATGGTTAGAAACTGCAAAATAGGGATATAGTTAACACAAACATAAAGATATTCTAAAATACAAAAATGTACACATTGCTTTCACCAACTCATTTCATTATAATTGGATAATTGGTTTTCTATCTTATTTGTCTTTTAATTCAGTTTCATCATTGTTTACTTATTTTGAGGAAAGTTACATATATGTTATATTTAGTCATGTAAGTTTATTAAAATATGACAATATTTTTAGAAATATTGAAGTTTTTATTATTTTTTTTTGAAAATTGAAAAAGTATTTTACTGGCTTGAGCTTTATAGCTTGTGATTCATATCTAATGAAATAAAGATTCAAATACAAAATATTATCATTTCTTAAATGAAAGGCTGAAAAGAATAAACCTCACACTTATCACATGTTGTTTTCCGTGTCATAATGTGACCTGTACTTACAAAAGAGAATAGTTTTAAGGCTGCAGCTAGATACACAGCTACTGGTGTAGGATTAACTCTGTGGTCACTGATTGCTTTAAAGACATCCACTATTGTTAAGATGAACAGTATACCACTTATGAACTGTAAAATATAAACTTTTGTTAGACAACACTGATAAAGTATTTGGGATAAATTGCAGGACAGTTGAGGCAAAAACACAGAACTGCTCAGATATGGCAAAATATGATCTTATTAATTAACAAGAAATGAACTGTCAAGTTGACAGTAAACCAAGTTTTCTGTACTTTAAAGGTAACCATTGTTCAACTTAAAGGGCAACTTAGAAAGAATGTAATTGGATGTAGTCTAATGTTTGCCGCTCTCAGGCTTGTTTGAACTGCCACTTTCTGTGCTTATTTTCCAATCGTATGTCCTGAACGGTAAAAGTGAAAATAGTCAATATCATACTTGACCTCCATTTTGTAATCAGTAACAACATATTAAAATTTGAAAAGCATTGACTGAACTACACAGAAACTACACAAAGTGCCAATTTCATTTATCAAGGACCATAACTCCTGAAGGGTGAAAGTGGAAATCCTCAATCATTTAAATTAACCTGTATTTTGTCATCAGTAACAACATTTTAAAATAAATTTGAAACTCATTAGTTAAAAGGTTCATAAGTTATTGCGCATTAACTATTGACAGACTTATAACTTTGAGATGAAGAACAACAATAAAAGTGTTGTTCCTTTGCTTATGGTTTGTCTAGTGTGTGTATGGAATTTTTTGTCCTGAATTAATACTTGATATTCTTTCTATTCCATTTTAATTGAAATAGGAAATAGAGGTCTCTGTGGTAACTAATTTTTTTTCAAATAATCACATATACATGTAATTCATTTGCATCATTTAAAACAATAACAGTTAAATAAAACCATGACAAAGGGAGTTCACCTTTCTCCAATTGATTAACGAGAAAGGGGGAGAGGCATACAATATTTCCAAAAATATCACACATAATGTTAATGTTATAGTTTATACTTACTGTCTTTGCAATGTTCAAAAATGAATGTTGTCTTGGAGAACCTTTGTAACTGACAAGATAGTAAAGGTAGTATGGTGCCGTAATCCATAGAAATCCACATGGTACCCATACTAATATGGTGTTCTGGAAACAATCTGTAAACTCTGGGAATGTATTGTTTGACAAGAGTGTTTCATCCTGTAGAATTAAACATGTATGCATTCATTCATTATCATTGAGTATAATATTCATGGAAATAAATCATTGTATCAACTTGCTTCCTCAAATGACATGCCTTGAAATATTAAAATGTACAAACAAGTATAATATGGTTGTTCTGGATTTCTCACACAAAAATATAAATGAAAAAAAAATCAAATGCTCAAGAACCCCTCCCCCCCACCCACACTATAACCACTGAATTGCAGTTTTTGACTTTGGACAGGCACATACAGTATGTGATGGGGTTAACATATTTTCAGGTGCCCAACCCTCCCCCTAACCTGGCATAGTGGTCTTACCCTGTAAAACAGCACAATTGAAGAACAAACTATAAATACAAAGGAATCACGGAAAACAAATTAAATAAGCAATATTGTGTTAGCAAGCTAAACACAAAAGTCGCCCTGGTTGACTTCAATTTATAAAAACGTTGAAGCTTAGGAGACTTATTGTTTTTTTTACCTAAGCCCCTTAAAAATAATTTGGGGTCTCTTAAAATTTAGAATGTAGGCCCCTTGTTTGAGTTTCATTAAATAAATACAAATTAACAAACCTTAGATATGCCTAGGATAAGCAGAACATTGATGTCTTATCTATTCAATTCAACCCTGTCTGGTCTCCAAAAAATACCCAATTGGGCCCAGGTTTAAATGAACAACAGACACTTTGGGAATGAATTCCCCTTTTTTCTAAAAAAAAAAATGTTTGTGTTTTAATTTTTTTAGTAAAAATTCTGTATTTTTTTAACTTATTTTAAATCATTTAATGAGTTCAAGGATTTGTATAGTAAAATATACTATATAAGTTATACTTATCCATACGATACAACAATAACAGTAAGTTTATTTATAACCTCCTTTGTATTGAATACATCCTAAAAAAATTTAGGTCATTGACTTCAATAAATAGATCTGATCATATCCAATATTTACCAAGTTTTAACACAATTCTTACCCAGATTTCTGACGCGCCACAGAAGCTTTCTGTATCATCCATTTTCCCTTGAAAACAGTAAGAAATGCATTAACAGGGTACGGTATAAAGTATGGTCGACGTTCTATATGTTGACACTAACAAAATTGCAAGGTGGAAAAATCGGATAACTGTAATATTTGGTCATATGACCCGTAACCGATAATTTTTAAAATTACCGCACCATGACTGAGTAGGCGTAGAAGTGTAAAATGAACTTCTTGTTGTTAAATTTAAAAGGCAGAATTCTACAACATTCTATTTTAACATGAATTTCCTTGTAGGATAAAGAATTATTTTTAAATCGGTCAATAAAAAAAATGTCGAATATTGCAATAATTTCAAAATCAAATAAAACTTACAGTTTAAACCATCACTTTTACAAGCAAATCAAAACAAAAAACAAATAAAAAATTGAAATCTTAATGATGTCATGGACATAATTTTCCCAGATGATGTCATACATGTAACAATATATATGTACATTGTAGGAAAATATATGATTTATTTGTACGAGCTTTAGAAACAGGTCGAAAAGCAAGGCTCGCCGAGCTGTGCTCCTGTTTCGTAGAGCGTACAAATAGTTTTTATATCAGTTCATACTGGGTTTTATCCTGCAATTTATACCAGGCTTTATAGTTGTTTAATTTAAAGCCAAATAGTTGTCTCTGATTTTTGAAAGAAATCGACATAGTTCAAACGCGGACCGCGAGGAGGACCAAACATGAAATGCCACACAAAAGGGATCGATAAAACTTAAAGCTAGTTTTTCACACGTTGCCAGACGAGATTTTTAAATATGTGTGTGTTTATACTAAAAAAGTTGTAGTGTATTAAGCATAAATCTATGTATAGTATACTGATTACATTTGTATGCCCCAGGCTTAACTTTAAAAAACTCTCATCTGGCACCTTGGGTTTTTCATGAACAATCAAAGTGGTTTCAAGTCAAGTGCAAAACTCAGTTCTATGTTCATGTATTTTCTTTCTATGTATTGATAGGTTGTTTACGGTTGTTCGTCAATTTTCATGTTGAGTCGAAAAATACCCGTCTAAAAATTAGGATTAAAATGTTGTAAAAATTACCATTTCCATAATAAACTCAACATCAAGTGCATTCCTCACAATTTTACAATCTGATTAATCAGACCTATATTCACTCGCGTGCTCGTACATATAAGCTCATATGAGTATAACGAAATCAGATCTAACTATATTTTAATTAGATTGCACATTTTTCTTTTGTCGTTATGTTTTTGGTAACCGCGGGTATTACCAAATTTAGTTATATCCTGTTACCAATATCAGTATAACATATCGCGTGAATAGCAGTATTTCATATTGTGTGTGCTAAATGAATTCACACAAACAAAGATTTCATTATGTGTAAATACATTTATATTTAAATGCCTTTGAAGACGTTTCAGTATAAAATAGTCTATGCTGTTACTGTTAACCATAGCAACAGGATTGACAAACTTTTGTATTCGTGAATGCTGTTGTGAAATAAATATTTCCATTTTTCACTGATAATGTTTTCCATTTGTGGACTTGGTTTCCAAAACGTACTGGCATTTTTACTAGTATTATAATGTTTCATTTGTTACAGAACATACAGGTTAGGGGGGGGCTCACAAACATGTTTAACCCCGTCACATTCTTTATGTGCCTGTCCAAAGTCAGTAGCCTGTAGTTCAGCGGTTGTCGTTGGTTCATGTCTGAAGTATTTGTTTTTCATAAAAGAGAGGCGAAAGATACCAAAGGGACATTCAAACAAAGTCGAAAATAAACTGACAACACCATGGCTAAAAAAGACCAACAGACCAACATTAGTACACAAAACACGACATAGAAAACTAAAGACTAAGCAACACGAACCCCACCAAAAACTGGGGGTGATTGTTCTGTTATAAATTAGGTCGTTAGTTTTCTCAATTGAATCGTTTCATATATTTCATGTCGGGCCTTTTATAGCCGACTATACGGTAGGTTTTCCTCATTGTTAAAGGTCGTACGGTTGCCTATAATTGCTTACATCCACTTCGTTTGAACTTTGGTGGATAGTTGTCTCATTGGCAATCATACCACATCTCTTTTTTTTTTAAACTGAAACAGCAAAAATTGTCTACAATACAAGATCTACAAAAATGTTCAATGATTGAAACCTCAACTACCTCGAAAACAAAAGTAACTATCTTTTAGTTTCAGCAAAATAGATGTAAATCGTGTTAACTATTCATCCTACAAACTTTCATTTCAAATCCAACAACGGCATTTTTATAGAAATATATATTTTTTAACATAGATGTACTGAAAATTTGTCATTTTATAATTTGACCAAAATATGAAATGAGTATTCTGAATGAATATCTGGTCTTCAGAGTAAATTGAAATAAGACCTTTTTCACAAGTTTCGTGCGTTCGAAGCGCCTTTCTTGTTTAGCCTTTTCCAGGAACGTTCAAACCTAAACATCAATATTGAATACGTAGAAAGGTTGTCAGCTATATGATCAAAAGGGACCAAAAAGATAACTGTCAAACTACATGTGAATCAATTATGGATACTGCAAAAATCCAAACGGCACTTCAATCCCTTAGTGGTAGGGTGAGCAGCTGAGACATCCAGTACCCTACCCTTTTCGTATATTTTGAATATTAAAAAAAATACATACTCTATCGTATATTTTATGACCGTGAAAAATTATAGCAATATCTATTAGTAATCAGAACAATCGAGTCCCTTTATACAATTATGCTGGACGGTCGAAAAGTTCAAATTCTTCACGCGCGATTACGAATGAACAGTAATTCATTGAACTGTCACCTATTTCAAAGAAATTTAGTAGATTCTCCACAATCTCGCATTTTTTTAAATTATTTTTCCTATCATATGCAGACATATAAGACAAGAAATAATAATGTCATTTGAAGGGTTAGAATTAACTGTACTTAAGGACAATGAATTACTATCAAACGGTTCAAATCTGATTTCAAATGAAGAATACATTAGTTTATTTGTTATGGCACAAAGGTTCATAATTAAATCTAAAAGGTTTACAAACTAATAATTCACACAATATACCTGTTAGCATTTCATATTAATAGTTGTTTTTTTCAGATCATCGTGAAACTTAATTGACATTTTCAATGTTTTTATTATGTGACAGAGTATGTAAAAATTTATTTTTGTAAATTGTACTCAATTCAATTAGGAGACAAATTAATACAAGCATGTGTTGCTTGTTTCTGAATCCTATTTGCCAAAATGTGAACTTATATTGTATAAGATGTATTTAATTCATAATAAAATATTGTTTAAACTAAATATGGCTAAATTATATCGTGACTGCATTCTTTCATGGTAGCCACCGTAGATCAACAGAATATAACGACTGAATTATTCGGGTTAGTATCCGGGGATTCGACCAATCGATACGCATGGCCGCTGTTACTAAAAATAGAACATAGAGGTAAAACTGCAGTTTTGACAGGCTTATATCCAAAAACCAAAGCAGTAATAGGTTAAAACTGACATGAATGCAGGTTAAGGTCTATCTACCTTAAAACTTTTCGAAAATATTATTACGTATTTTGGAGTTGTTGGCTTTGAAATGTTCAGTTGACGTGACAAATTTCGCAACTTTGTTGTTATCATTCTGGAAATTATTAAGACAAAGAGAAACTTTAGGTGCAAAAATGACCAGCAAAGTAAGATCTGCACACAAGTCAACATGACCGAAACCGTTACTTACCACCTCAAAGCTGGGACAAAATATATAGTATACTATTCCCCGCTAAAAGGAATACAGAATCTAACTGCCTTATATGAGTTTTTGTCCTTGGATGACGATTTTTAACTTTTTTGTGTTTTTTTTTGTGCTATAATTTTGAAAACTAGAAAAAGTGATACATTGAACTTGAAAATGATCAGATAACAAAGATCTAGAAACAAGTCCAGATAGCCAAAATCATCAATAATTGACCCCTTCAAGGAGTTATTGACCTAGAATTTCTAATTTTGCCCATTTATATGTATTTGATAGAAATTATAGTAAATCAGTAAAATTATACCTACAAATAAGTAAAAAGTGACTGAAATCGTTAGGCTACTCGGTTTGTGATTTATTGCCCTTACTTGGTAATTTTTTATACACAATTTAAGCGTTTTTACCTAATATATTGAAAGTTCTAATAGATAAACTGAAACATTGTGTACCATAAAAGATCAGCAACAAAATATCTACAAATTATTTTATATGAACAAAGTTGTCAATCTACTCCTAAGTCCGAATTTAAATCTTTTTAATATGTTTGCTTATTATCTTTAACACTTTTATGGATATACAGGAAATTTGCTTCAGAAAAAATAATCAGCAAGACAAGATTTTATTCTACACAGGTTCCATTTAACACAAATATTCCTGCTGCATTATATCAATTGTATGCAATAGTTCCAGGTCAGGAATGCAGGGTCTTCTGAACCTATAGTTCATATTGATATCATTTCATCGAGAGTTTTACGGAAGCCATCATGATTTGGTTGATCGTTAGAGAATATTTGTGTCAAAGATGGTCACGGATAAGAAAATGTGGTATAATTGCCAATGCGACAACGTTCTTTTGAAGTAGCCGCAATTCAGCTCTTTTCACCCTGTCGATGCAATCATTGAATGCAACTTTGAATGGTTTTTCCCTGACACGTATAACACGGCAGGTCCTACCGGTGGAGCTAGAACTGCTTTCAATTTCAAAGCACCCAAGTTCACCACTAGTTTTATAAAGAGGTTCTAATTTCTTTTGTTTCAGTTTTTAGTTTTGTATTTGTGCTATATCATTTTTTTAATGTTTGTGCATGTTGTTGATATTGGTAGCGGTCTTGTCCTATCATTTGGTAGAAAACTGAACTGTTTTAATTTCAAACTCCACCTATTCGATCACGTTTTAGGGTTTGAGAATTTACATGTGCAACTGGTTTATAAATTGTGTAATGTCAGCTTTAGTGAAGAGACATTTGCCAATCCGTTATAAAGCCTACTATGTAATGACTTAAAACTTGATATGTTTCATCATCGGGTTTTGACAGGAGTAAAAAAAACAGGTATCACGACTGACTGTTAGAGCAGGAACTATTGCATCTCGGAGCACCTGAGACCCTTCTCCAAATTTTTTTAATGGGTTTGTGTAATTCACTCTTATCTTTGTGTTTGAGAATTGTTTGCATTTATTCTTTCCCTTTTCACAAAAAATAGATCAAATTTTAAAACGGAAGACCGAATGCACAGTATCCATTGTTTAAGTACACATAATTTCATATAGGAAGTTAATAAACAAAAATCAATTGTTAAACACTTATAGATTTCCTGTTTACTGGTTGTGTTATTTGACCAATCGTGTGAACTGAATAAATATGTAGTGATTCACGGCCGTGTCTGTTACTAGGAGGACCCGGTATTGCTTTTTGAAACCTGGTATTGGTATTTGGAAACCGGTATTGGCATCCGATATTGGTATTGGGAACCTGGAATGGTAAAGAACTCTTAGAGTTAATCCAACAGCACGAGAAACTAGCAAACGTTACAATAATTAGGGAACACGTCAGACCAAAACTTTCCAGATATTACAGTCATTTTCAAGTCGCGCCATAACTTCCGTCTCTCTACACAATTTTTTTACTACAATGATTGCAATTGAGAATACGGAAAATACCCAAAATATCCATTTAAATGGGGCAACATATATAAAAAGATAAATGGTTAGTCTTCTTTATTTTGTTTTTCTACCATTATAAAATTCGAATAATACCACTGAACGTCCTTCCACTAGTGTAGTATATAGAAATCATCAAATATTTTGTCGCAGCCTTTAAAATGTCTCCTTTGCAACAAGAGAGTAAATAACTGTATATTTTTAAAAGGGCATATATTAACAGTTACAGGGGCGGTAATGACGTTGCTAACGTAAAATGTTATTTTGGCGACGTCAAACTGTGACATATCGGGAAAAGATGTATTTTTCGACTGATTTTTATCATTCAAACTGATTTAACTTGAAAACGAGTTCATGGACCCCTCTTTTTTAAAATTACATTCGGTTTGATTACGTATGAAGATTATTTGTACCAATTTTCATGAAAAAGTCAATAATGCATTTTTTTTAAATTTGATCAATATATAGCAAAAAATGACGTTTTTTTCTACATTCATGAACATTTGATGAATTTGAGTTATTTCTAAACAAAAGATTTCATAAATTTATAGGATACTTATAAAAAACACAAATTACAAATAATTTAACAAAAAACAGCTTGTGTTTATCTTTTAAAACAAAAAAGTTATGCATTTCTGTCGGAAGGTAAATGCGTCCACAAATCCGAATTTTGAGCAAATATCTGAAATTTCGAACTCATTTTACTCAAAAAGTAGCACATGAAGGTATATTTTTTATTACATATTTGATTTAATCAGGTAAAAAATAGCCTATTTGCAAATATTCATCAAATTTTCATTATGGGATCAAAACTGTATCGTATGCCCTTAACCTATTTCCGTACCTCGGTTAAATTCTTAATCAAAGAATACATTACTATTGTATAAAGTTTAATAATGGTGCCTAAATATGATAGTCACTATAAACATTCAAAGGTTGATACAGTCTATTCAAGGAACAACAGTACAGTATTTGAAAAGGTTGCACTGTCAATTGGGGACGATGGCAACTTTTCAAATACGGTACAGTTATTTTTAGTCTTATACAGTGTTCGTGATGTTCAAAATATCCCGGAACCGTCGTCTTATTTGAGATGTGCAGCGTTTGGGATGTTCAAAATATCCCGGAACCGTCGTCTTATTCGAGATGATGCAGTGTTTGGGATGTTCAAAATATCCCGGAACCATCGTCTTATTCGAGATGATGCAGTGTTTGGGATGTTCAAAATATCCCGGAACCATCGTCTTATTCGAGATGATGCAGTGTTTGGGATGTTCAAAATATCCCGGAACCATCGTCTTATTCGAGATGATGCAGTGTTTGGGATGTTCAAAATATCCCGGAACCGTCGTCTTATTTGAGTTGTGCAGCGTTTGGGATGTTAAAAATATCCCGGAACCGTCGTCTTATTCGAGATGATGCAGTGTTTGGGATGTTCAAAATATCCCGGAACCGTCGTCTTATTCGAGATGCTACAATGGTTTGCTGTTAAAAGTATCTGTAAATCAATTAGAGTTTAAAAAGGAATAAGCAAAAAACTTTTCAATAAAAGAGAGGCGAATGATACCAAAGGGACATTCAAACCGATAAGTCGAAAATAAACTGACATTGCCATGGTCAAAAAGGAAAAAGACAAACAGACAAAGAACAGTAAACAAAACAACACGGGAAACCAAAGACTGAGCAACACGAACCCGTACAAGGTGTCAGTCGATGGTTTCAATCATTGAACATTTTTGTATATCTTGTATTGTAGAACATTTTTGCTGTTTCAGTTTCTAAATTAAAAAAGGAGATGAGGTATGATTTACAATGAGATAACTATCCATCATGTTCAAATGAAGTGAATGTAAGGAATTATTGGCAACCGTACGTCTGTTTATTTAGGGTACTCTCAACGTAAAAGGAAAAACACTATGATTGATACAAAATCGTCATTTAAGAACTTCTAAAAATGAAAATAACACTTACACAGTTTCCGTCTGAAGCGCTTTTCATGATTTGCCTTCATATAGTACACGACAACGCCAGAAGCTGTATGAGCAATGGTGACCTAAAAAGAATACCCAAATTCATTCAAGGTTAACTTTGCCTGAGGGAGTTGAAACCTTAGTTTTGAAAAAAAAATAGTGACGGGGAATGTAAGAGAAAAAAGTGTTATAAATCATATCAGTACCGAAGCACTGACCACTGAGCTAATTATACCACCAGGGACAAAAGTCCATAAACAGTGGTATCGACCCAGTGCTAGTAAATGAAAATAACTTTAATATAATTTAGTGCGTCCGAAGCGGTTTTCTGGATTTACATTTATCAGGAACGCTCAAAACCCAAAAATGTTGAAAGCCTAGATTGAATAAGACTTGATAACGTGAGGAGTTTTATGACAAAAGAATAGCTTATCTTCTCAAACAAAATGAATATTACACTTTATAATTTCATGCGTCCGAAGCGTTTTTCTGGATTTACCTTCAGCTGGACGAATATTTGAAAACCAAGGATGTATCAGAATAGAAACAGTTGAAGAGCTATATGGTCAAACAGGACCTAAAATAACATTAACCAAAATCGTCTAAGGTCAACTTTGCATGCAGGGGAGTTGAAACTTTAGTTTCTGAAAAATTTCAAAGTTTATGAAGGGACAATTTAAGAAAAGTTTGTTATAAATCATGTCAGTACCGAAGTACTTACTGCTAATATGATAATACCTCTGGGAACTAATAATTATAGTCCACCAGCAGCGGTATCGCCCAAGTGCTATAAGAAATGCAGAGTATTACTTTGAAATATCATGCTTCCGAAGCGCTCTTCCGGATTTAACTTCATCAGGAACGCTCAAGGCCGAAGGATGTATAAGAACCGATACAGCTGAAGAGCTATATGACTTTGCCTGAGGGAGCTGAAACTCGACAACTAAACGGACATTTAAGACAGGTCTGTTATAGATTATGTCAGTAACGAAGTACTGACTACTGAGCTGATGATACCCTCGGGGACTGATAATCTACCAGCAGCGTAGTCAATTGATGGTTTCAGTCGTTACGTATATTATAAAATTTTGTAAATCTTGTTTTGAGGATATATTTTTCTGATCCCAGTATCTGTCTTTTTATATTAGTTTTCACGATAAGAAAAAAAACCCGCTAATATTGGTCAAAAATCGATACCTATAACTCCTATAAAGAGTTGTCTGACAATTTTCACCTTGTAATTTTTACTTCCTCCAGAATTTGTCTTTTATGGGTTTAAAGTTGTACATCTCTAATGTATATGCAGAAATTCTAGAAAATTAGACTGTTTAAAACTCAGTGTAGGAGGAGTTGAATACACATACTCTTTCCTGGTCGCCAGATGTAAGACGCTTTACACTATTACACCTTTAAAGTTTTCATACGAATCTTATCTTTTCATTTGGAGTTTATCAAAGAACAATACGACGAAAGCGCACGTATTCTAACCCTCCCAGGGAACCTGGTTATTTCCGGACGAACATATTACATGTTGTTTATCATTTCATAATTAGGATAAACTGCCTCAACCATAACCTAATATATGCAGTGTATTGATTTTTTTTATTTACTTGAAGTATTACATTTATTACACCCACTTATAAGGCGTCATATACAAACGTATTAATTGATAAACATGAAGGCAACTGGAACAAACAGGTGACATATTTCAAACTTAGTATTAAACAAATTATCAATTGATTGTCATTGGCAATTGTAATTGTTAAACAATAAATTTTGGTTTACCATTAAATATTCAAACGTACTTTGGGTGTGTTATTAAATGTTATTCTCCTACATATGCAAAAAATTCTCTTACGTGCACGATGCAAACAACAAATGAATTACTTTTGCTCGAGGCTACGTCTTCCGTGTACTAATATATAAATATAAGGATTCATGCACAAACTGCGAAACAAAGGTAATCAATCCAGTTAATTGTTGTATTTTATTTATATAATTTATCACTTACAGTCCCAGTCTTATTTATTTTAACAAGCACAAGGTAAGTCAATATTTTGTTACAATAGGAAGTCATTAAACAATAACTTCAGGATTGAAAATAATACATAATAACTTGTATATCTATATTTATGTGTAATATGTACGTCTAGTTTGTGTATAAAGAAAAGTGTGCATTCACGCTGTTTTCGAATTAGTCTTTCTCAATTGATATATATATTGTTTGTAAATCATTATTATAACTTTAATTTCAAATTGTTCAGAGTATAAAATTGCATTAAAAAATTTAGTTATGATCTGTAATATATCTGATTTGGGAAACAATTATGCTTGCAACTGCCGATCTCTACTTTTGATTATTTTCAAATTAACAAACAAACAAACAAACGAACGAACAATCAAATAAATACATTGATAAATAAATAAATCCTAGTATGATAAGAAACACGATCTAGTTAATATGGGATAGCTGACAACCTTGTCGTGTCAGTTTTATTGTTAATTTTAATTCCATAAATTCATTGTGCGGCACGACTAAAATTTATGTTGACCAGACAAGACCATATTTTACTTTTTTAAACAAAGGATATGAGGTAAATAATGCATAATTATGTATATATTTATACTTCTATAAAAAAAAATATGCATGTATGTTAACGTATATAGTACTATTGTGACAATTTTTGAATGACTTTACGATGGTATTTATGACAAGATGATTATTATATGACATGTTTGCTCATTTATCCTTATGTTCATTTGAATAAAAGGTCAAACAGTGTATCTGGAGTATACACTACAGATAGATATGTCGGACAGAAAAACATACATATAGCTGGTCTTTTGATTTGGAAAAACTTTAAAACACGAAAATGCATCGTTCATTATAATTCATGTCAATGACAAAGGTATAGCATGTAATGATCGACTGTGATCATCCATCTTTTACAACTTTGATGAATTTGGGGTTTTTTTTTTCTTTGTTTATCCAGATTTGGTTTAAAAATTGAAATGATAAAGAATGGAATTCAATAGAATCAAGTATAAAACAAAACGAAAGAACGAACGAACGATACATCTTAGCAATATAAGGTTAAATGCTCAAGATTTAATGAAAATATGAATGATCATTTTGTTTGCATTGTTTCGCTAATACCATTAATAATATAAAAGTAAAATGGAAAGGCAACCAATTAGCATATATGAACTGTAAAGAAACCAATATTTGGACCGGACCCTCATCTATGTATACGACTCGATTTATATTGAATTGCTAGTCTTTATCGCCACTTGTGTAAATACATTATCCATGTTTAACCTGTTTGGGAGATTTTGAATTACAGGGAAAAATCAACTAAAGATTGTTTAAAACTTAAATTATAAACATTTTTTTCACTTCAGATGTTAACAGAAATCCATAGAATTGTTATATTATCCATATTTGTCCACACATATATATACGCACAAGATGTTCAGAATATTGGAGGTAAGTTTGTTTCCACTACAGAACGATGAAATCGAGAAAAAAAAAACAGTTTCCATTTCCATTAAGTGGGTTTATATAACTGTTTTGTGTGTGTGTGTATTTTTTTTAATAAATTGAATTAATATTCAAGTCAGCTGAACGTACACGTAATGAATCGTTTTTTACAACATTTTAGATTCTTCGATAAAATCCAAAACTAAATTGCCATCTTTTTTAGTAAGTTAACCTGATTGTCGGTAGATTTATTTATAATATGGGCTTTGTCTAACATTGTAATTTTCTTGAAACCCGTGCGTCAATATTCATTATAAGAAAAAAATTGAGTGCCTACTTATATGTATTTTTGCAAAAGGTTTTTCTTTGTCTTACTTTCCATTTTTATTATATTGTTATGATTATTTCATTGTATTATTATTGTTTAGGTATGGCGAGGATATGATTTGTTAGATTTCATTAGATAAATATATGTATATATTTTTTTTAAATCTTCCTTTCAGTCAATCTTAATGTAGAAAATGACCCTTTTGCAAGTCCAGGCGTGGACCCGTTTGGTAATGTGAAATCTGGTACTGGTTCATCCAAAACAATCAAGACAAGTAAGTCTTCATCGACAACACATGTTGCGGCAAGAAAAGAAACCAATGTGCAAGGATTAGACAAGGAGCCAGCTGTGGGTGCTGGGGATTTAAACACTATAAACGCTGAAGTCAGTTCTATTGGAGCCATCACCAGCGAGACAAAAAATGTCCAAAGTTCAGGGACAACAGTTTCGAAAGAAAACAGACGTACAGATATAAACACCGTTAAAACAAGCGACACTGCGTCATCTAATTCACGTAGTTCAAGCCGGCGTGTACCAAGAAAAAGGAATCAAACACAAAAAACAAAAAGCGATATTACAACACGTAGAAACAGACAAAGGAAAAACAAAAATAAATCTAACCAAGATGTCTCAAGACAGTCAACCAGTGGAACTGGAACACAGAGCAATACAGCAACAAACTCTAAAGGACAAACAATCAGTACTCGAACATCAAACACAGATACACGGAATATATTAAGAAAAGATGGAGCTTTTTCGTCATCCATGGATTTTACGGATGAGGTTAGAAGAAATGAACAAATTGGAATGGAGTTTGATGTACCAACAACTGAGAAACCAGTAAGATACTTCAGACAACTGTTTGCCGATCAGAGTACGTATTTACATATATATTAAAATGCATTAGAATAAACAAAAATAGCAGATAATGCATTGATTTACAATGAGGCAACAATCCATCAAAGATCAAAATACAAATATATACACAATTACAGGTCACCGTACGGACTTCAACAATGTACAAAACCAATATCATGCATATAGAAAGATATAAATGGCCCTGGGATAACAAAATGTGAAACAATTTAAAAAAGGGAAAACTAACTGTCTTAAACATAAAACGAAAAACCATTATGTCAAACAACATACAGCAACAACCACTGAACCAATTACAAAGTATGTTAGCCTTTTTATAAACCCAAACAATATACAACGACAACCACTGAACTACAAAGTACGTAAGCTTTTTTATAAAACCAAACGATGTACAACGACAACCATACACTGAACCACAAAGTACGTAAGCCTTTTTATAAAACCACTGAACTACAACTTACGTAAGCCTTTTTATAAAACCACTGAGCTACACCGTACGTAAGCTTTTTTAGAAAACCACTGAACTACAAAGTACGTAAGCCTTTTTATAAAACCACTGAACTACAACGTACGTATGTATCCCTTTTTATAAAAACCAAATAGTTTACTGACAAAAATAATTGATTATTTTCTTCAATTAATGCTTTATCTTGACATGAATGAAAATATTAAGATCTTTTGTGTAGGTGTTTCAAAACATTTCTTATCTACAATTTCTCACAGAAATACAAATTACCTATCTAAAAATATTTTGTTGTTTTAAAATAGGGATATGTGAAATTCAAAACTGTTATAGCACCGACTGTTATTTTGAACATCCTGGTGACTGTCGGAAATACATTCGTTGTACGGCTAGTGCTGAGGGAGCTGGCATGGAGGCTCTAGAAATGAATTGTGCTTTTGGAACTTTTTGGTCTAGGATGAAAAATACATGTGATACTGCATCAAACGTAGTTTGTCCAAATGGTAAGTTTAATTCGAATACCGGAAGTTAATTTATATGATTTAGTTACTAAGTATGACATTAAATTTGATACAAATACCACCTAACAGCCTAATGGGGATACCTGGACTTAACTCAAATAGAAGGAGACATGCCGAGTTTAAACGATCCTGAAGCGTAATGTACTTATAATAATGTGCGAATACATTTTTCTTTGCAAACAAGAGAACTTTTTTATGCAAATGTTTATATATATTGTGTTTTGTGATAATCTGTATGTTTTTAATCATTCTATAATAGTACGTATTGTTATGCAACCAATCACAATTTAAAGAAATTTTTTTGTGTAATCTAGTGTGTGTAAAACAGGTGGTGGCTTCGAAAACAGCTCCCTTTCATTTTGATTGAAATGTTTTATTATGTATATGTAGATCCATGTAGAGATAGAACACTAAAGAGTTACCCGTCAGGTTTGAACTGCAGAAGTTACTGGACCTGTGTTAATGGTCGGTCAGATGCAGAATGTTGTCCTGCTAATGAGGCTTATGTAAATGGCGTCTGCCAACCAAGCGATTCCTGTAAGATAGATGAATCTGAATGTCCATACAAATTGAGAGGTGATATGCCAGAAAAGAAGAAGAAAAACAGTAAGTTAATTATTGTCAAGTAGAGAATTTAATTTTGCATATCCGATGGAATAGAATAAAGAAACATTTTTGTTATTGCAATTTTTATGGTATCAACGGCTCATTTGTTATTTTCTTATATTGTAATTGTAACTATTTCTAAAGTGTTTGATAAATCTGATTGAAGCTGCGTCCAATTACTACCGTCTAGAGCTAATTCAAGTACGTTTCAATCTACCAAAAAAAAAAAGTATTTGCAATAATGCACTTTCTGTAAATCTTAATAAACTAACCTGGAACAATTATTTAATGATATTGTTTTTATTTTAGGCTGCCCCTTTGAAAAACACCCAAAAGATGAATCATTATATGTTCTGAAATATTACGGAACAGTAATGAACTGTGCCACTGGAACACGGTTTGATGAAGATCAATGTACATGTGTTCGAGCTCTTTTCAAACGAATCAGTAAGTACGGCAACCATTATTTACAATTATTCAGACGAAAAACAAAATGTATCAATGAAACTTTTGTCAATATTTTTACCAGGAAAGAACATTAATTCATTTGGATTGATCCAATCAACAATGACAAACAGTTTTTCGTTCGAGAAATCATTTTTTTTACTACCATCAACCGAGAAAGGGGAACATCGATCTGAAGAGAAATATTCAGAGCTAGGTCTTCTAGATTAATAGATAATTAGATGAATTATTCAAACAATGTCATAGACATTTTTCACAGTTGGTTTGACACAGTTAGTTGTTTTATTACTTATCGCTGTCACCTATAATGTCTCATGGGTTTTGTGTCCTATCTTGATCGTCGCAAGCCGAAATTGTTTGTCTTTTTTTGCTGTAAGAATGTAATTTTAATATGAAAGTATAGATACCGATATATTTATATTCTATATTAAAATGATCTAGTGCTAACTTATATTTCAAAATATTTTACCAATAAAAACAATGATACTGATAATAATTAAAGATAAAACATAGATTTTGATGGTTTTAACTTATACAATTGTACATTCTAACAGGATGTGTACCAACTACAGACATAGCCTTTAACGGCAAAAGAGTCATCAGTGGTCGCAGTTATATCGAACCAAGCAACGTAACATTGACAGAAAGATCAGGTGGTCGATTCAACGGGAGAGCAGCTATCGCTGTTCCGTACTTCAAGTCTAATCAGAACATCGAGAGACACTTGGTAGTCCGAATGAGATTTTATCACAATGGCAAGGAAGGGTATGATTCGCAAGTACTGATCTCTAACTGCAAGACAGTATCTAGCAACGAACTCTCACCTTCGTTTGCAATTCTTCTCTCAAAGACAAAAAATCAAATCATTTTCTTTATTTCGACAAAACAAGGAAGCACAGACAAATCTGGTGGAACTGCATCGATTTCATTGCCATACACGGTAATATTTTTATCCAATATGTTTTTGAATCATAAATACTAGAAAAATGTTTTTAAATAAGCCTTCATAGCTAAATAGCTCTGTACATTAAAGTCATTGGTCCATTATACTATTCAATATTTTCCCATTAGAAGAGAAGATGAACTAGACATAAGTGCAGATGTATATTTCTTTTTCAATATCGATGTATCTGTATATCAACAAAAGATTGTTATAATTTCAGCCAGGGAGTTGGACAGTGGTAGAGATGAAGTTCATAAACCAACAATTAAATGCTACCGTACAAACATTCCAGGCGGACGGCTCATCAACACAGGTTAATGACGTGAAAGATTTAAAGGGTATGTCAACGAAAACATTGCTGTCCTAAATTTCCTAAATTTTAAAAATAATTAGTTGTTATACACTCTGAAAAATTAGATTCAAGATTGTTGATCAATTGTATTACTGTTTAAATGATGTACTTTTTTGGATTATTCATTGTGCAATTTTCTAGATTATCGAACGATTATAACGACATTATAATTGTGCACCTTTCTGGAATATAGCTCGATTATGCTGAACGCAAACATTATAATAGTGCACTTACTGTTAAATCTCGAGTATGATGAACGTACACATTATAATAGTGCACCTTTCTGAATTATCGCTCGATTATGATGATGATCGCAAACATTATGATATTGCTCTTTCTGTTAAACATCGATTATGACGGACGTACTCATTATAATAATCCACCTTTCTGGATTATCACTCGATTATGTTGATCGAAACATTATAACAGTGCACTTTTCTGTTTAAACCTCATTATAATAATGCCACTTTCTGGATTATCGCTCGATTATGCTAATCGCAAACATAATAATAGTTCACTTTTCTATTTAATGCTCGACTATGATGAAGCATAGATGATAATAGTTATGAATTAGCTCTCGAACATGACGAGAATTAGCTCTCGAACATGACGAGAATTAGCTCTCGAACATGACGAATGCCGGCATTGTAATAATGCAGTGTTCTGGTAAACGCACGATTATGATGAATATACACATTAAAATAGTGCACTTCACGAAGTTGATAACCCATACATTCATGAAAACGCATATTGTTAAGGTAACATATTTTTTATGAATATTTCATAGGAAGAATAAAACCAAGTGTTGAGCCAGTGATGGTAGGCAATTGTAACATGAACGACGGATTTGTTGGCTACATTGACGAGGTATGTTGAAAACTAAATCAAAATTGAAGTTACTTTTTCAGTTGCATTGTTTTTAAATATAGCACAATGGATAATTATCCATATATATCTCGTCATGACTATTCCTATGTCATATTGAAATCACAATGAGAAATTTGATGAATCACTTGCTGTAATTAATTAACTGTAAATCATGAAAACTATTAATACTACAAACTACTGTCAGTGTTGGGCGAAACATACCAGATTAGCATATATCTCTTCCAATGAATCTATGACGCAAACAGTTGACATTTTATATAAATAACACATGAGTGAGTGATAAAGCATATTGTTACCCCTAGAAAACTTTGTCATTCGGGACGAAGCTAAGGGGACGACCATTTGATATTCTGGGAGGGGCAGCAGGATTCTTTGCGGATTGAGTGTTCATGTTGTTACACGTGCTTATTTTTTTCCACACGAAAATTTATTTTCAGTTTTGTACACAACTGTTTTCTGCACCTATGCTTCAGACTATTTAATTTCATCCTGACTTCTGCAAAGTTATTTATTTTCAACTCTTGCCGGACCAGGATATTGATTTTTAATATCCTCCTCCCCAAAAAAATCAAATGGTCGTGTCCTAATCTATCACCCTCTAAACTATGATTTTATTTATTATATTGAATGTTCTGTTATTATTGTGTTTTAAATCAATGATTTAAAATTAAAGTCATTTTTCTTTAAACTTGTCTTTTAAATTGTTGATTCAAAATTAAACTATTGTCTGTTAAATTATTAATCATTAATGCATCTGCATTAGTGGGTAGTATCTAAAAAATGTTACCCGCTAAACCATGTGATAGAGTAGATTGTCGCTCTCGTATTTGACCGAAACCAATTAAACTGTTAAACGTGAAGTATAATAAAATATGATGAAAACTTCATCATACTAAAGTTACTTGAAACACAGATATTATATCACTTAATGTAGATGAAGAATAAATCTTATCATGTTTGGTATAATCAACTTTATTTATTTTCAGGTGAAAATATATTTATGCGACCCTTACGAAGCTTGATAGTAGCACCTGTTCATAGTTTCTGACATCAATAGTGCTCAACTCATATAAACCCATTGTTTTTACATGCTGAATTTAAAATGACAGCAACTTGAATTGACTTACTTATGATGTATTGTAATATCAGTGACCACTGCCATAGAAAATATTCAAAATGTATTGACTATTAATAACAATAGTTGTCAAATTAACAAAAGAACAAAAAAAGAAGTCCATAAAGGCATATTTTAATTAACAATATACAACGACATTTGTATAGTTGAATGTATTTATTTTTTAAATAATAAAAGTATTTATTTACTACTTACTGTGTTTTAATCTACGTGCATGTGTAAACGGTATTAAAAATACTTGATCAAATGTCCTCACTCGACTCCATTTTGTCAGTCCATAACCCTTTCTCACGCTGACACAACATAAATCTACGATCTTGATGCTTAGATATTGTTTTCGAACAAAACTACCTTGGCGTATTGAGATACTTTTTAAGTGTTCTAACCATTGATTAATCAAATGTATCCCCTTCGTCCATCAGTTGAAATAGAAAAAAAAGTTTTTGCAACCCTGTATTGTTCACCGAGTAAAAGTACATACTTATTACTAAGAGATATTGAATAAGTCAGTAACAAAAAAATCACGAAAGATGACACAAACAACAAAATTGAAACAATACACGTTACTAGCTTGCAACTACATTATTTACAATATGTACTAGAAATTATGAGATGTAGTATGTTCCCGATGAGACAGCTATGATCATCAAAAAAGGGCAAGGATGTGAAATAAAGGGCACCGTGCAGCCTTCGATAAATATCAAACCCCATACCGCATAGTAAGCTACAAAAGACCTGGCGAGACAAATTTGATAACAAGTAAAAAATGAAAAGCAAGAAACTGATTTATTCTTAAACAAAAGACGAAAACAATTATAGCAGACAGCTAACAATAACTACCAATGGACTACAGGCTCAGCATCGGGACAAGCACATAAAGATTGTGACGGGGTTAAACATGTTTGTAAGTGTCCAACCTTCTAAACATAAACTATCAGAATAACCAAATATTCTCAAAAGATAAATTAAGATATATGACCACGAAAACAACATTCAAGATTCCTTTGGATTGGCAATCAAATGTGACGGGTTTCAACTAGTGTTTTTTTTTATTATTATCTTAACACCCTTTCCCTTTTTGTTAGTCGACCAATAGAATTACAAAAGGTACACGATAAAATGAACAATACATATTACTGTGACTTGACCGTAACTGTTGCTCTCCACCTTTTGCAGTTTATTCAAAATTCGGACCAAATTGCAATTTGGTGTATTAAACCAAACTATTCAACTGATCAGATTTAACAAACTGCTGCAGAAAACAGTCAAGTGGTGAAAGTGCAAGGTGATAAAATAGAGCATACTTACAATCTTATAAGACTTTAATTCCACTGCAATGATATTTCGAAATCAAAGAGCTGAAAGCTCTGAGGAAAAATGACGCCACTGTCTCTAATATTGTGATATTTTTTATGCAAGTCTTGATTTTCACATACCGTAATTAGTTTAACATTCCAACATGTCTCGTAAGCATATAATTGATATTCGTATATGTGTGTGTTATGTAAAGATGACAACTGGCTGTTTTTTAGTACAAATGTATAGGTCAAGACTACCTGAATGATCTACAGTATCCAATGACTACTGGCTGTTTTTTCTATAAATAAATAGGTCAAGACTACCACAATGATCTACAATATCCAATGACTACTGGCTGTTCTTTTGTACTAATAAATAGGTCAAGACTATTTGAATGATCTACAATATCCAATGACTACTGGCTGTTCTTTTGTACATATAAATAAAGACTACCTGAATGATCTAAAGTATTCTAAGTAATGTGATTTTTGTCTTGCAATTACATTTTTCTAAATCAAGAATATAGACTACTAGTATCCTTTTCAAACCAAATGATTATGAAGAGCCTGTTGTTATCAAGCTCTTATACCCCACATACTCATTAAATAAGTTACTAGTGACCTAGTTATTTCTGTTACTTGAAGCAAATTATATTTCTGTAGATTTAGACAATAGTATAATATTGTTTTACTAGTTTTATTTCACCTTGAAGATTAGACAAATAGGGATACTCCTTTGATTTTTTATTTCATGTCAGTCAGGTCGCTTTATATGAAACTTGAAACCACTTCTCTGCCATATTGTTATTTCATAACAACTCTGCCCTTGACCATGTTGACCCATGTAATTGATATTCATTCTTTAACCATATATCATAGTCAGTTAGTTTTTGATTTTGCACTCCCACAACACCTTTCAGGTCAAATGTCTGTCTCCATTTAAGTTAATGACATTGAACAATCATGGTATTAAACACACATCCAATAGTGATAATGCTGTTCTAGTAGGTCACCATATATTCAACTCGGGTAGCATTCCAGTTATTGAAATTTGTGTCAGATTAGAACAATGATCTAGACCTTTAGGAATGGATCTTACAATTTAATATGGAGCCATAGTATGGGACCCCTACACGGTAACAATAAAAAAACAAGCTTGAAAAGATACAACGTCAAGCGGCAAAATCTATCACCAGAAATTACAAGTCAAGAGAGGATGGACGGGATACGTCTCTAAAATGCTTGCCTAACTGGAACTCCAACAAGATCTCCAGACAAGACGAACAAGGAGTTGAAGCCAGAAGTTAATATTTATGTAAAAAGTAGTTGAGGGGCTGATTCCCGCTATTGAACCATACTGTCATTCTATAATATTATTGCGTAAGTATTTCTGTATTGTCCTTGTTATGGGTCCATGTCTTGGTGTATTGGTCTGAGGCGAAGCCGAAGGCCAATACTGAAGGCCGAGGACCAACAATAAGGCCAATACAGAAATACATGTAATAGTATCTTTATTAATTAACTACAGTGTTACAATATTTTTTTATTTCATTTCACAAGAGATAAACATTTTTACCTTGAAGTGGAACTATCCAAATCTCAGTTTCTTTTTATAAGATGCAATATCTAATGATTTGGTGCCGTTTCCATGTATCTTCAGCCTTTTCTCATCTGATGAATTTTTCTACCCTTTCCAGTCACTATAAAGTGTTACAACTTTAATTTAGACACAACACATAAATAGTAATTGGAAAGGTACTGCCATTGCAATTGTGTAATGCAAATATATTTTTAAAAAAAATAATGTAAGAGTTGAAATTGATACAACTATCCATAAGCCAATTGACCAAAGAACGAAGATTTGCGCAATTACAGAATGCATATGCCTGGTTCGGGTTTAAAAATAAGAGACCGTTTACAAAACATGAGAAGCGAAAGTGAACAGTAAAAATCGACATGATGAAATTATGAGGTCGTCAAGAAATGAACTTTGTGATAATTTACTCGTTTCCTAAACCTGAAATAATCCCATCGTCTACTTTCAAAATGCTTTTCAAATGAATGGGACCGTCTTTAACCTAAAATATATGCCATACTGAAGGTTTCAGCTTGTTTATGGTGAGTAAATAAAAACTGCGTCGTACAAACAACTGTTTTTCCTTTCAGTTTGAGTTTATCGTGACTTACGATCTAAAAACTAGAGACGTTCCGAAATCCTGTTTTGGCCGGATCAGAACTCGGCCAATACGGAAAAAAAATCTGTATTGGCCGAGTTGACATCTTATATTGCATATGCAGTTTTCACCATTTTAAGTACAATAACAGTGTAGTTAATTAATAATGATACAGTTACAGACTCTGCTGCTATAAATTTGTGAACAAAGATTCATACGCACCGCGTGGGTATAACCGTATTACTAATTTCCGATTATTAAAATCTTCGTAAATCTGGACAAAGACCAGTTTCTATCCAATGGATATCAAAATGATTCCGATTATTACTTTTTTAATGATTTTAAAGTTGAAATGGCATGAAAGGCTGACATTATTTAGGAGAACTATTTTGTCTAGCGATTGCTGATCATTGGAGGGTAAAAAGTCCAACACCATAACAAAACGGATCTATTTATCATGTATACATACCGATTGTTTACGATTGTAAGACATGTGCATAAAAGTGAAAGCTCGAATAAATATGAAAAATATAACAAAGGGATAGCTCCAAATACCATTTAATAACAAAAAACATATGGACAGGTCAAGATATCTTTTTGGTAAATAAAATAACGTATGTAAACTGGTTCCCGTCCGACTACAACACTTTAACAAAGACTTTGTTCGAGTGTAGCGTAATACAAGCAGATTCCAGTTAGTATGTAAAATAGTAAATATGAAACCGAGTGCGGTAGGCGGAGGCATAATCAACTTCCGTTAGTTCTGGTCAATGGTATCGGAAACATGCCGCTGATAGCGTCATTTTCCAAAAATCAGTCTGTCAATTTCTATACTAATTTTATTGTAATTGTCATGCAATAGGTGATAGGTAGTAATTTTGAATTGGTATAAAAAAACTAAGCTTTCATACAATTTTTCTTTTGAAAAGTCTTCTATATTCATAAGAATCAGACATTATTTGAATTAAAACATCTTATATTCAGTAAAATATATGTGAAATTACAATACGTTGTTAGTAAGTTTCCATGGGAGATAATCAATTTTTCCTTCGAACAGTCTTCTATATTCATACGAATAATGATTTTAGATTATCTCCCATGGAAACTTATTAACAACGTATCGTAATTTCACATATATTTTACTGAATATAAGATGTTTTAATTCAAATGATGTCTGATTCTTATGAATATAGAAGATTTTTTCCAAAGAAAAAATGTATGAAAGCTTAGTTTGGACATTTTTATAGCAATTCAAAATTACTTCCTATCACCTATTGCATGACAATTACAATACAATTTGTATAGAAATGGATAGACTTATTTTTCATTATATCATTGCAGTGACAGGATTGTAAGTATGCTTTATTCGATCCCCTTGCACTTTCACGACTTCACTGTTTTTGTACATCAGGTTGTTAAAATTTTGACTAGTTGAACAGTTTGGTTTGATAAAACAAATTGCAATTTGGTCAGAATTTTTAATAAACTGCAATAGATGGAGAGCAACACTTACAGTCAAGTCACAGTAATGCCGGACAAGTATTTGATTTAAATATTAAACAATATAATAGATAACAAAAACATAATTACAAACAAATATAATTTATAATATACAATTTAGTAGTCTACAATTTTACAGTATCGAAGAAAGCTCGCAGTTATTGAAAGCAAGCTCAAAATATACGTAACCCGCTAATGTGAAATCGTTCTGTCCTTCA